TGCGAACACCCAAACCTCGGCCATCTCTGAACAATGTCTTCGGTCAAGCGATATCGCCTCCCGGAACCGCTACATCCTCGCCTGCCCGTGACACCCCTGTGAAGAAGACACCCGATACCGTCCGAAGGATGCCGAGCTCTTCCACAGCGCTTCGTGACCAGATTGCGAAAGCAAGAGCTGCGAAGAAGCAAGATGTCGAAGAAACGCCAGTCGAAGCAGCCCCCAAGCCAGCAAGCTCTTCTAATGCTCTGAGGGAACAAATTGCAAAGGCTAGGGCGGCTGCGAAGCAGCAAAAGACCGAGCCAACTAGAAACAATACACCGCCTACCGACATGATCATACCTGACCCTGCCGAGATTGCGACCTTTGACTTTGGCCTCGACGACGACCCTTTCAATCAGCGCTCCAAGGGTGGCAAGTCTGTCCTACGCAGACGCATTGATAGTGCCCGATCAGACGGTCGCTTGAATATCGCCGCGATGGGATTGAAAGAAATTCCTGACGACGTACTTTCCATGTATATTTACGACCCCAACGATACCAAAGTAGCCTGGGGCGAGGTTGTAGATCTGTCTACTATCCTAGCTGCAGACAATGAGCTTGAGATACTTCCGGACAGCATGTTCCCGGATGTATCAGTTGAAGACATGATTGACTCGGACGAGGCAGGCCCTCAATTTGGAGGAGTACAGAGCATCGATTTTCACGGTAACATGCTGCGAGAGCTGCCTGTAGGCTTGAGACGACTGACGCAGCTCTCAAAGTTGAATCTGGTAAGTTTCAACATGGAAAGAAATTACAATCGCTCAGCGCTAACTTTGATAGTCACGAAACAAGCTACCCATGGAAATGTTGGACGTCATCGCTCAAATTCCGACTTTGCGGGAACTGAAGCTGGCGGAGAACCATCTCAGCGGAGAACTCTCCTCAGCGCTATGTAACCTCACAGCATTGGAGGTTCTTGAACTGCAGTCGAACAAGTTGACAGGTATACCTGCAGACTTTCAGCGTCTGACGCAGTTGCGGATACTCAATGTGTCGGAGAACCAACTTCGGTCCATTCCCAGCGAAGTTTTTTCTGCGACTCTCATCGAGCTTCAAGCATCGAAGAACCGTCTTGAGGGCGCCCTTCTTAGTCTGGACTCAGTGCCTCACCTACAGGAATTGAACGTCGCGCAGAACTCGTTGACATCTTTGTGCGATGAGGACTCGATCGATCTGCCTGCTATCAAGACGCTCAATATCTCTACGAACCGACTGAAGTCGTTGCCCGAAGTCTTTACTTGGGTTAGCGTTACCACGCTCTTGGTTGGGGAGAACAAACTTACAGCTTTGCCGGAAGGCTTTACGACGCTCGAGCAGCTACGCACTGCAGACTTTACGGGCAACGATCTTACTCAACTTGACGAAAAGATTGCTTTGATGGAGAACCTGAACCATCTTACAGTTGCAGCGAACCCACTGCGCGATCGCAAATTCCTGACTATGGGCACCGATGAGATAAAGCGCGATCTGGCATCGCGACTGCCTGCTACTGAGCTTCCACCTGATGCGGATGAGGACTTCGAGAACGGCGTCACTGAAGAGGCTCAACCAAAATGGCAGCTTACACCGTCGGGTACAGCAGACCTCGCAGACAAGAATTTGTCCGAGTTGGAGTTGGACGAGATCACCCTAGAGGTCTTCACGAGCGGACTGCGACAACTACAGCTACAGCGAAACAAGTTCGACATCATCCCATCTATAACAGCGCAGTTCGAGCACCTGACATTACTGGATCTGTCCAGGAACAGCATTGAAGTTCCTCTCTCAGCACCCATCGAACTCCCTCAGCTTCGCGATCTCCGTCTTGCCAGCAACAAGATCAACTCTTTGACGTACCTCACAACCTACCTCACAGCGCCTATGCTCGTTACGCTTGACGTATCAATCAACCGTCTCGCTGGTACCCTTCCGACGCTTCACGTAAGCTTTCCCTCGCTCACGACCCTCCTTGCTTCCGACAACAAGATCTCCGAAGTGTCTGCCGAAAGCTTGCAGAATCTCAGGATCGTAAACCTAGACAACAACGATATCGAGCGTCTGGAACCTCGTATCGGAATGCTACAAGGCACGTTGACAGGCTTTGCGGTAGAAGGAAACAAATTCAGGGTGCCTAATCGCCAGGTCCTTCAAAAGGGTACGGATGCCGTATTGACATGGCTCCGAGACAAGATCCCGAGGGAAAGTTGGAAGAGTGCGGACAGTGCCTCGACTGAGTTCTTCGATGCAGACGACGGGAGCTTTTGATTCTTCATTGTTACACTCTAGGGCTGTGGTATGGGTATTCTTTTCGTGTCGTGTCTTGTTAGTATGGGGTTGTTCTAGAGTGCACTGGTATAGGTTGACTTGTTTGGATACACTGTAGCGTTTTATAATCTCTTCGTGTACATAATGTGCTCGATACAAAAGGGTACTCTAGGGGTTTCTCGTTGATAGTTATGGTTTGTTCCGAAGTAAATGCAGCAAAATATTTCTCAGGACGATGGTCTCAACATTAAATCTGAGCAGCATGATTGCAATTTCATCGTGGCGACTGTATTGAGTGACTAACTTGACAGGGAATGTACCATGCAAAATGACACATGAGCTGCGAATGCGACTTAAAAATATCCAGTCACTGTAGTCAGCGCGTGGTATCTCGCATACGACCAACATCCGAAGTCCTTGTTATCTGGACTACGGATAGTTCTGGTAGCCCACTAATGTTGTTGGTGTTGCACGCAAGCCTTGGCTTTAACCACGCTAACGCCGGCATAACGTATCGCCGAAGGGTCGGTTCGCACACGCTAGGCGCCCTTCGAAATTGTCGAACTTCGAGATTTCCTTCCGACAGCCGCACGAAAACTAACCCACAGGTCAGCCATCGCGGTACGTTTACCATATCCAAGGCGCGCAATCGATTGAGCGCAATCGCACACATTCGCCATCGAGACTGCGCGCCTCTCCAAGACCACACGAGCGAAGGACAAAGGCTGATTAGGGCAGACAATCCGACACAATGGCCATCAAGCACAACCAGCAGATCCAGAAGAACCATTTCCACAAGGACTGGTGAGTGGCATAGGAGTATTGGGCACTTCAAAGCATTGTGCTAACTTGCATCAGGCAACGCTACGTCCGCGTGCACTTCGACCAGGTAATTCCCCTCTCACGTCGCTGAGAGTAGTGGCGCCTGTGTGCAGATATCTGACAGTGCAATAGCCTGGCAAGAAGTCCTCCAGACGCAATGCTCGTGTTGCCAAGGCTGCGAAGGTAGCCCCCAGGCCCGTCGACAAGCTCAGGCCCGTCGTCCGCTGCCCTACCGTCAAGTACAACCGCCGTGTCCGTCCCGGCCGTGGTTTCTCTCTTGTTGAGCTGAAGGGTATGCCCGATCTTCCAAATGCGCAGAACGCGTCTAATGCATCACAGCTGCCGGTATCCCCCGCAAGTTCGCCCGTACCATCGGTATCTCCGTCGACCCTCGCCGCCAGAACCTCTCCGAGGAGGGCCTCAAGGCCAACGTCGAGCGCCTCCAGGAGTACAGGAAGCGCCTCATCCTCTTCCCCCGTCGCAACGGCAAGACCAAGCAGGGTGACGCCTCCGCCGAGGACGTCAAGGCCGCCAAGAGCGCTGACAACCTCGTCCAATCTACCGCCGCTGCTCTGCCCATCAAGAACGTCGCTCAGTTCGAGGAGGGTCCCATCGGCAACTACGAGGCCACCGAGAACGCCTACAAGACCCTCCGTGCCGCCCGCTCTGAGGCCCGCCTTGTCGGTGTCCGGGAGAAGCGCGCCAAGGCCAAGGCTGAGGAGGCTGACTCCAAGAAGAAATAAGCTACTCGCTGAAGTAGTGGTTTGGTTCTTTGCTATGGCTTACGACAATACAAAAGTCAGGATTACGATTCGACAATGGGTATACCCAGCGTGGGCTTTCCCAGCATGGGCGGCGTCATGGTTAGGTCTGTCAAAATAAATGACAGCATGTGAATGATACCTAGTTTTGCAAATGCAAGCCGTGCCTCCCGTTATTTATGTCGTCGTCCTCTTGTCATACCGCCAAACCTTGTTCACACCACTAACCACGGCTTCGTCGAATCATCAGTGTGATGTGAGTGACTCGTCTGCTGTCACTAGCAGACCGAGGCTGCGTTCATCCTTTTGGAACGCCATTAACTTACTCAATTTCGGTACTTGGATGACAATTGACGTTGCCCTCGACGCGACGACGTCAGCTCACAAGATCAAAGAGTGTTAGTCGTCAGGCCATGATCTTCCTGCAATACTCGGTGCAGCAATCCCTGAGCTAGTTGGCCTTCACCAAGAATTACATCAAAATCATCAATCACTCCGTATCTGATCGTTGCTGATCGTTTCTTGATAAAGGGACGGTGCTGCTTAGCGGGGCCCTTGTTGCTATAATAGTAAACCCCACCTCGACATCTATCACAACGTACCTCACCACGCAACAAAGTTCCAATATCGGTTGCGAGCATCCCCGAGCGTAAACTTCGCATAGAGTGCGACGGTTTCCTTAGTAAAGTACCCGTGGTTGCGTTCGAAAAGGCAGGCTTCTCGCGAATCTTGTATCTTGAGTACGACACCTTTGTTGTATCATCTATCTGGTATCCTTCATATCTATGCCAATTCTCAGTCACGTTCCTTTGCCTCGAACCCCATTCTTCTCGATTCATACTTTTGCTCATTCTTTCTCCAGATACCATCATCTCTTTCGCCTTTAAGCTTCCACACCTGGTCAGCCCATCCAGGCCAACCACAGAACTGTTCATCTTGTCTTTCCTCTTCTAATAGGAGAAAAACTCAAAACCATAACGGCAACCAAGAAGAAGCGACTCGCTTCAACACAGTCAATCAACCACCGAAGCGCCTTCAACGATCGAAGTGTCGGGTGATCTTAGCGATCGATCAATCTACAGTCATAGAGATATCTTCTACACGCCTCAAAAGCCCATGACAGACAACATGACCTCTCTTCCAGGAAGCAAAGACCCTTCGCCTTCGACTCAAGCGAGCAAAGCAACACAAACTGCTGATAGTTCCTTCACTATCATGACTGCATCTCATGGTCCCATCCCCACTCTCAAAGACCCTAGTTCGGCCAACATCAGCAAGCGCGAGTACATCTACTTCCTACCATATCCGCTTCCTCCAAATACCGAAGTTCCCTACTCGATCCATCTCCCCGACAGGAACCCTCTGAACCTACCCTCTCACCAATTCGAGCCTACATCCACCGTGGTACTAACAAGCCCCAACCACACTTTTGTCGACATCCGCATCTACAAGTCGTTCAAAACCACCGAGCCAAACCCCAATCAAGGACACTCTCAGAAACTAGACTGGGCCTTTGCCGGCACCTCCTCTTCCGTCCCCATCACCTTGCCACCCAGCGGCCCGCATCACGGGAAATCCAAAAAGCGGCTCGAAGAAGACACATGGAAGAACGTTACGCATTCTACCTGGACGCACTGGGTCGATTCTCGGTATGCGGTTGGTAGTTCTGATATTCCTGTTGATGAAGGAGACATGTATCCTATCGCACCGCAACTTACGTTGGAAGTGGGGCATGGGTTTCATCCTGCGCTGGATGCGGTCAAGACGCACGAGGAGATGTGGAAGGATGAGGACGTTGTGTCGACGAACAAGGCTGGAAGTAAGATTTGTGTTGTCATGAGGTGTCAGGCGGATGCGGCGGGGGTGAGGGGTGTGGTTGTTCGGTTAGGGCAGTATTGTCAGGGGATTATGATGGCTGGGGAGAAGACGACTGTTGAGCGGTGGGAATGGAAGGATGGGGAGAATGGAGAGGATGAGGTGGGGGAGTGGAAGAGAAGTGTTAGGATTGGTGATGGGTTTGTGCCTTGTGGGGTTGCGTTTAGGCCTGAGGTGTTGGGCGTTGGTGCAGTGGTCAAGTTTCATGACTTTGAGTGGGTTGTGGAGGAGGCTTGGGAGTGGAATTAGAGGATATTAAACGAGGATGCTGGGTGGAGGACAATGGGATGTACGCTGTAGCATAGTAGGAGATATATATTGAATGATGGCGAGTACAGGATGCCAACGACTATAGAAGAACAAGTCATGAAAATACTCCGACTCCTTCCTACCCCGAGTGGCAATCACGAATCGTACCCCCATCCACCCTGCATCCCGCTGCCTAGCCCCTCACCCCCCGAAAGTGCCCTCGCAACCCTAATGCCCTCACTCAGAAACCCTACCGCGCCATCCACACCTGCATGCCCCGTCCGAATCGTCCCCGGCATAGGCGGATCAGCATCTCTCTCCATGACCCCCCTCATCATCTCCTCACTCGCCTCGCCCTCATAACGATCAAGCACCAGCCTCCTAATCGCCACCTGCCACTGACTCACCCACTCCTCCTCACTAACCGTCGTATACTCCTTGATCATCTGACTATCAACTTTCGAAAATGGCCACTCAGCCTTTACGACAGCATACCTCTTGGTCGCAAAGAACAGCACCGGCCAGCTGAAGATCCACAAAAAGGTCAAGTAGAAGATCCAACACACCCACGTCTTGAGCCTCCAAGTGTTCACTTTCGAGCTTGTGTAGAAATCGACATGCTCGTCTTCAACAGGGAAGGTGATGGCAATGTTCCCACGATAATTCGTGGATCTGATGATTCCCTCAAGCCTATTCTTGAGGTGTTGTTCATCGAGCCCTGTCACCACACGCCGCAGCCGGAAAATCCGAAGGGCTCGGGGTGAAGCACAGTATCTATGACACCATTCCGTCAAGCCCGCTTTTGGCGCACCCCCGACTTCGATATCTTGTGTAGACCCCGGAGCCCTACATTTGAGGATGGTACCTCGATGCGTCTTCTCGCTGTTTTCAACGGTTGTGAGGAACATTGTTGAAGTATCTCTGTCATCGAAGTTGGGACGGAGGTAGCGCTGCAGGTTTATGACGAGCCGGAAGTCGGTGATGTGCTGGGTCTCCTTCTTATCGCCCTTCTTGACTGTCTCGCGGTGCGTACCCATTATATAGACGAGAGGGACTGGGGCGACCTTTGCGAAGGAGCGGACGGCAGATTCGAGTTCGGAGGGGTTTGTGTCGTACTGGGGTTCTAGGACGTTGATGGTGGAGGTTACGACGGGTTTGCCGTGCTTGAAAGACGGACTGTTGTGGTTGGTTCGTGTAGTTGGGGGTGGGACATGGCGGATGGGAATGTCTGGTGTGATGGTGGTGCTGTTTCCGGCCTCGCTGTCAGTGTAAGAGGGAGGGAGAGCGGAGATCTCGGGAGCATCATCGTAAGTGTAGTCGTCGGGGGTGGTATGGAGGGAGACAGCTTCTGGGTCGTCGCGGTAGCTGGGTGGAGGGTCGGATGCTCTGCCCATGATGATGTACTAGCAAATGCGAAGCGATATCAAGTGCGAATATACAAAGATGACGAAATCAGATGTGAGGGGTTGTCGTGAGAGCGTTGGATAAGAAAGAAGAACGAACGACGATACTAAGTCGTGGTTGAGGCGTCCAGGGGCCAGTGAGACGGAGCACGAGTCTCAGCCTTCTTCCAGGCAGCCACCTACCCATTGGCCTATGAGGGCTGCCAATGCATATACTCGACATGTCTTATTACGGGGTTACGCAGGCGCATTGATTCTGCCATACTGTGTGCGTGTTGACACTACAGAGTCGCAAAGGGCCTGTTTTCACATGCTTGTCACGCATGCTGGGTAGTGATAGTCGGCGCGGGGAAGTCTGGAGGGTCGCGCGGTGACGCTAAAATTAAGCTTAACTCCGAAGCCAAAATTTTGGAGCTCGACGCGACACAGCGGCCCTGGATGCGCCGTGACTCTTTGCACAAGCCACAATTATCTCTTGTCTTGCACCCACCCCCAGCGCGACCTTCAATCTGGCCTCTATCACATCTTGGATACGCTGTCTACGCGCACCTCGAATCCTTCCCAGTTTCCCCCGCAGAGCATGCGCCGTCAGTAGCTCTTTCCCACGCGCATTCCACACTTCCCTCACCATGGCCTCGTCCGACGTCCACATGACCGACGCAGGTGCGCAGACCATTGACGCGACGCCGCAGGCTGGGCAGCACATCAGCCACGAGGGGAAAAACTACACGACGATCAAAGAAGGCCTGGCGCATATTCTTGTTCCTCAAGGCATCCCCACGTCTACCGACCCAAAGCTGTCCAAGGAGGAAACTCAGAAGCAACAGGTCTTCTACAATCCTATCCAGCAGTTCAACCGCGATTTGAGCGTACTTGCGATCAAGACATTCGGCCTAGACGCAATACAGCGAAAATTGAAGAAGCATGAACAATTCAAGAAGAAGAACGAGCGGAGACGGGAGCGGATGCAAAAAGAGCGCGAGGCAGAAGAGGCTACAAATGGTGTGAATGGGGCGACTGATACTTCTGGGGCCGACGACGCATCAATGAACAAGAGGAAGTTTGCAGAGGAAGATAACGGGGAGGGCGCTGCCCCTCTCAAGAAGCAGAGGACATGGCAAAATCTTAAAAAGGAGCAGGAGCTGGACGATGCAGCAGCTGAGGAGGAGGCTGCTGGTACAAACGGTGGACGGACACCCTGGAGACCACCCTTTAGCATCCTCGACGCCCTGTCTGCGACCGGTCTTCGTGCCATCCGATATGCAAAGGAGATTCCCTTTGCGACCGCCATCACATCGAACGACATGTTGCAGAATGCCGTCGACTCCATCAAGCTCAACGTCAAGCACAATAAGCTCGAAGACAAAGTTACGGCCAACACAGGCAATGCAATAGCTTACATGTACAGTTTCTGTGATAAGAAGGGTTATGATACCATCGACCTTGATCCATACGGCACCGCAGCTCCCTTCATCGATTCAGCCATTCAAGCCATCAACGACGACGGACTACTGTGTATAACGTGCACTGATTCTGCCATCTTTGCATCGCACGGCTACCTCGAGAAAACTTATTCGCAATACGGTGGACTGCCGTTCAAGGGTGAACCTTGCCATGAAGGTGGAATCCGTCTAGTCCTGCATGCCATCGCATCTTCGGCTGCTCGATACGGCATGGCTATAGAGCCGCTGCTGTCCCTTTCCATCGACTACTACCTCCGAGTATTTGTAAGAGTGCGAAAAGCCCCCACCGACGTCAAGCTGCTCGCCGGCAAGACCATGCTCGTTTACCACTGCGAAAGCGGTTGCGGTGCATGGACTACGCAATTCCTTGCACGCAACAAGGTCACAAAAAATAAGAATGGCGACCCCATGTACAAGCATGGCTTTGCCCAGGGGCCATCCGCGGACCAACATTGCGAGCATTGCGGCCACAAGACCCACCTGTCAGGACCAATGTACGGCGGGCCGTTGCATAATGTCGGATTCATCGAAAGAGTACTAGCGCAACTGAATGAAGTTGACCGTGAGACGTATCCGACCATGGATCGCATAGAAGGAATGCTACACACAGCTCTGGAGGAGATCACGTTTGGCACAAAGTTGGACAAGTCGAACGGGGCGCAAAAGACTCAGGTCCTAGACCCCCTCATTCCGAAGTCCGATCCTGCAGAGATAGACCACCACCCATTCTTTTTCATCCCAAGTTCGGTAGCGAAGATAGTTCACTGCTCTGCACCGCCGTTGGCGGCAATCCGCGGAGCGTTGCGACACGCGGGGTTTAGAGTGACAATGAGCCACTGTAAACCGGGCTCTATCAAAACGGACGCATCGTGGAGGGATATCTGGCACATTATGCTCGAATGGACGCGGCAAAGAGCGCCGCTGAAGAATCTGCCCAAGTCAGGAAGCGCAGGCCATGCCATCTTAGCCAAATCAAGCGCGAGTGGGTATACAAAAACGTCAACTGCCGGTACAGCACCTGCCCAAGTACCGGCCGATCCGGCGCCTGGAGCGCAAAATAACGCAGAAGATGGCGGCCATATATCGGCTACAACACCCGCAAAAGATCTACCAGCTTACCTCAACACCAAGTTTGAAGTCAACTTTGACGAGAAGCTTGGCAAGGACCACGACAGGGGCAAATACGTCCGTTACCAGCTCGCTCCAAGGGAGAATTGGGGTCCGATGTCGCGCGCGAAATAACTCAAGCAACAAATAATGACAATTCAACTATAGCTCCAAAGCTCATAATTTGCCATCTCGAGGAGTACGCAATGCGTTTGTTTAGCTGCTGCTCTCCAATAATCGTCTTGCGTAGCACCATGATGTTCGCCGTTCGTCAAACATCGGCCGGAGATGCGTAGATCTAACGTCATCGTCGATTGCTTAGGTAAGGGTTATACATGCATGTAAGTTGCATCGGAAATCCTCATCTTCCTTGTCCATCTCGCAGATGCACGTTATTTTTTCGGGGCAGGCCTGTAATGTGCTCGATCCGCACGCCCCAAGATTTGTGGAGAGCGCTCCCACGAGCGCATCGGTGAACAGCCAAGCGGAGATTTGCCTGCTTCGGTACCTGCAGATAGTAATGTTTACCCGGGGTCTGAGGCGACTATGCGATTTGAATTACTGGGGTGGCCACGCGAGGCTGGTGTTCCGCGGAGGCGAGTGTCCACAAGTCGAGAATGCGTTCAATTTCTCAGCAACAAATGTAGGCCCGGGTGTAAGCTTAAGCGTTAAGCTATTCTCCAAGAGCACTGGCGACCTGCCAGAAGCCTTGGAAGAAACCCGGTTTGTTAGTTGTGGCTGTTGATCTATTGCGGGGCGGGAGCACTAGCGGCTCAAAACTTAAACAGTTCCACCATGTCATCACGTCGTCACGTTGTTTGAATGCGGCAAATCTTGGGAAACACAACCCCTGTACGCACGCGTTCACACAGCGCCCAGCATTTGGCACAGGCATTGAAGAGCTTTGATCAGGCAATGTTCAGCAGTGCATCCTCTGATTCGCTCGTAGCAACTTCCCGATGCCAGTCCGAGAATCCCATGTCGTGGCCGACTTTTCGATAATTGCGGCCTGCACTGCCGTAACCGTAAAGTCATGAAATCATAGCTCTTTAACCTATTCGGGCGACGACGCCTGTAGTCATCGATTCGAAATCGGTAGGAATAAGTGTCGACGCGATGCGGTCACTAATGCTCGACGCGCGTATATAACCATTACAGACGCCGCCCATTGTTTGAACAGCACAACACTTCGAACCGCCAACCGACTTCAAGATGTTGACCAAGAGCTTCCTCACCTCCTCGATGCTCGCAGCTCTTGCTGCTGCCGCTCCTGCTCCCCAGGACGGCTACAGCGTGGCGCCCCAGGAAGTTGGTGACGTCGCGGGCTACACCGACGCTGATGCCAGCTTCTCCGTCACCTTCATGCCAGCTGGAACTCCTGCTTCGGTTTTCGGCCCCGACTCTCAGGTTGCTGCCATTCCCACCGCACCTGGGTCAGCTCCTCCCCGAAGGAGCTCAGATGTCACTGGCGCCACCAGCCATGGACCCTACGATGGCACTCCTACCACCACTGGAGCTGCTAAGGCACCTACCACAATTGGCACTGTCATCCCTCCTCTTGGCCCTGCGCCCACGGCTACCTACTACAACACCGATGGAAAGCCTCAGAACCCCATGCCAATTCCCTACCAGCCAGCTGGTGGTCTTGGTACCAACGGAACCGAGCCTCGCTACATGGTGAACAGCGACTTCGACTTCGAGTCCATCACCCTTGGTCTCTACCAGGAATGGATTGAGCTTGACTCGTTCAACAACGGTCTTGCCGTCTTCTCCGAGCAGGAATTCCTAGACGCTGGTCTCACTGCTGAGGACCGCGCCTACATCGCCTTCATGGCTATCCAGGAAACTGGCCACGCTACCCTCCTCACCAACATGCTTGGCGAGACTGCTCCTCCCCAGTGCACCTACAACTACCCGTACCGCACTGTCCGCGAGTTCATCGACTGGAACATGAAGCTTACTCGCTTCGGTGAGTCTGGTGTCTGGGGTTTCCTTGCCCACATGGACGCTCGCGAGGTTGCCAACCTCCTGTCTCAGTCCATCGCCACTGAGGCCCGCCAGCAAATCTCTTTCCGCCAGATGCTCGGCCTTCCTCCTCAGCCCGTATGGTTCGAGACTGGTATCCCCCAGTCATGGCAATGGACCTACCTCGCTCCTTACATCAGCTCCTGCCCCGAGAACACCACCCGTCTCGCATGGCAAAACTTCCCGGCTCTGTTCATCGACAACCAGCCCAACCCCAACCGCTTCTCTCCCAACGACACCAAGCCCCATGAGGTTGCTGGCGACCGTATCGCTGACCCTGCCGACTCTACCATCCCTGCTGATGAGAGCTGTGTGAACATCAACGGTACCGAGCACCCCGGCTACTCTTGCGGCCCTGCTATCGCACGCAACCGCTCTGAGCCCCTCTCCTTCCCTGGAAAGCTCGTCAACCTCACCTGGGAGAACCCTGGCCTTGCTGTCGGTCCCAACAACTCCTACATCACCGACACCTCTGCTGGCGCCCCTGCCTTCGTCGCCTGGGTCTCGCAGCTCAACTTGACCTACACTCCTCTTGAGATCACCGGCAACAACACTGGTTACACCTACCAGCCCGCTGGTGAGGTCTACGAGGGTGACCCAGCTGTCAACGACACCATGTTCGTTGCTCTGACTGACGCCAACCCTTTCCTTACTCCCTTCAACTTGAGCATGATCAACCCTCACGTTGTCGCTCTCGGTCTTTACCAGGCTGGTTAAATCTGTTCGCTAGTGTAGCAACAGATTAAGGAGATGGAATGATGCTACTGCAGCATTGTTGAATTAATCTAGTGGATGAGGCCTATGAGCCATGTAATTAGATCAAGGAATGATTTGTATGATAGCGGAGATGAGGAGATGGCGGATAGTAATGCGTAATGATACCAATTTGTCATCGTCAAAAGATCTTTGTGCTGTGTCCATGGTAATTTACTTGTGTGCGGTTTTGTTTGCGTCTTCATTCGTGCCAAAATTGGCATATAATAAGCTCACAGATTCAGCGAACTTAACCTTACTCTAACACACTACATGATCAGTTCATATTTTCCCAAAACGAGGTCGACATACGCCCATGACCGCCTCTGCCTGTCCATCATTTTCCAAAAACTCAATCCACGATGCTTCCCTATACGACAAAATCGACGAATTCACGATACCATGTTGTCTGGAATCCGAAACAACCTCTCACTATTTAACATGAGAGACTTGCGCTCGCCTCCAGCGCGTCCCAAACTGAACTCCACCTCTTGCCCGTCATATAAAACCAACTCATCCTTCTACTTCCACTTTCAGCTTCCCACTCTCCAAGAGTGTACCAGAAACTCTCAAAACCCGATCGAGGATCAGTTATGGTCTCTCTGCTCTTCTCCTGGTTGCCTGTAATCTCGACACAAGAAGATTCATTATATCACCAAAACAAAGCTAGTCCCAACTATGTTTTTTTTTTCGAAAGCTCTCAATGATCAAATCATCTAGAGTGTTGTGTGCTCGCCGTCTACAAAGCCTCTGGGAACCGTATAAAGGCCGCTTGTTTTTCCCTCTCCACGCCGACTTTAAATCACTTACACTCTCATAATAAAAACCAAGAACTCGGAAAAGACATGCCAACCCCTCATGAAATTTTTTTTCTGTCTTCCAAGATCAGTATATACCCTCTCTGCGCCACCGAAATCCACCCGCCACAATGACATGTCTTTGGAAAATTCAACCATCGATTCATATGTTGTATGAGGGACGCTCTCGCCTTCTCTGATACTTTTCAAAACTGAAAGTTCACGAGAACATATCTTCTTCCACATTCAAAAGAATAGAGGAACATAACCATGAGAGAAGTGCGCCTGGCGTCTTCAATTTTTCTCAAAACAACAACTGCACCACCAATGCCTTCTTCCAAAGTCTGCCACGCATACAAGTACCAGACCTTGCACTTAGATCGGCAGCGTAGCGTTAGCTGGCAAGCAACTTCCCCTCTCCATCTCGATCCTCGCCGTAGCGTTGACTACCAACCCGGCCAACGGACTAGTTCCACACTTCAGACCTAGTACAAATGCCTGGCTATGCTGTTACATTTGTTAGTCAAAGAAGTCGAACGTTTACTGAAACAATGAAGAAGGAAGAAATGTAGGGAGAAGAGATCAAAAGAACCGCCCAGGTGTTCATGGTGGGAAAGACGGCGGAGAGAAAATACATACCACATCCGCCAAAAACGGCGCTGTATGCGTATGATCCATCGGATACTCCTTGTCCACTACATCCTTGCCAAGTAGCTTCTGTGCTTGCGCGGCGTAGCTACCATGTTGCACAAAATACACATGCGCAGATGGACCACCGAGTTCGAGAACGGACAACATGTCGTAGTAAGCAAATCTTGACTGCTTAAACGTATAAGTACCAGATTCCCACACGTTAGTGGGGAGTTGCTCCGAGATGATGATGCCAGATGCGCCTAGGTCCAGGAACTTGGAAGCTGCAGTTTTGATGTAGTGAGGGAAAGTGTACACGGTTTCTGTGACGTTGCTGTTGCGCGAACACGGAGGTCAGTCGCTGTTATACCAATGATATTATTTGGCGAACTTACTTGAACGTCACTGTACATGTCTCGTCGCCTACACCGGGGCAAGGCGGTCGGCCTTTGTCTCCTGTTGAGCTCGTCGAGCCATTCGTGAGCGTCCCTGCGTCGTTGATGCCGAATTCGATGACCACCCAGTCTCCGGGTTGGATTGCTTGCGCTATCCTGTCAAAACGACCTTCGCGTGCGAACTGTGTTTGTCATATGTTAACCTAGTGTCTTTGATTTCCGTTCTGCATGAAGAGGAGACATACCGAGCGCGCGGATCGTCCAGCATAAGCAGAGTTATTCACGCGAGCGTTGGTGCCGAATGAGTACTGAAGATACTGTCCCCAGCCTTCCGTGCCATTGTGCCCACCGTCGGGTGCAGTTGTAGAGTCGCCAGCTACCCAGATTGTTGGCACGGTTGCTCTCGAAGCTACATTTCCCAGCCTCTCGGTGAGGCCCTGTGGTAGCGCCGAGGCCGCGAGGCCGAGGCCGAGGAGGTATGGTAGGGACGACTGGAGTTTCATGATGATTGCTAGTGCTAGGCCCCTTTTATATTTTACCAACGAGCTGGGTCAGGAACTGGTAGACTTATCAGGACAACGTTCTACCAAACATTGCGCCAAGTGTCCGGTTCTTATACTGATGGTAATAACCCCCCAGGCTGTGTACGATCTACAGCGCCAGCGGAAGATGTAATCTCCAAAATGCGCCGCAATTGGATCAGAAACGCCGTCTCTAGACTAGCTTCATCTATGCGATTCAAAGAAGTTCAAACGTGCGGAAAAGCATCAAAAAGTGTTGCCGGTGCGGAGTCCCCGCAGAGTCCGGGGTCGGTTTATATTCGGCGATCGGAGCATCACCCGCCGAGCTAAACAGATCTTCCGTCGCATGAAAGGATGAGGGCAAACACGATACCGAACAGAGAAGGAGTTGTATAAGAGATCAGGTTCGGGGACGTTTGCGTAATGCGACGGGAAGACAAATTGGCTGACGTCACCAGCATTTGACAGTAAGCGAGTTTTCGAAGTGCTGGTACAAAGCCGTTGTCGCTTCACGTCGCGAATTCTGTTCTTTACACCACACCTTGCTCCAATTAAATACCAAAACATTTCGCGGCACTAATTATGGTTGGCGCGACTTCCCTTGGCTCTTAAATACCTAAAAACAAAATGAGAACCCAGCCATGGCTTCTTCGTCGTCTTAAATCAACGTCCGATGGTACATGACGGCTAGGTCTGTTACACGACTACTCTAAACATGGCACTTACGTCACTAACCTGAAGCCTGTTGACTATAAGAGTCTATGCCTTCTGGTCTATGTCCTCCTCCTCAACACAACAAAATTGTCGTGCATGTTTTCCAAAACGACAAGATAAAAGGTTCATGTCGTGGTGCCTTGCTTGTAAGCCGTCGCTAATCTACTGTCATCAAAAGCCTGGGATGCATTTCCCATGTCTTGGGTTGTGGTTTAAGAACTCCATGGGCGAAGCACATGCTTCTGTGAGCTTGTATAATTCCTCGAAAACATGCGATTGCGTTGCTGGTTCAACCAAGACAAAGGCACTTCCTTTCTTGCTTCGTACTTTTACCCAACACAACAATCCCATCATCCAATCGAAACCCGAAAGACATGTTCCATGTTCTTCGTCTGTTTGCGACTCACATCTGGACTACCAAAACGGGAGCGTCCAATCTGCTGATGCATTCGCCGTCTTCGAAAGCGGAGTATACAGCTGGGTTCGAAGCTCAGAGAAACAATGGTTGCACTTGCGGCTTTTCTCCATCTTGCAGAAAGTTACTGAAGGAGATGTCATGGTGTAAGGTATCAATTGGTAAAAGACACCTGAAGACCGAAACATGATTCATGGTATGGTATGCTGTGCAGGAGTTCCCAATCTTGACGAAATACCGTGTCGACCGTACATGCAATATTGTAGCCAGCAAACCAAACGCCTCCAACGCCACCAAAGATATACCATCATACGCAACATCTCTTCCCAATCAGGCTCTAGGTTGAGCATGTCACGTCACCAAGACCCGACATCTCCCTCACAGCATTCTCGATATCTCCCACACTCATGCCACTCAAAAACGTCGCAGTGAACGTGTCACCTCCAGTGAAGCTGAACGAGTCATCACCAAATTTGTCCTTGAGTGAGGCTTCGTCACCCCAGCCAGATCCAGTGACCTCCCATTTACCACCACCCAAACCCTGTTCGAGGACTTTGCATGATGCTGTATTTGGTGGGGGTGGGGGTGGGGAGTCTGGCTGTTCTGGTTGTTCTGGTTCTGGCTCTGGTTCTGACTCGGTCGGACGGTTGTGAACGTTGCAGATTTCCTGTAGCATGGTCAGTCAATAGTCTCAGACGAGCTGTGCGGAATAAGACGAACATTCTTCAGATCCTCGTTAGTGACCGCGCCATTCTCGACGATCGGACGACCTGGAACAGACTGCTCAGGAGTTGGTGCCCTCTTAGTGAAGAGAGAACGCTTCGCGTTTGTATCCGGTAGATCGCAAAGTCTAAGCTCGTATTAGTCTCGTGGTAATCTGAGTGAGAAGAGTCGACATACTGGTTAAGTGCCAGGTTGTACGGCACTTTGAGACTGTCTTTTTCAGGCTTTGGCGAGTTCTCGTACTCATCGCCGTTGAACGGATCGTCGTTCCGGATTTCGGCATTCTTCAATATGAACGTCTTCATGTCTGCTGGTACACTGCCGTCGCGCCAGTTGCTGCGTAGTTCAGGGATACTGAAGAAGTATGCAGCGAGTCCGGCCTGTTGTCGTTAGCACATTGCAAAAGGCTGGAGGAGATAGCGGCAGGTGCTTACTATAGCTGGGGCGGCAGCGGATGTCCCGGTCGCTGGTGTGGTGGAGTCATCTTCTCCATCATGCTTTGCAGCGACAACATTGACTGCGTCTGCGTATATGTCCACTTGACCGCCTTGGCCGTTACCTTGAACCGTGTCCCTGTAGTATTTACCAGCCTGATCTACACCGCCCACGGTGATCATGCTGAATCTATCATCGGTGCCAAAGGCTTGCGGAGTGAGGGTGTCTAGAGTGCGAATTGCTCCGTCATTGCCTGCGGCGATAACAAGCGTGATATCTTGGTCCTTGCATTTCCTAAGTGCACGCTCCATCGTGTTGATTTTACCTTGGGCACTCTCTTTAATCCAGCCTAGAGTTCTAGTCAGTATGGTTTGCCATAGGCCTTGCGGATAATACCACTTACCATATGATAGATTGATTATATACCTCGCATTAGGATCAGTATTCTGGCGTCTTTGTTGTTCGATGTCTTTGAATGTCCAGCTTAGAGCAAACTCAAGTGCCGAGTCAGTAACCCCACGTGGTATGAGCTTGTCACTTCCTGGGTTCAGAGGGTTCTTAGCCCAATTTCTCATCTTCACAACAACAAGGTTTGCCTTAGAAGCCACGCCACTGACGTATCCAGCCGCAATACTCGCGACCATGGTGCCGTGACCATTGATATCGGTCATATCTTCTGGTCCTTTTTGGTCATCGCTGAGTGAGCCGAGAGCGAGTGTGTGTCGATTGGGCACGACAAAGTCCCGAACCTCGCGCTCAGAGGCATCGAATTCCTGATGACTCTTACGATAACCAGTATCAAGGACGTAGATTGTTTGGCCTTGCCCAAGAGAAGGCTCAAAAACGTAGTTCGGTAGCTGTGCCGGATCGTTCTTCTGGTTCCTTGCAGAAAGCAATCTGAGATGAGCCGCACTATCATCTCTCTGGTTGAGCGATTGAGGCAAGGTGGCCCTGGTATATAGTGTATTTGTACCACCGTGATTAGGGATGACGAGCGCCTCGCCATCCTCTTCAGACATCGGCTCGGCCCATGCTATGATAGGGTCTTGACGAACGATAGCGGCTTCGGCGTCAGTGAGGTTCAGGTATTGGCACGAGACCCACTCGACTTCGTCGAAGGCGATTATGTCACCCTGCTTGTCACCAAGTGGTGGCTTCTTGGCGAATTCCTCGAACTGAGCTTGAGTTATGCCGTCCACCGTGGTGACTAGATAAGGTCTTGGGGTATCTTCGTCCCTCTTGGCACGTTTCTTGGTATCCTCTGATACAGTCTGTACTGGAGTGCCATCTGGGTTAAACTCGCATGCCTCGTTTTTGGTACTATCTTGCGCCGAGACAGCGACCGAATCGCATGATTGTTTGACTCCAGGGTTGGATGAATCGTTGGAGACCACAGCTTCTGCTCCTGGCTGATCGTTTGAATTCATTCTCTGGTGGAGATGTACGACTGGTTGGGTCTCAGTGGCTCCAACAGATAGGTGTGTGAGGAAGACCGCAATCGCTGCCAGAGTGACGTGCGAGACATAAACCATGACGGATGCCTTGGCGAAGCGGGGAAGTCTACAGCGAATCGGATAAAGAGACGTTCAATTGCCGTATACGGTGCAGTTGAGAGAGCAAGAACTAGAGGTATCGCGAAAAGCACGGTGTATAAAGATGATGAATGAGTTGTTGTTTGAATGCGTGTGTATGATCTGGTGTTTGAAGTTCTGCGTTTCTCTCCATCTTATACTCAAGAGCATGAACAGAATATAGAACACTCACCTCAACTAGCCTTCATGAAGACGCGGAATTGTATAATGCCAAGAGTGTAAGATCTTCGTTTTGATACTTGACGCCTCCCTCAATTCAAAACTGATCGACCTATATTGGGCCTGAAAGGCGTAAGGCATACTCGATACGATTTATCTTTGGATCAAAACGCGATACTTAGTGTATGGTGTGGAGGCATAGTATGCAAGATCGGCGTAGGTCAAAGTGAGCTACTTTATTTACGCGAACATGAACTCATGGACGTGATCCGTATTCAACATCTTTAAGCTCACAAGATAGAGTGATGTCGTCCACCAAAAACGTCCAAGACCGTAACCTAGCAAGCCAGACAAAGGGATTCGATAGAGCAATATCGCTAAGCTTACAAGGATCTGTAGAGAAGGATCACTTGAAACTTAGGCTCGCTTCGCCCTCCAGTATCAGGTATATGTGTTCGCTGATGTCAGCGGAGCATGTCGAGCAGACATGAATAGCGTCAGCGTCTCGCGGAGGCAGATTGCGTTCGTATCCCATGTACTGTTTCAACCCTCCGTATACAGATTATGTTTATTACGTGAGTGTTTGCGATGGTTTCGGTGATCGTAGTGTCCCTTCCATCTCTTTCTTAGGCTTCATGTCGCGAAATGACCGCCCATCATACGCGCCGCGCAACTCGTATCGAATATCTGTTATTTTCCTTCAATGTTACATGGTGAGCATGTGTTTCCACTGCTGATCGATGCGACGAAGGTGGACGCGATAGATCGCGATGGGAACTAGACGTGGAGAGGTTGTGCAAGTACAACGCGACGCGGCTCTGCGGCAGGATCGATGATGGCGGGGAATTAGCGCCAACAATGCGGAGCCTCCGCGCGCCGATAGAGCCACAATTTCTGAAAAGCTCTGCCAGCGGACGGCATCGGCGATCTTGAAATGGGCATGGAATCTCAACTTGGAATCGTGGCAGATATACCCTCTTGTCTCGGCCACGTCGTCGCATCCAGAACAGCCATTACTTGAACCTGACAAGCACACTCCCTGATCACCTCTTCACACCAGTCTTACTATCACTACAAACCAAATTCAAAATGGCGACAGATGACATTACGATCCCACAACACGTGGCCATCGCAGAGGCACCCCGCGATGTCGAAGCCATCAAGAAGCAAGAGAAGGCTGCTCTACTCTCACATTGGGATTCTGATGTTGCGTTCAAGCTCGGTTGCAACCTCCGCACACGCCTGCTTACCTTTGAGCGACCAGCGGTTGTAGATATCTCTACCATCAGTACACCAGGCCATGTGCTTTTCCACGCCGTGAGTACCCTGGACACGTCATCACCGAGAAGCGACTACGACTTGTAGAGACGTGTTGCTAACCCTAGATAGACAACACACTCCGGCACCGCCCTAGATAACGACTTCTGGGTCAGCCGGAAACGCGCAGCTGTCATCCGCTTCAACGCGAGTACATGGCGTCTGCAGAACCAATTTGAGGGCGATGAGGAGAAGTTCAAGGCCAAGATGGGACTCGGCGAGACGGCGAAAGACTATGCAATCCATGGTGGCGGTGTGCCCATCTTCATCAAGAACTGTGATGGACCCGTCGCGGTAGTTGTTGTAAGTGGATTGAAGCAGTGGGATGACCACCAAGTCGTGATTGAGGAGCTGGGTAAGCTTTGCAAAGAGATGGAGAAAGGAAACGGCAGTACGCCAGTCTAGAAGGTTGACGCCTATATAAGTAACTTCAATCATGACTGACTTCTTCATCTAACACTTCCTTCAAATTTCGAATTTCTTAAAGTTGAGGGACAGACAGCCATGGCAACAAAAACGGGAATTACGCGCAGTTATGCGTCTGCGGTCTTCAGAAGAGCATTTCTAAATCCACTTCCTCCAAGAAGCAGGGTGAAACTTCATGGGCTGCTTTGGCGTCAAAACATCCAAGGAACTAGATCCATGAGCGAGTCATCCATGTGCATAGCCATGTGACTTCCGAGCCCTCCAAAATACTACGAAAGCCGTCTTCATAATCACGATGAGCAGTTCGTCAGCCACTATAAATCAGGATCACTGCTCCGGCGTTACTTTACTCATACACTTTTACAGTCTCGTGATTTTCAAACTCTGCATGTCCCCTTTTGAATGACCAGCCCCCTCTGGTCCTTTCTTATCCAAATTTACTTGCCGGCTACTATATGTTGTCCAACACGAACTACGAGTGGCGACAGGTATTCTCAAATGCACGGCTCTTCCGAAAGTATGAGCGCAAGCTTGTGATCTCTGTCGCTAGCAGTTTGTGCAGTTCCGAAAACACCACAGAGGGATGGCATGTCCGTCGGCGCCTCCACTGAGGTGTCACAGGCGCGCTGTAGCACTTGGAGCAGCATAAATATCTCTTCTGTCACCTTTCTTCCACTCTATTATCCAAACATACAATTCGAAACATCAAAAAATGCAAGACGGTCCTTTATGGCTGCTCTTTCTGCTCTGAAAGTCGGTGGAGGTAGTCCGAATGTTTGCTTCGCCGCTCTCCATCTATCTACCAAAAACTTTGGTCAGTCCACTTCACGCCAAAAATACGTATCGTACGCGAGATGCTCCAAATCAACCACCGAACAGAACGATGTCGTCTTCAAACTACCCACAATCACTTTTGATGGCTTTGATTTTGGTTTGCTTTATACCTTCAACAAAGTTGAGGGCGAAAAGACGATGTCTGCTGTCGCGATGTATTCCCAAATGTATAAGATACCTACGCAACTTCTCCCCCGCGAACATTAGTAGCATTCTGGATCCCATAGGAAGACATCGGTGTTGTGTTACATCATGTCTTCGATCTCATGCACGCGGTTGAAATTTGGAATCCAGAAAAGCCGTGTGCTCTTAAAGCTCCCATAAATGACATAAGAAGTAGGAGGTGTTGCATGTGGATATTCCTATTGAAGTACCACCAATGTGTCTTTTACGACAACGCAGAGCAAGTTGAGCTGTTCACGATGAACACGAAGAAATGACTTGTGGCTGTTACCAGAACCTAGCTATCTTCTGGTGGGCGTCAGAAGTTGTTGCCGTTATGGTTGCGAAGCTAGTCAAACAGAAGCAGTTGGAGCGGTGTTCACTGTGAATTCCTCACCGCCCCAGAAAGAGCACTCACCGAAACGTGCCTTGATCCGAAGACGAAAGGGGAAAGAGCTAGTAAACATGATGCATGATATGCAGAATTTACTGTATTTGAAACAAGGACTACAAGATGTAGCTGACTTCATCTCTATCGAAATGATACATGACTTTTCGGTCCTGACCAAGGGTGCCATCTTCTCCAAGACGAGGTCGGGGATCAAGCAGCTCGTAGGGTATACGCGAAGAGACCAGAACGCCGAAATGCAAAAAGGCCGCACATGTGTCCCCGCGTAGACACTCAACCTTCCTCAGTATCCATCTGATCGCGTCCTCTCCTTGCACCCCCGCCACGGCCTCCTCTTCCTCCACCTCGCCCACCGCGACCGCCTCTGCTACCTCTCTGTTCATGGTAGTCCTTCATCTCCCTTACAGCAATCCTCTGTGCATCACCAACACGCTCCGCATACACCATCGCCTCGTCCTTGTTGATGACCTCTTCCGGAATCTTCTTGCCAAGCGCGTTCTCAATGCGTAGCCAGATCTCAAGGTCGTACTGTGTGACAAACGATACAGCCTTACCAGATTTTCCAGCTCTGGCTGTCCGACCAACACGATGGACGTAGGTCTGGGAATCGCTTGGCAGATCGAAGTTGACGACGAGGTCGACGGCAGGGATATCGAGACCACGGGCTGCTACGTCGGTGGCCACGAGAATGTCGCGACTCTTGGACTTGAACTTGTTGAGAGCACCGAGACGGGCGGATTGGCCTAGCTGACCGTGTAGAGGGATGGCTCCGAAGCCAAGGGTGCGGAGAAGAATGGATATACGCTGTGTTTCATTGACCGTGCGCGTGAAGATGATGGTTGGGTGGCCGATGTTGTCGTTGAGGAGGTGAATGAGGTACAGATCCTTCCACTTGAAGGGGAGGAAGATGTATCTTTGTAGGAGGGTGGAGACGACTTGGTGTGACGAGCTGCTGATGCTCACGCGGACCGGGTTCTGCAAGGCTGCGCGTTGTAGACTCTCTACTTTGGAGGACATGGTGGCGGAGAAGAGGTAGGTGTGGCGTCCTTCCCTGGGAAGTACTTTCAGGATTTTGTCTAGTACTGGACCAAAGTCCAGGTCGAGCAGACGATCGGCTTCGTCGAGTACCATGTACTTGAGGCTGTGTTATGGTCAGCCTACTGTCCAGTGACCGTTTTAGTCGACAAAACTTACTGCTTGAGCGAGAAGCCCTTGGTGTTCTCCAAATGGTCGAGCAGGCGACCTGGAGTAGCCACCACGATGTGCGGCCTCTTGGAAAGGGCGATAGCCTGAGGGACCATGTCCATACCTCCCACCAGCGTCGCGCACTTGACGTTGATGATGCTACCCAGCGCATCCACTTGCTGTGCGATTTGGTATGCCAATTCTCGAGTGGGTGCCAGGATCAATCCGAAGAGCGGTTGAGGCTTCTCGAGCAGCGACTGGAGTATGGGCAGGACGAATGCCGCCGTCTTTCCGGAACCTGTCTCGGCCAGTCCAATCACATCTCTGCCTTCGAGGGCAAGAGGTATGGCTTGTTCCTGGATGGGAGTTGGGTTCTTGTAGTTGAGACTTTCTACCGTGTCGCACAGTTCTTCGCGGATTCCGAGGTCTCGGAAGGTCTTCTTCGGTGCGTCTGCGGTGGCGGCGGTAGAGGAACCGGCTTCTTCCTCTGGAGTAGCATCATCCGCTACATGCTCTTCCTCTCCGTCGTCTGTAGAGTCTCGGTCGGATTCGCTGGGTTCGGATTCTGGTGGTGGTGCAGCCTTCTTCTGGACTTTGTTCGCGGGCGCATTCGATGGTCGCGCTTTCTTTGAAGACGCGCCAGCCGCAACGGCGGCGTCTTTAGGAAGCTTTCTCTTTGTGACGCCTGGCATGATGTTTGTGATTAGTTGAGAAAAGTCGTGCGCAGTCTTGTTGCTCTCAAAGCATCGGAACCAACAGAAGTCGAAATCTTGGCAAAGTGGGGCGGGCCCACCTAAAAGTTCGAGCGCCAGCCAGCTCTAGTTTGCGACTGCATGCGACAAAACCATTCGTCCGACAGCACCAGCACGCCGCCCCTCAACTCATAGCAGTGCAATACACAGTCGACCCGGAGGGCTCAGAAAAGGTGCCATTCTCAATTCAATAACCGAAGTCGACAAGCAAGCAAGCAAGCGAGTCTTCGCAATGGCTCGTGGGAAAGGAACCGCGAGGAAGAAGCAGTCGGTACGCGACAAGGAGCTTTCCAAGAAGCCGGTCGCAGGGACTCCGAAGTCTATGGTCATTCGTATCGGTGCGCAAGAGTAAGTTGGACCAGATCCAAGGCCGACTTGGTCGCTAACGAAATTCAGAGTAGGAAGATCGGTCTCGGACCTTGTCAACGATGTACGCCATTGCTTGGAACCAGATACTGCCATCCGGCTGAAGGAGCGAAGGGCGAACAAGCTGAAGGTAATACATAGATTCTGGTTTGCATGACTTGAGCTGACAACCTTCAAGGACTTCCTTGTCATGTGCGGACCGCTCGGTGTCAGCCATCTTCTACTCTTTTCACGCTCAGAAGTCGGAAACGTCAACCTCAGGCTATGCCGCGTTCCCCGCGGACCTACCCTCCATTTCCGAGTGGAGAACTACAGTCTCTGCAAAGATATCCTCAAGTCGATGAGGCGTCCACGAGCTGGCGCAAACGACTACATGGTCGCACCACTGCTGGTGATGAACAACTTCCTGACGAGCGACTCGGAGAGAGAAAGACTCGGCGACAAGGCACCGCCTAAGCATTTGGAGAAGCTGGTGACGGACATGTTCCAGGGCTTGTTCCCACCCATCCAGCCACACACCACCCCTCTACACTCGATCAAGCGCGTCCTTTTGCTCAATCGTGAGCCTCCTTCCGAAGAGAACGGATCTGTCACAATCAGCCTACGACATTACGCCATTACAACAAAAGTGACAGGCGTACCAAAGGCCATCCGACGGTTATACGCAGCTGAGAAGCTCATTGGCAGCAAGGAGAAAAAGAAGAGCGCACTACCAAACCTGGGCAAGCTCGAGGATGTGGCCGACTACATGTTGGACCCTTCAGCAGCTGGTTACACATCCGCTTCGGATACTGAACAAGATACCGACAACGAGGTAGAGGTAACAGCACCTGTACGACAAAAGGTCTTGTCCCACCGCGAAAAGGAGAAGCTGAAAGCTGGCGACGAGACATCACATGCACGTGCCAAGGGCTCAAAAGCTCGCGTCGAGAAGCGTGCAGTCAAGCTTGTCGAGCTTGGTCCTCGCATGGTCCTCCGCCTTACCAAGGTCGAGGAGGATGTCTGCGGCGGCAAGATCATGTGGCACGAGTACATCAAGAAGAGCAAAGCGGAGGAGCAAGAATTAGAGAAGAAGTGGACACAAAGAAACAAGGAGAAGGAGGAGCGAAGACGCATACAGAAGGAGAATGTGGAGAAGAAGCGCAAGGAAAAGGCTGCTGCGCGGGGAGAGACTGGCGAAGAAGAAGGCGAAGATGACGAGGATGAGGAGATGGATGACTTGGACGAGTACGATATGGATGATGACGTCTGGCAAGACGCTGCGGACGCTGGAGAGGGAGAAGAAGAGGACGAGGAAATGGATGACGAGTGATATGGTCTTATACAAAAGTCTTAATGATACCCCATTCAACGCTTCATCCCCAACTACGCTCGATCTGTGCTTCCATCCCCGTCACAAGCACTGGGTATTAAATTCGTCGCTCACGTCCCCTTTGGCTTTTTAATCAACACCTTCTCCCCATCAGCACTCAATTCCCAGCCCACTCCCTCACTGACCAACTCCTCCCACCTCCTCTCTGTAACCCTCTCCACAAAGCCCTTGTCCGCACTCAGATACGCCTTGCCTAGACACTTGAGCGCATGCACCCTCACCCCACCATCAGCCCACTCCATAACACTTCTCTGATACCCATCCACACTCTTCCTCACCCGCCAGAATCCCACATAATCATCCGCGACCAGACACTTCAGCACCTTCTCCACTCTCCAGTCCTTGTACCCATATGCCAACTTTGTCGCTCTTGCGCCTGCGAAATCGGATTGCCGACACGCTTGATCGAGGATCAGCAGGCCGACAAAATCGTGTAAGGTGGAAGGGGACAAGGGATTCCGTGGATGTATTGTGTTGAGCAGGGAGAGGAGAGAGGGGAGGTACGAGGCCCAGTCGTGGCAGAGGATGCTGACGTGAATTGCGAAGGTGTAAGCGCGCAGGGCAAAGGCGTCACTGCGGTTCGAGGCTGTTATTGCTTCGCGGAGTTTGCGCAGGGAGGCGAGGACTGTGGCTAGTTCGTTTATGGAGAGCGTGAAGGCTTTCTGGGGGATGGGGTGGTGCTGGTGTGTCGTAGGTGTGTTTGTAGAGGTGGATGCGAGGGGCGGGCGGCTGGTATGTTGGTGCTCTGGGGGTGCGTGTTTAGAGAGGGAAAGCGAGGAGAAGGAAGATGTGAGTTTGGAGTTTGCGGTCGAGGCTGACTTCGTGTCTGTGGAAGTAGACTGGGGGACGCTGACTGAGATGAAGAGGCGATCTAGTTCATCGCGGTTGAGGGCGCAGAGCTTCATGTAGCGTTCTATGATGCGGTTGAAGTAGACTTCTTGCGTTTTGAAGTCATTGAGCCTGTGAGATCAGACATTGCGCCTCGATGTGTAGGATGAGAGGGAGACATACCGCGTCTCTCCTTTGGAAGGCAGCCCATATGTTTCCAAAATATCTTCGCGGACCGGCTTCAGGCGATTCCAAGCACCTGAGGCGGCGCGACGGCTGCTGGGTCGGGCGGGATCTGATGACTTCATGGCGCTGGCGGTTGGGATTGAGCGTCCTGGTGAAGGGGATAGGAGGTCAAGTAATGTCGAAAACCTTGATTACCATGGCTGTAGGTCACCGAACAGACTTCAGACCCATAGTGCCCAGGCGGGTAGCAGTGAAGGTAGTCGCGCTGGAGGTTTGGGAAGGTGGGATGGAGGGGCAACGCCCGAGCTCGACGCGTCTCAGACCATCATCGTTGCGATAGGGACGCAGAGTTCAAAAGCGTCTAGACGTTGATTAACGTGTTCAGTGGTCAACCGCTGCCCTGCTGAAGCGATGTGTTGTTCTCGCAAGCCTCGCCGGACGCGGCGTAGTTCGCGCGTGGTCCCTGAAGTGTTCGCGGATTGTCCGAGGCCGCTTCATGACATGTGAACTCCTAACAAGTTCTCATATACTGCAAATCTTTCCCTCGCGTTCTGCTCATCCATTTTCTCCTGAATTTTCCACGATATGGAAGCCACCAAGAAAGCGACCTCGAAGGCCGCAGAAGCCGGAAAAGAGCTAGAACCAAAGGTCGAAGAAAAGTTGATATTATTATGGGATGAACTCTCGCCGTGGCAGCAGGACAATCACTACATCCAGTCAGGATACCGCGCTCAATCCAATTCCTACATCAAGTCCTGGAAGAGCCTGGGATATTTGCACAACGAAACCGTCAACATCTACACGCATCTCGTCGGTGCTTTGATGGCTGCCGTATCCTCAATAGCTCTATACAGCACACTCGCGCCTCGCTATGGGACGGCTACGCAAGAGGACGTGTGGACGTTTGGCTGCTATTTTGCTGGAGCTATAGCATGTCTGGGTATGAGCGGGACATATCATACGATACAAAACCACTCCCATGAAGTCGCCGTATTCGGCAACAAGCTCGACTACCTGGGCATTGTGTTCTTGATCTGGGGCAGCTTCATACCGGTTATATACTATGCGTTTGGCAACGAGCCAGAGTTACGAAGAACGTATTGGACCATGATCACGACGCTGGCAGCTGCCACGTCTGTTGTAGCGACACACCCCAAGTTCCGCACTCCGGCACTGAGACCATTTCGAGCGCTCATGTTTGTGCTCATGGGTCTTTCCGCTGTATTTCCTGTGCTTCACGGTGTTCGACTGTATGGGATCGAACATCTGCGAAAGAGCGTTGGGCTGGATTGGGTTCTTCTGCAGGGCGCGCTGTATATTGCTGGCGCCGCTATCTATGCTGCGAGGGTACCTGAGAAGTGGAATCCCGGGAAATACGACATCTGGGGCTCAAGTCATCAGATCTTCCATGTATTGGTTGTTCTGGCAGCAGCAAGCCATCTGGTAGCTTTGGTTACGGCGTTCGACTACGAACACAGCCACAGGCTGCAGGAAGTGATAGCAGCCAAGATTTAGACGTAAGTAAACGATATCCAAATCATCCAGCTACAAGCAAGAACCAATACTATCTCTGACAAGTTTCTTCTATGTATCGTGAGATGTCGTATTGCAATCTGCCCTGAAGGAAGCGATCGACAAGGATGTATTTCCAGAATGCAGCCGAACGACGCACAGGCCGGGAGATGACGCCGTGGCTCGATCTGCCAGCCACCTTCTATGGGGAAGGTACTTTTGTGGGTCAGGGCGGCCAATCAAACCACAGGACCGCAGCTTCCGATCTTCGAGCTCACTTTCCCAGCACTCAGGTTCCCGGCTTCCATTCTTCTCTTTTCTTCCACACAACCCGTCGCGTCTCTTCCCACTGCTTGCGCATCATCTCTACGCATCGAAGTATCCTTTTTAGCTTTACGCGCATCAATTGCTGCCCCGCCCCGCTTTCGCGACTTCTCACGCAGGTTTGCGAAGCATAACGTCATCTCATACCGCCAACGCCTACTGAGCTGTATCACACACACAATGACTGACACCGAGATCCAACAAGGAGACAAGGGTACGTTTTTCTCACCTCTCATATCCGACACTTCCTCGAAGGTATAGTGGCTGCGCCTAGCATCCTTCTGTCAGGCGCATTGCGCGCCAGCAAGCGCAACGATTGTCAATCTCCGCGCATTGCTATGCTCTCGATCACATCTAATACAACCCCAAGAATCATCTGTGAAATCATTACTGACGTGCAATTCATCAGTCTCATGGAACTGGGGCTCAGGACAGCCCGGTGGTGAAGTTGCTGAGGTCAAGGACCAAGGCGAGATTGCTATCGAATCAAAGAAAGGCAACACCATCAAGAAGAACGCCTCACCTGACAACCCCGCTGTTCACGTCGAGCGCTCTGGCAACGACGTCGTGAAGCGCGCTTCCGAACTCCAGATCGACGAGAAGGCCGACGGTGCCAACGGAGAACAAGCTAATGGCGACTCCAAGGAAGGCGACAAGGAAGCTGAGTCAGAAAAGACAGAGGACAAGTCAGCAGAGTCGGAGAAGAAGGACGACGACAAGCCCGCTGAAGCCGAGAAGAAGGACGAGGAAATGAAGGACGCGCCAGACAGTGAGGAGAAGAAGGAAGAGGCGCAAACCAACGGCGACTCCAAGGCCGAAGAGTCCAAGGAGGAGTCAAAAGAAGAGGCCAAGGACAACGCGACAGAAGACAAGTCCGACGAGAAGCCTGCAGCCGACGAGAAGGACGACGAACCCCAAGCCGGCGACAAGCGCAAGGCCGAGGAGTCGGCGGATAAGACTAACGGCACAGATGCCGACGAGAAGCCCGCAGAGAAGAAGGCCAAGACTGATGAGGCCGAGGCCGAGGATGAGAACAAGGACGAGGACAAGGATGAAGCCGAGACAAAGCCCACCCCCAAGAAGGGCGGCCGTCCCAAGAAGGAGAAGAAGGAGCCTGCAAAGAAGAAGGCGCCCAAAAAGGCTGCTACCGCCGATGGTACGCCCCGTCGCAGCGGCAGGACCAACAAGGCATCGGTAAATATGGCTGAGGATTAGAATTCCCTTCCCAAGTAAAATGGCAATGGGCACGGTATCGAACGCGGCGCAAAACTCGGACGAGTTGGAACGGGCAGAGCAAGGACAACAATGATGGCATGAACGGATATTGGGTGGAAAGGAAATCTGGATTCGGCGCTAAAAGGGATTGAATCTTGGTATCGTTCTCCTTTACTACGGTAGCAATCTTGCTTCTCCTTTAGTCTATTTTTTTGTGTAACAGTACCAGTAAGATCAAAATCAAAATCGAAATCAACAGTACCTGACAGCTTTCTCTTTGTGATGTCCTAGTTCTTTGCGCATGGAAATGGAAATGGTACGTGGCGAAGCTGTGTAGCTTTACAAGAGACAAACAGGGTTCCATTAACTGAGATGGCTATGAATTGCTACAGACTATTCTTGCTAGATGTTTGTGATTGTGGTGTGCCTGATGAAACTTGTCAGCGATGTTGCACTGTAGTCGATCTGGTGATGTGACAAGTGTGGGTTATCTCTACTCAGACAGGAAATACTCATTCAATAAAGGCCGTGAAACCTTCTCCGATCCGTCTTGAAACTTGTGATTTGTATTGTAATCATCATATTGAGATGGGAAATGCTGGAAAGAGGAGAATTATGACTTACCTGAGTGAATGCAGTGCCGTGGAGCGTTCTGCTGTTAGTGTGGAGACGGTGGATGCGCATGCGATGTATTGATCGCGCAAGAAAAACTGCTCGCGTACAGCTCTTAGCTCATACCATGCTTTGGGCTTTTGTGATCGAGGGAGGAAGAGATGGAGGGAGCTGTAGGTTGGCTGGAAGGATCTTACGCGTTTTGAAGCGAGAGCCTTGGCGGGGCAGGGACCATGTGTCCTGAAAGCTCTCCCCACCTTCGTCGCAGCAATGCTTACCATGCTCACTATCTTCATCGCCTTATGAGATTCGGCTTCTATGCTATGTCGATCTGGATGCACAATGGAAAGGATATTCCATCGCCCTACAACGAAGACGACTCAGCGCCCTCACTTCAACCTTCCACCTGGCCCGCTTCAAGCGACCCAAGCACACGACTGCGCTTAGTTGCAGAATGCAGTCGTACATACAAGTCTGATAATGCGGCTCCTAAACGTACATACTTTTGAATTGGAGACGTTCTTCGACAACATCCCGCAATATGCCATCCTTTCTCACTGCTGGGAAGATGAAGAAGTCGTGTTCTCCGATCTAGATGATCTAGAACAGGCTAGAAAGAAGGGAGGCTTTGCGAAAGTCCAAAAGACTTGCGAAGTTGCTATTGAGGATGGACTCAAATGGGTGTGGATCGATACATGCTGTATTGACAAAAGCAGTAGCGCTGAGCTCTCCGAGGCTATCAACAGCATGTTTGCATGGTACAAGGACTGTAATCGATGTTATGCTTATCTCGCCGATGTGGAACTCCGGGGCGCTGGCAAACCGATCCAACTCAGCAAGTGGTTCACACGTGCTTGGACGTTACAAGAATTGCTTGCTCCTAGTAACCACCAGACGTATAGCACAGCTCCAGGCATGAAATTCTATTCCCACGACTGGCAACTTCTTGGGAATAAGATCAACATTGGCCCGCAGATATCTGAAATCACAGGAATCCCCATAGAGTATCTAGAGGGTCAGAGCTTGGACACCGCAAGCATCAGTATGCGGATGTCATGGGCTGCATATAGAAAGGCAACAAGATCCGAGGATATCGCCTATTCTCTTCTTGGAATCTTCGACGTAAACATGCCATTGCTGTATGGAGAAGGAAAACACAAAGCATTCAGGAGATTGCAGGAGGAGATCATGAAGATTTCTGAAGACGAGACGCTTTTTGCTTGGGAAGTTTCAGACGGAACGGAGATGAATGAGTTGACCGCAGACGTGCTCGCCGTTAATCCGAACGACTTTCGAGAAACACGAGATCTGATACCATTCGCCTCGGATGATCCTGTGGCTCCTTATGCTATGACACACAGGGGTCTACGTATATCCCAAACGCTCTTCCACACTCACCAGCTCGACGAGAATGAACGCAAGAAAATTCGACCGCTTCGCTCACCAGTTATGATCTGGTTGAGTCATGACATCTCTTGGGGAATTTTAAGATGTCACGTTGTTCACGACTTTCAGCATTTCGTGATCGTTCCATTGCGACACCTGTCTGGTGATGTTTATCTCCGAGACGTCAGTACAAGTGTATCTTTGATCCCTTTTGGATCGGTGCCATCTACTGCATTCTCTAGGGAAATCTACATCCGGAATGCTCTTACGTCAACTATTCAGAGAGGTCTCCAGCGTCGATGGGGTTTTCTCGTTCGCAGCCATACAGAAGGCGTCGAGATACGACAATGCTATCCGAAAGAAGCTTGGAACACGAAAGACAATATTTTACAGGGCAAGTTCGACGACGCTGAAGCTTCATCCTGGCATGCGGCACTGGATTTGAGCTACACTACAGTGACGAAATCGGGTCAGATTGTGAAGTCCTTAATGCATTTGGCCCTTGGGTGCAAGTACGATGAAGTCGCGAAGAAGCCCAAAGCATGGTGCCATATTGAAGGCGCGTCTTCGCCATATAGTGGCGGATATCTACAACAATTTCATCGCGAAGCATCGTCTAGGCTCGCACGAACATCGATTTCGATGTTCCATATGGATCAGACGACTGGGTTCCAGTCTTGGCATAGTCTCGAGGTCACCATCACTCCAGCAAAGGTTCTGTCGCAAGACATGTTCGTTGTAGACTTTCAATACGCGGAGCTCCAGGACCCAATAGATACAGGCGCACGTAGCTCTCATCGACAACTGGCACCTCCCAGTACGTCAATTCCCACGATGTATCCTGGACCCGCTTTTCACGACCTTCCGGAGCGGGTTAAAACAGTGCCCAAGATCAAAATCATTGAGCCATAGAAAACACGGAGATTGTCACAAAATTGCTGTGTATACTGCCAGTTTCTTTGCCGCTGCCTTTGCTCGCTTTGGCGCTCAACAGTGATTGTTTCTACAAACGAGGGTAGCGACACAGACATTTTCATCGCACCCACATGTTCTCTACGTTGTGCATTCTGCTGCACACTCTGCACGTCACGTTCTATACAGCGATTTAAGGTAGCAAATGGCGATGCATGTTTTCGTAGCATATTGGAGTTAAATGGCGAATCGCTTGGACCCGCTTTCGGCAATCCACCATGTTCCTGGGAATGCCCAACTACTTCCTACTAATCACAAACATGTGGCCTTAAACGACTGAAAACCATACAGCCTAAGATTACCGAAGACGTCCAGAATGTAGATCAATGGTTTTGGCACGCGCAAACTAGATCGTGTTAGCAAGTTTGACTTTCACGAAGAGGTATGTACTCACTTGTGTCTTATGCCACAGCTTCCAGACAATGATTGGCACTATAAAAAGTGGTATGCCAATGTACGAGGCGATGAAATCACCCGTACTCCAGTTCCCTTTCAAAAACACAGGGAATCCTGTAATCAAAGTAATGATAGTGGACCCAATGAACCCATACCATGCGGTAAAAGGCTGGAACGGGCTCTTCCAAGGCAAGCTGTCTCGACTGTGTCCCTGCGCTTTCATGGCAGCATAGAAGCGGATGAAGCAGAAACATAATGTCGCCCAGGCAATCAATCCCGCAACAGTGCTAAGACTGACTAACCAGCCGAAAGCTTGTGCAGCACCACCAGAACCCAGACTGAGATATGCGAGAGGCCCAAAAGCCCAAGAAGCGAGGACCGCCCAGTACGGTACGCCGTTGCTCCAGGTACGGCCAAAGAATTGTGGGAGTTGGCGGTCCGTGGTCATCGCAACGATGATACGGGATCCGACCCAACAATAAGAGTTACCTGCCGACCAGGCAGATATGAGAATGCAGGCATTCACAATCGAAGGGAGGGTGCTGATGCCTGCCTGCTTGATGGCGATGACCCAAGGTGAAGAGTTGGCATTTCCACTGTCTGATACGAGACCGGGATTCCTAGGGTCGACAATGATTCCAATAAGAAGAGCACCCAGAACATAGAACAGGGCGATTCGGAATGTAACGCGTTTGGCCGACTTTGGGATGGCAACGTGAGGGTTGATGCTCTCGGCAGCTGTAATAACCACCACCTCGACGCCTATGAAGGAGAACGCCGCGTTGACGAACGATGCCAGGAATCCTAGAAAGTGACCCGTTGGTCCAGTGATGCCATTGTAATCTACCCAGGCTCCGGGGTTGTTCCAATAGCGGAATCCAATGGTCTCGCCGTTTGGTGCGCCTCCGGTCGTTATGACAATAGAAACCAGGATCAGACCCAGGAAGCACGCGATCTTGATCGTACCTGCAGCGACTTCCGATTCACCAAACCAACGCACGCTAAGCAGATTAATTGCGAGAATGAGGACAAGACTGATGGTAATGACAATAGCAGGTGACATGTCAGTCCAGTAGCCGACCAGGATTGCGGATGCCGAGCATTCGGCGGCGATGGATATAGTGTAGCAATAACCATAGCTTATAGCCAAGGAGAATCCGACAGCTGGGTCAATGAAGCGGCTCGCGAAATGTGGGAATGAGCCAGCAGTAGGAATCTAAATGATGGTGAGCACAATCTTGAGATAAATCGCCATAGGATACCGACCACCGTAGCCAGTTCTGCAACACTTTGCATGACACACCATAAGACACTCCCGACAACGATGTAGGCAAGCAACAACCCTGCCGGTCCAGCATCTGCATATGCAGAGCCGGTTCCAATGAAAAGTCCCGTCCCTATTCCAGAACAAAAACCAATCATGGTGACATGATAGTCCCTGAGACGGCGCTGGGTAGCGCCATGACCACCGACGTTCAGTTGTGGCTCGATGATTGGCTTGCCATCGTCGGAATGATGGTAGTCGATATGGGGCGAACTCTCGATATCTCGGATGTGGTCCAACATGTCTGCGGGGAAAGGGTTTGGAGACGCACAGGCAATAGGGTCCGCGGGTGACTACTCTGTGGCTACATTATAAAGCTTCCTAGATGATACGTACTCGTATGCTCTTATCCCTTGTCGATCAGGAAATTCTCTTTCGCGCCATCAAAGCACGTCATGTAAATCTACTGTAAGCCTGGACCACCCTGTGGTGGCGCTTCATGGAGTCGCTGAGTATCGTACGAACATCATGGAACATATCCTGCAACTTTGGGGGGTTTTCTGGAGTATCTGAATGGTCAGGTAACTATGCATCGATCAATAGCAGCAGCCATGCTCGGTTTCAGACATTTTATCGATAGAGATAGAGCATCGCCATATGATTTGTTAGACGAGCTAGTTTCCTGTAAATCGTGAAATTCCGGAAGGGGCCGATTTTAGCGCCGCGAAGTTTTCTTCAGATGAACACGCTACCGGCTGCTGGTCCGTATCACGCTAGTTCCATCCGCTCAACAACAGAATTGTGGAGACGTGTGAGTACTTTGTGATGCTTGTTCTCTAGCATTACGGAGGTATCTATCGGATCGCTTATACTTTGACTCTCAACGTCCAACGTCTTCCTAAACACGCCCAGCGACTGAACAAGAAGCTAATCAACGACAACCCGAGGATTGCACAGAAGAAAGCTACCATAGGTTGAGGCCCGACAGTCTCAACGAGCTCTCCACTGATTGGGATGCAGACCAGCGTCGCAAGAGAAGCGATGAAGTACATGCTTCCATAGTATCGGCCAAACTCTTCCGCTCTGCATAGCTGTCCCACACATGCAGGCGTAAGAGCCATCCATGAACCCGTACCAAATCCAAAGAGCGCTGCGAAAGCGTACAGAGCTGGAAGCGATGTTGTACCAAACGGCAACCACAGGACCAACATCCAGAGCAAAGTGAACAGAATCATGACGAATAGGGTATTGAATCGACCAATCTTGTCTGCGACATAGCCTGGAAATAGTCGTCCGAGGCAAGATACTCCATTGAGTACGGCAATGAGATAGAATCCAGTATCCGGCGGAAAGTTGGTGCTTATCGATGCATATGTAGGCATGATGCCCAGTCCACCAAAGAGAACGACCTCAAAACCGAAAACACTCAATGTGAACAGGCTCAACCTTAGATCACCGTAGATGGACAGTGAGATTATGGCCTTCTTCTTTGCAGCAGCAGATGGTGGAATGCGAGCTTTCATCAGGATGTTGGCGACGATGAAGCAAAAGAGGAATACAAAGCCCAGTATCCGGAGTGACCATGCGTAGCCATACTTTGGAAGGGTGGTGCGTAAGATTAACGGAATTGCCAAACCACCAGCGGAGCTTCCCATCATTGCGATGCCTTGGGTGAGGCCTCGTCTCGCTTTGAACCAATGCGCAACCACCGCAAGACTCGTAGTGGTCAGCATGGCGCCGGAGAACCCTCCCAGTATACCACAGCAAAGGATCATCTGCCAGAACTTGTCGCACTCAGCAAGTAGGAAAATCATCAGTAGGAACATGACACTTCCGGTCAAAGCGATCCACCGTGGCCCATAACGGTCAAAGAGTGGTCCCACCCAGATGCCCAGCGCAAGGGACAAGTAAACGAAGACCGAAGGGATCCATCCGATATCACGCGCCGACATGTACGAGAGTTGATGCTGGCCCCAGTAGTCCTGAAGTGTGCCGATGGAAACCATGAAGCCAAAAGAAGGGAACAGCATCAAGCACGCTGATGCGACAACGAGCCATGCACGCAGTCCACCTTCAGGAAAGTCATCCTCTGCGTCTACGATAGGTATTCCGGGCTCTTCGTCTAGTTCGTCGATGGGTTGCGTCCGATGCGACCGTGTACGCCCGTGCGATCGGATTTCCATCTCTTGATGAATAGACTGCTTCGCTTCGCTCCCCGTTTTCGACCGTCCTGTCATCTTCGACACTGTCCTTCTCAACCCATCCCAAATCTCATCTGGTTCGGCATATGGTCTCCCGTCGCTCGTAGTCATTCCGTCCTGCACCTGTACCGTCGGATTGGCGATTGGATCCATCTTCGAACAAGGCCTTCGTCTTCCTCTTTATCGAATCGGATAGAAGAATACAGCAGAATTGCGTCAAGCACTCGTAGCGTGGACCAAAAGATTTCTTATCCGTCAGGAAGTTGTGTGGTCGTGGACCACAGAATCTGCTGCTCCTTATAGAGCAGCATCCGGACAGTCATACCTCATTGGTAGCATAGCTTGGCGTAAAACGTGCGTCTATGACAGCGAAAAGATGCATAAGGCGTATCAAGCGTCAAGGCTTCTGAAGCGCGCCCTATCGGCGAGTGAACCGGCGTTGTCGGGACCTGCCCCGCCTTCTAGTACGTTCGGAGCTTTCTGAACACTCCGATGCACCCCTGGCTGCGCGTACTGATACTCCGAGATCGCCGTGGTAAAGACGATAAGGGCTTTTCGAAGCTTTCCGGTGCAAGGCGCAAGCGCGTAGGTGGAGAGGTGGAGACGGTTGTGGCTGCCGGTGATTGAAGTTGTAAGGCGCGACGAAAACCCGCGGACTTGAGGGATGATGACTTATTCATCCACTGGTTATTACATCAGTCCGATAAAATACTCAGCATGGCCTTTTCAATTCATACATCGACTGACTATGGACTATCCACTAGCTAACTACAGACCTGCACCTCACTTCGGTACAGCCGCAATAACGGAATGGAACCTCACATCGTCATAGCAGTGCACGTCCACCATTTTCAGTCCTGCGCTTTCCAACAACTTCACCCAATCTTCTCTACTCCGTTCAATGCCGCCGAGCGCCGCCATCATCGCAAGATCCATCATAGCAACCTGCCAAGGTACCTTTGTCTCTGGTAACACCACCTCATCGATCAAGATGCGCGATTCTGGGCCCATTGCCGGGATGATACTCGAGAGGATGCGCACACAGTCTTCATCCGCCCAATCATGCATGATATGGCGCAAGTAGTAGAACTTGGCACCACGAATCGGTTGTTGCGTGAAGAAATCATGGGTTTGGAACTCAATACCATCCACTTTGGGCGCATGTGCAAGAGTCGAAGGGACATCTTGTACGACGATACGGCCGGAGAGGTCAGGAAACTTTTTCTTGAATGCCACAGAATGTTGACCGAAACCGCCACCAATGTCAACCATAAGCGCAGATTCGTCTGCAGGCTTGAAGTCGCCAACGACTTGCTGAGCAGGGTATGAAGAGACCCAACTATCGACAGAGTCGAGCACCATGATGTGGCCGAGTGCTTTCATCTGCTCACCATCCTGCTTCATCCACTCGAATGGCGTCAGCTTCGTCTTCATTGCCATATGAAATGGCAGATCCTTGGGGTCGCTAATGTCTTGGTAGTTGTGCTCTTTTAAGTAGCTGGGAAGCGCGTTTACAACCGGCAGGTGGAGCTTCGAAAGATGCGGTGCGGCGCCGTTGACATGCGGATCTGCGAAGACGCGTGTCGTTCGGCTTGCTGCGAAAACGTCTTTCCCAACTTCTGTGATAAGTCCAAATGATGCCATAGAGCGAAGTAAGTGGGCAAGTAGGTTCGGTGCTGCGCCAGTCTTTTCCTGAAAGTCACCGTGCGTCATCGGCGTCGCAGATGAGGAGAGCGTGGTAAAGATGTTGAGATCAATTCCAACATCGACAAGGGCCCATTGAAGAGGCTGATGACGTTAGTGAAAGGTATCCAAGGCGTGTGGAAGACTCACTGCCATCGCTAGGCTAAACATCATCTCCCAGTCGCTATAAAGATCCTTTTGCAGGTCTCGAACCTGTTCTTGGATTTGTTGTCGTTCACGAGCATTGCTCTTTGCGTACAGTTCGCGGATATTCTGTGCTGCTGCTTCCATGACTGTAGGGTTATGGGTGTACACTATGAAGTTGTTTATTGAGAGACGATGAGATGGCTGTATCGATACATGTCTGATATTTTACCTTCGATCTTTATATCTTTCCTCTCTTCAGGCAACCACTTTATTACTTTCGATGTCGACCGCATATTGCGTTCTGGGATCGTTTGTCGGCCGAATTGTGCGAGATCTAGGTTGGTGGTAGTAAGGCCATCCGCAGGTAACAGCGAGATCGCCGAACAGACCGATTTTGCCGATGCGATGTCCGCGGTACATCTTTCCATACAAAATTAGAGACATTCTCGTTGTAGCATCACCCAGTCTGGACTCTACACTTCATTCGATGTTTGATCTGTTCAGTTGTATACTCCGCGAGCTGAGGGAGGAACGATTGTGTGGGTAGATTGACGAGGGATGCTGAACCTCGGCATGTCGATCGTTCCCCACATCTCCGGGCGTCCTCCGCATCACGCTTGTTTCGCGTTCCAGGGACATCAACAAACACGATAGGAACGCTCGAGAGATCATCAGGTTCCGCAAGTATCTATACGAGACACAACTGCCCTTCTTGTGAAGAACACCTCTGAGTACCATCATCATGTCCGACGCAAAACCACTAGCAAAGACCGAGGAAACGACCTACTACGAACCAGACCCAGATTCCTACGTCAGCTATCAACGCGAGATATATGCTAGTCTTCGGAAGCCCAAATACTCAACGAAACCCGCGCAATGGGAAGCAGCTGCTCGAGCTGCAGTTCCTGAACCAAACTTCCTTTATGTCAACGGCTCTGCAAGCAGTGAATCAACATATACAGCAAACGTATCAGCTTTCGAGCGATACCGACTACGTCCATGGATGCTGGTGAAGGCTACACGGCGCGACATGTCAGTTGAGATTTTTGGGCGAAGATACAAAAGTCCATTGCTTGTGGCACCGATTGGTGTACAAGAGATTCTTCATCATGATGCCGAGGAAGCAACCGCAAGAGCTTGTGCTGCTGTGAAGGTACCCATGATCCTTTCGACAGCTGCTACTCGAAGCATCGAACAAGTCGCACAAGCCAACGGAGACGGCGACCGGTGGTACCAACTCTATTGGCCCAAGCCGCAAGCTGAGGAGCTTACAGCGAGCTTGCTTAGTCGAGCAAAGGCAAGCGGCTTCCAGGTTCTAGTTGTGACTCTCGACACGTTCATGATAGGCTGGCGACCTAACGATCTCGATGAATCATACATCCCCTTCATTTGGGGCCAGGGCTGTCAGATCGGCTTCTCAGACCCCGTCTTCAATCGCATGTACGAGGAGATGCAAGCTGCAGATACTCGTAGCATCAGCGAGAAGGTATCGGAGATCTGGCAGATTCTGAAAAGACCGGGGAGCATCGGAGGTGCGGCGAAGGTTCTCAGCCATGCCAGTATTATCAAGAAGGCCATGTTGTTCACAGACCTGGTAGCGTCTGGGAATTACCGCGATTGGAACGATTTAAAGATTCTTAGGAAGTATTGGGATGGGCCTATTGTGTTGAAAGGCATTCAGACTGTGGAGGATGCGCATCGAGCTGTTGAGCACGGAATGGATGGCATCATTGTCTCTAACCATGGAGGACGACAGCTTGACGGAGCGATTGCATCGCTAGACGCATTGGCGGATATTGGTGCTGATGACAAGATCAAAAGCTCGGGCTTGACTGTGCTATTCGACTCTGGTATCCGAACTGGGTCAGATGTTCTCAAAGCCCTCGCCTTGGGGGCGAAAGCTGTCTTGGTTGGACGTCCGTATGCATATGGCCTTGCGATGGGAGGCGAGGAAGGTGTTAAGCACGTACTCAACTGTATGCTCGCTGATACAGACAACTCTTTGGCGAATCTTGGGAAGAAGAGTACAGCGGAGATCAGTCGGGACGATTTGAGGGTGATGCAACAACCAGCAAAGTTGTAGTTAGCAACCAAGGCGCCTGCCAATGATGTTTGTGCTGCGAGCTGTACAAAAGTTTCGCAGATCGATGCATACCTGAAGGTCAGTGGTAGCAGCACTTCAAGGCAGTTATGTTGTAAGCATCAGAAGGTCGAAACATTTATCATGCGTCAAGAATGTCTGCAATGTTGTCCTCAGCGTCCCCAGCCGGCAACACGAGAAGGGAGAACGAGTGTTTAATGATAGACGCCCGTGGGGTGTGATTTCCCAATCAGGAAGGTTTGGCTCCGAGCGTTGATAATGGCGATATTCGCCCAATGCCGCCCATGGTGCCCACACGATCGCTCGATAGCGCCAATGCTCGCTCAATGTTGCTCACACTCATCTAATGCCCGCCAGCCATGTATGCCATGCTCACCCAACGCCTGCAACCTCAACGAGATCTCAACGGATATCTACACCGTATAGTATGCACACCATATCAGGAGACTGGTGTCAGTTTTCTTTGCCTATTGTTAACATTATCATCACTAATGGCAGACACAAGTGAGACCAGTGCCGCTTTTTATGCAGGTCGGTACAGCAATAGAGCCCCAAATGGCCTCAGCACATCTACATATGATGGCTATCAAGCATGAGGCCAACTTCGACACAAGCAGTAACGGGTCCGCCATGGCATGTTATTGGAGGCGGTCAACATGCCATCTCTTCCAGCCTTGGAAGGCGCGGACTTATGTATGCCTCGTCTTGTTACCATTGCATGACGCATGGAGCTGTTGAAACCTGTCATGACGTTAGCATCGCGTTTGTGGCGGATTGCCAATGTGCAGCGGGCCGGATGCAACGGCTCCTAGCCGTACTTCCACACGACTCAGATCGTTTTATCTCATGATGCTTCCAAGGTTTTGGGCGCCTTGCATAGAGGCAGTATATGTCAGTGCGTTGGTGGTTGGGGAAGGGACTTTGCATGCGGGCGCTACCATCGCTGGCAAGCTTAGCGTTCGAGATTTGTGTGGAGCTCATTTTTCCGCCGACGCTTGAGAAATGCCACCATTCAGACAAACGCACTAGACTCAACACATGCAGCACCAAGCATTGGGGCGGCCTCGTAAACATGGCTTGGGAGGCTTGTCTTTGCAGTTTGAGCCGCATGGCGTTGTTGTGCGCGCAGAGGAAACACCACGAAAATTATCGCGAAACTCCCGACACTCGTCGCTCGTCGGTATGTTGGCCTCTAGCTCGTGGACAAAGCCTAATGTTATCCGAAAACTACGGATGACTGGTGGAAGAAAATATAATCGGGTCTGTGGAGGCGGCCTATTCCCAAAGGTGGAGTCTGGGGTCGGGCAGGTTCCTCCACCAGATGATAACGACGCAATGCCGGGGGACTGTGTTGCCGATGGTGCCACCCTAGGCATTTGATGTTTCTATTCATAAGCCTGCTTCACCCTCACCAAAGGTACGCCAGTCAACCTGCCGAGCTGCGACGACATAGCCAAGATGGTGTCCAAATTCTTCAAAAACCGCAGGGTCTATCTACTGACTAGCGTTGCCTACATGGGCTCGCTGCTGTTCGGTAAGAACAAATTACCTGTTTACCTTGACAAGAGCTGACAACAACGAAGGTTATGACACTGGAGTGATGGGTAGCGTTCTCGCACTCAAGGCTTTCAAGGAAGATTTCGGGCTGCCTACAGACTCATCTGGATTCTCCGACTCGAAGAACGCGTCGGTGTCATCAAACGTCGTTTCGCTCCTCACCGCCGGTTGCTTCTTTGGAGCCATCGCGGCTGCCTGGTTCAACGAACGGTTCGGTCGACGGCTATCCCTCATGGGTTTCTCCCTCGTTTTCCTTATCGGTGCCGCGATCCAGACTGCTGCTCACCATGAGATCGGCATGATCTATGCAGGACGCGTTATCGCTGGTCTCGGTATTGGAGGAATGTCATCCATCACTCCCGTGTTCGTCGCAGAAAATGCACCTCCAGCTCTTCGAGGACGTATCGCAGGTCTTTTCCAAGAGTTCCTGGTCATTGGCAGTACCTTCGCATACTGGCTTGATTATGGAGTCGCACTCCATATGCCTGTCTCAACGAAGCAGTGGAGAGTCCCGGTATCAATCCAGCTGATTCCAGGTGGTTTCATGTTGATTGGGCTTTTCTTCCTCAAGGAATCTCCTCGATGGTTGATGTCGAAGGGTCGGCAAGAAGAAGCTGCGGAGTCACTAGCATTCATTCGCTGCGAACAACACGACAGCCCCGAACTTCTGCAGGAACTAGCAGAGATTCGTGCGGCTGTGGAGGAGGAGCTCAACATGACGGAAGGCATTACATGGTAAGTTGTGACTGTGAAAAATGCATGCGAGACATACACTGACTTCGTATCTCCATCTCGACAGGAAAGAATGCCTTCTTCCTGGTAACCGATACCGTTTTATCACTGCTTTTGTGCTCATGTTCTGGCAGCAGTTTAGCGGAACAAATTCGATTGGTAAGGACAGAACGCCAACGAATGTCGAATACCTTGATCTAACAATTTGCTAGGTTATTACGCGCCCCAGATCTTCCAGACTATCGGTGTCTCCGCGTCCAATGCCTCGCTCTTCGCGACCGGTATCTACGGAACCGTCAAGGTGATTACAACGGGTATCTTCTTGATCTTCGGAATCGATTTCATTGGGCGCAAATACTCACTCATGGGCGGTGCGGCATGGATGGCGGCCATGATGTTCATTATTGGAGCTGTTCTCGCCACTTACCCACCAAACCCAGATTCGGACTCCGTATCATCACCCTCTATTGCCATGGTGGCCATGATTTACCTTTATGTGATCGGATACTCGGCTTCTTGGGGCCCCGTTCCATGGGTATACTTGTCAGAGATCTTCCCAACGCGGCTTCGATCGTACGGTGTCGGAATGGGATCTGCAACTCAGTGGCTCTTCAATTTCGTGATTACGAAGATTACCCCGGAGGCTATCAATCGTGAGTGTGCCCGTACGAACTCCGTGTGAGACATACACTAATTTCGTACACTAGACATCGGCTGGAAAACCTTCCTTATGTTCGGTATTTTCTGCCTTTCCATGGGCATTTTCGCAACATTATTCATCAAGGAAACGAAGGGAAAGACTCTGGAAGAGATCGACATTCTCTTCGGAGATGTGTCAGCCGAGCAGCGCCTCCAAGATGTCGAAGCGGGAATGAAGGAAGAGCAGCGGAAGCACTCGGTAAAGTACATGGAGGACGCCACCGAGCTCGAGAACAAGGCAGGGAAAGAGTAAGCAAGACTTTGATCATGTTAGCGAGTTTTGAGGCTCCTAGTGGACCAATGTGCATGCTTCAGCAGAGAATGCTTTACCTCCGCAATGAGCTTTGATAAAGTTCAAACGATAATAAATGTTTTCCGATCATGAGCACATCGATAATTTCATTCCTCCTGTTAGAATAAATGTGCGAGAAGGCTTTCCGGCGTTTAGGACAGCGAACGATTATTCCCAGATAGGAACAAGTGGGCTTAGCGGATGCGCTAGCCTGATTAGGTCAGGGGCAATCCCATGAAGCCTCGAACATCTGCGTGCACTGCTCTCTTCTCTTGACCATGCTCGAAATGATCGCCATTAGAGAATAAGCGCGCACCACACTAATTGATATACTGAAGTTGGGAAACCTTCGTTCTCCGCATAAACTCGTGTCCTGCAACCGAAAAGGCCTTTTGATCATACGGCCATCCTGACGCCCTATGTGGGGAGACCTCCAAGTCAGCTTTCATGCGCTCAAGTTTCTTATCGTGAGTCTACATTCGATGCGTAATCTATCTCGCTTGTAGTAGCCAATGAACATGCTTGAGACGCAGTCTCGCAGCCATTAGCCTCGACCGTTTACCATGATGCCGGTACCAATGTAAGATCACGAACGCCACGAACGCACGCCGACCTCCTTGATATTCACCCTGCATCGAGAACACAAGACGTACAGCGGGAGACACCCGGGTAAATCCTTGTGGATGCGTGATGACCGCGTGCCCGATATTAAGTTACTGCATCTGATAACCAGAAAGAGAAGACGAACAGGTGGCATATGTTGCCTGTATTGCTTCAGAGTTCTGGCCGTGATCAGCTTGAATGTTTGTGGGGCATCTACAAGTAGTACAATGGTGGAGGGTTTGCCAATATGGCCACAGAACACCCGTATAAGATGCTGTTGTGACAGCTTTTGAGAAAGTAAGCTCTTTTCTGTGAGCTGTATTGTCTTTCTCGTACCGATTTCGCATCTGCGCTTTCCATGATGGTTTCTAGCTTCTCGCTCTCCTCGATCCTTCTTCTGGCGCAAGCCGCCTTTGCATACAATTTCCAATACGAAAGTATACAGTTGGAAGGATCGGACGTGGCGGACAACCCCGATCTTGCTTTCGGCGAAGCAATAGGAGGCAGTATACCCTCCTGCAAAAACTACCCAGGCTACGGCGGTTGGCCGTCATCAACACAGTGGAGTACCCTCAATGTCAGTCTCGGCGGCACATTGCTCAAGGGTATCCCTCCAGCCGCAGCTTGCTACCAAGGCGAATACAAAAATGCGACAAAGTGTGCAAATGTCAAGCGACGACAATCTGATGCTCTCTTCTTGTATGTCCGGGTTGACACTACTCTGCACTGATCACTAACTTGTTAACTTAGCAAAGAAGACCCACTGATACCATTCCTGTCATGGACGCTCGATAACCCATGTCCTGTTCCTGCGTCCAGCGCTGCGCCTCCTCAGTCCGAGTGCAAGTTGTTGAGCTTCCCTGCATACGTAGTCAATGTCACCACGACCAAGGATGTACAAATGGCTGTGAACTTTGCGCGCAATAACAACATTCGGTTGACGATCAAGTAAGCCTTGTCCACTATAATCTCAAACTCAAGCTGAACGATTCAGAAATACTGGCCATGACTTCCTCGGCCGGAATACCGGTGGCGGCGCACTTCAAGTCTGGATGCACCGCATGAAAGCATTCGAGTACTTGCCCACCTACAAAGTCGGTCAGTACAGTGGCCAAGCAGCCCGAGTTGGTGCAGCACTGGAACAACACGAGGTATTCAGCTACATGGGAGAAGCTGGTATTACACTGCTAGCTCCCGGATCTTCGACGATTGGGGCGTATGGTGGTTACATGCAAGGTGGAGGATTCTCGTATATCACCTCAAAGTATGGTTTGATGGCTGACCAGGTCCTTGCTTTGGAGATTGTCACAGCAGATGGCAGGTTCGTACATGCGGATCCGACGGAAAACTCGGACCTGTTCTTCGCTATCCGGGGTGGTGGACCTGGTAAATTTCTGAACACTGTCGTGACTAGTTGCAGTGACTAACGTACACTCTAAGGTAACTTCGGTATCGTGACATCTGCGATTGTCAAGGCGTATCCACCCACAACAATTGCACGAAGCGACTTCACCTTCCAGACTGGCCCCGTTTCTGGCAACGACAAAACCACTGTTCGCGTGTCCAAAGAAGTCTTTTGGAAGGGCATGGGAATTTACTTCTCGCATAACCTGCGTATCAATGACGCTAAAGGTATCATGTCGAACTAAATAACCACAACAGGCGGCGCCTTCACACTCTCTAGTCAAATTACGAAGCCAGGCGTCAAAGTGAAAGAGATGAGAGATCTTATGGCGCCGCTGATCCAGGATCTCAATGACATCGGCATCCCTCTGGCTAACCCCGAACCAGAATTCTGGGGTACGTATGCTGATTTCGGCTCCGCGCCGCCGAGTGGTGGGATACAGAACAGCCGCCTCGTATCTCGCCTTGTCCCCCGCTCTAACTTCGAAGACTCAACATCCCAATTGTTCAATGCTACCATGAAAGCGATCCGCTCATACGTGGAAGAAGGCGGATACAGCTTTCATTCCGTCGATTATGCACCAACGCTTGAAACAGCCGGATATCCTGGCTCTAGCTCCGCCGTATCGTCGCACTTGCGCAACGCGGTCATGCACATGACAGGCTGGGATACCAGACAATATGGCGCTGATCTTCCAGATGAAATCGCGAAGTCGTCGCATGCTCGTCTCAACTCGTATGTACAGAAGTTGAGAGATGTGACGCCGCTTAGTGGTGCGTACATGAACGAGGCGGATGTGGCGGAGCCAAACTTCCAGGATAGTATGTACGGCGACAAATACGATAACTTGCTTAGTGTCAAAAAGGAAAGAGATCCTTGGGGTTTATTCTACGCCGCTACGGCTGTGGGTAGCGAGGACTGGGTTGTCCAAGGGACGAGAGGACTGCCTACACAACAGGGAAGACTCTGTAAAGTTGACGCGTAGAGTACGCGGATTATATAATCCACCACCTCTCTTGTTCATTCTTATTGGGTGTAAGGTATCTGTCAGCAGATATACTATCGAAAGATGCGGAATTCACAAGATGCCAAGTCTCCCCATTGTCTTCCAAGCTGTGGAGAGACGGTTCAGGCAGATCGTATGTATTAGGTTTAACGAGGTGACTAAGATAGGATAGGATCCATATATACCCGGCGTGCGCCAAGCTTGTCAGATTCCACTTGCCCTGGTGCTGGGGCAAAAGGTTGGTGCTAGGCTATGCTTATTCCAGGTGCGATATAAGTAAAAGCAGGCTTTGAGCATCGAGAGAGGAAACGGTGTGCAAAGCTGTTCAAGGGTAGGCTCTCTACATCACCACCAACCACAAGGTCGAGCAGACCCTGCCTAGTGTTCAGTGGCTGAGATGGCATCCTGATGTGGATAGGGTCTACCAGGTGCTCGAAAGCCTGGATGGTGTCTTCGAGATCTTGCTCAGTGTATGATGGCATGATCCACGGTTCTGTGCGCTCTTGTTCTCCATCGTAATCATCCTGAACGGCCAGTATCTTACCCTTGTCTATCATATCGATAAAGCCCTCAAGGATCATCTCAAGAGGCAGCCACATCTACCGACTATTCACTGTGATACCGGTATCATGAATATACATGTGCTGCATAGCGGTGAGCTCGTCTTGGTCTAAAACCAGTCCAAGTGGATGAGTGGCGCCCAGAGCCCATACCCCCCAGTAAAGAGTGAAAAGCATCGCTTGTTCGAATCGTCTTCGTCACCGGCGTAGTTCACATTCTCCCAAAGATCTTCTGGAGGGCAGAAACAGGCCAGATACCGATGGAACAAGTGACGCTTGGCGACCGGTTTCATGGCATATCCATGCCAAGCTGCCTTCAGGAAAGAGACGACTGTTGCATCGAGGCAATCAGAAAGACCTGCAAGAATCGCATCACCACCGTAGCACTCCCACCATATCCTTCTGTCGAGGCTGTCCAATACGAGGCTTCGCTGAACCCAGCCTAGTTCGACAATGTAATTATGAAGCGTTGCGCAACGCTCGTGATCCAGGCCACCCAGTTCCCTCAATGGACATTCGTCGCTTATGCGCCATTCTGCCATAGTGGGGGCTCAAGAGATTAGGACTGTCAATTGACGACAGACTAACATGACGTCGCATATGAGGATCGTTTGTGCAGTGTTGGCATAGTGTCAATGGTTGTAGATTTTGGAGAACGATGCAGAAAGGAGAAATGGTAAGCTCGATCGAAATTTGATGACGTTTTAGCGCCCGGAGCAAGCCGCCTGCCAACTGCCTCTTTCCACCTTACCCCATCTTGTCTCTATTACTCGTCATTCCTACCATCAAGACCTCTCATGCCTTAGGTCCACTTGAATATGCTTCGTGTGTATATCGAATCGCAAGCTTCTATGTCCAAGGCTTCGACGCCGATCTGACGAGATCGATTTGTCGCGACGCTAGCGGCTTCAGTGTAGCCTTTATCACGGAAAGTACGAGTTGGTCAACCTTGCTGCAGAGCGCCAACGATCAGGCCTTGGAAGTAACGAGGCTACGAAATTGTTAGTCTCGGGAGCGATCAGGACGATACACTTTTGGCACTCGAACACACCTGGGTAGTCACAAATCCTCAACATGATTGATACCATAGTTATGCGTAATGACGCTCTAGAATATAGTATCTACCGCGAAATGCCGCAGTAGGGTATTGTCGCAAAAAAGAAAGAGACGTCCAAAGAAATCAAGAACAATCCCAAAAAAGACACCACCCACGCCCAACCCATAAAACCAACCCATCAGCGTCTCCAGACGACAGTTTCCTGGAGGAGACAGCATCAAAACAACACATCTATCGCATCCCAGAAAAGAACTTTTGCACCTCTTTTGCTTTAGGCCTAGACTTGCGCGTAGCCTTATAGCCGTCATCCACAACGAAGGCGTCGTCATCTGCGGCATCCTCGTCGGTGTCCTCCATGTCCTCGTCCTCCTCATTCTCCGCAACGTAAGTGCTACGTGTGCGCCGCTTGCTTACCTGCGTAGGGTCGTTGTTATGTGCATCGACCCGCGTCGTCTTCTTGGTCGTCTTCTTCACTGGCTTTGCAGGTACAAGGACATCTGAGTCGACCTGATCGCTCATCTCAACATCCTTGTCTTTCCCTGATGATGTCTTGTTGGCGTCAGCCTGCATCGCTCGTGGAAGGGCTGCTGGTTTGCGCTTGGGCTTGATCGTGCGAGACGCCACAGAAGGTTGGTGAGGTTTCGAGGACTTAGCCTTCTTGGTGGGCGTCTTGTCTTCGTCGTCGTCGTCGTCATCGTTGGAGCGTGCACGCTTGTTGCCTTTGAGTGAAGCCTCGTCGTCTTTCCTGCCGATTTTAGGAGGGGATGAGGACTTGCTGAAATAACCAGAGTCGTCAGCACCCTGGCTGATCTTTCGCTTCCGCTTCCGCTCTTGCTTTGGGGCCTCAACAGCGTTTTTCTTCTCCTTGACCTTCTCCTTGACCTTCTCCTCGACTTTCTTCTTCTTGGGAGTTAGTTTGCCAGTCTTCTCACGTTCTTCTTGTCGCTTCTTCTCCTGAACCTCGCGCTTAGTTTGCTGTTGTACTTTAAGCGCTTCTTTTCGTTCGCGTTTAGTCCTCTCTACTGCTGCTTTTGCTTTCGCTGCTCGCTCCTGTCTCTTCTCCTTGTTGTGCTGCTTGACTTCGCCCAGGGCGAACTCCACAGCTTCAAGAGGATCGCCAAGCATCTCCATCAATTCGAAGTATGCCTTGTCATTGATGACCAGTACTTCGACGAGGTACTCCTTTTCGTCGAAATCCAGCTCGAGCGTACGGAACTGCGCCTCGTTCAGGAGGTCACCTTGGCTCATGTTCTCGTACGAGGCCTCGCTCTGTCGCTTTGGTCGCCTCTCTTCCTTGGGCGCAAATGGCTTGGGAGGCTTGAAAACTTGTCGCTGTTGATGGTGAGAAGTCTTTTGTTCATCGGCCTTCAACACAGCAGGCTGGCGACGACGAGGTGCTTGACGACGCACTTGGCGAGCCAGTTGTTGAGCAGCCTTCTCACGAGCGTCACGCTCAGCAGCTTGTTTGCCAGCCAGGGGATATGGAGCTAGCAACTCAGCGATGGTGTCACCAACGGACTTCGCAGAGTGGTTGGCATCACGAACGATAGTAGCTGGTTTGGGCAGGGGACGATGCGGTGCAGCTTCCTCTGGACCAGGGCTACTCTGTACAGGAGTCGGCAGGCGACGGCAGGGCACTTTGGCGATAAGGGTGGAGTGTTTGGCAACAGTGTGCTTCTCGACTCTAAACGCTGGTGACGCAGTCGATGTACGCCTCACAGTTGCTCGCTTTCGCGCAGGCTTCGGAGAACGAGGGCTGAGCTCGTTGGCGACAGGAGAGGAGTGTTTGATAGGAGAGCGCTTTGCGCCTTTGGACGCCAGTGACGCAGTTGATGTAGCCTTCGCGGTCTTGTGCTTTGGCGCAGGCGCTGTCTTGAACTTGAGAGTATCCTTCTTGACGGGGGCTTTCTCGCCCTTGGCCTCAGCGATGATAGAGAGGAAGTCCATTTCGCTATGTGAATGTGCAGAAATGGTATAGGAAGGGGTAATCAAGACTCAAAGGTTGTCTGGTGGAGGGACTTGTTGTGTAACTTTCGGTTAAAGATTTGGTTGTTGTAACCGCGGGACAGGAATCTGGGAATGATTGAGTAAGTCGGTTCACAGTGTGCGGTAGGGAAAGCAGAGGCGAAAGGCGAAATCGGCTTAGTTCGTCACGAGAAGCTCTCGTTCAAGCTTTGTTGCGCACTTGGTGTTTTTTTCTGTATTCTGACCGTGAAAGTGAAAGGGTCGGTGGGGAAAGTGGACTGCACAGCTAGGGAGGAAAGGGGAAAAGTGTATCTTCACGATGTTGGGAAAGATCGAATTACCAGTGAGTTTTGCATCAAAGAGACAATTCGGAGTTTGGAGATATATACTTTTGATAAGAGACACAGTAGACTAGTGGTATTATACGTTAATGATTGAACAACTCGACAGTGTCAACAGAAGATTTCCTGACGTGCGCATTCGGATGCTTTAGAGTACCGTAAGTTTGCTCGCAATCAGATGGTTCAGAGTACCATGACCCTTCTCGCAATCAGATAGCTCAGAGTACCGTAAGCCTCCTCGCAACCGTTGCGACCGCCCTGTCCCGAGCTCAGCAGATCGCATATTGCTCCGCTTCCACCAAAGCGCCCTCTGAGAGATCCTTGTCGATCTCATCATATGCCGCTAATTGAGCTACCCATGCTTTCTTGTTCTCGGTCCGCTTCTCGAGCCTTGCGCTTGCAGCCTTTCTCCATGCCTCGTTCTCTGCTGTCACGAGGCAGACCAGGCGTAGTCTCAATTTCCATTCGCTTAGGGTCGTCGCTTCGCCCTCCTCGAGCTTGCCCCTTTTGGCGAGTTCATGCTGCATCTGCAGTATCGTCATGTCGTTCCAGCGCCCGAGGCGAGAGAGTTGGGCGCCCTGGTGGTAGTATAGTGTGTCTGCTAGACAGTCCAGAGACACTTTGCGACGACGCTGTTGCTCCAAGATGCGATGTTGTTTCGGGTGTAATGTGCCGAAGACAGCTTGTAAAGTGCGCTTGGGAAGAACTTCGAAAGCCATTTTGATGAGCTTTTCGGGCGACTGGGCACGCGCGAGTTTGAGTAGTTGACAAGACATCTTGTGGTTGTGTGTCGTGCTTGCTTGTGTGTCGCGGATGTCTTGTGTTTTGGGAGGAAAACTTAGAAATGTACGTCTTTGGATGTCTTGATGAAGGGCAGAGAGTGGTTTGGGATGATTAGAAGAGACGAGCAGATGAGTTGACTTTTATACTGCTTGCTGTTGCAAGAACGTGGTAGAAGAGAAAATGATCACTATCGTGTGGCTGAGCAAGCTACCACGGTTGATGTACAAATCGACTTTGGTCTTCACCACTCCCAAGTCTCACATATTGCTTTCACCTCATACAAGCTGGTCGCAATGCAGGGGAAACAGTACCATACGCGTCTAACAATGAGTTCAACGGCTCCAAACCATGGCACATTGTGACTCAAGGCCATGGAGACTGTGGTAGTGAACGCGGTACAGGGCTCCGCGACCAAACAGCGATAACAAGCTGACAACTAACTCACGTGCTTCGCCAGGGAGCGACGCAACGTTACGTTGGGATTCCAGTTTAACGACCAGCGCCCATTGGTAAAGTGAAGCTTGGAAGAAAGATTCTGCGCGGGGGAAACCTTGGAAGCGATGGTCGTTTACGGTGCGAGACATCCTGTGTCTCGTATATCGGACAACTCCCAATATGTTTCCACAACAAGAGATCATCCGTGCATGTATCGAACGATGATTCTGAACATTTGTCCCTTACGTTCCCGCCTAGGCTTCACGCAAAGACAGTCCACTCTGAACTTGTTGATATAATCTCCCGTTTACTTGCGTCCCAACTTCGCAGACCTTTAGCTGAAGATGTCGATGGTGGTACCTGGTCTTTTGGTAGGATAAGTGGGACGTAAGGCCAATCAGATTCCCTCTTTGTCATCCATCTCTTTAGATTGTATCTCTTTGGCCTTGAGATACCTAGGTAGGCCTGCACGAATACGATGATAGTCGGAATATGTCTTCCACTGAGCTCCAATTACCAGTATATGGAAAATCCAGGCATCAGGCTAGTATGAATCCATTTACTCGAATACGTGCCAAGACAGAGCGTCCGAGATTCGGTAGAGGTGGTCCGGTGTCGCAGCGTATGATGGCATCCTGGGCAAGCGTACAATCGCGTCGCAATAGCGTGTGGTATGTTGGGTCCTTGTAGATATACAGTCAGTTTTTCGAAATAATGTTTCAGTTCAGCTTGCGGAAGACGTGTGATGTATGAAATCAGAAAGTCGCCATGTTCAACCATGGTACATAGGTGCAGTACAACCGGCGGAACATCGGCAAAACGTGCCGCGCCGCCGATGACCTCGGTGTTTGCACTGTTTGCACCAGACCACCTAACTTTATGGCCAGACAGCAACAGTGAAACACCAACAAGCCACAAATCAGCATACGCCCAACTCTCACAGACTTATTTGCATTACCGGGACGACGCCTCCACGTAATCACTCGCATTTCCAAACCTTTCGAACGCGTCCTCTTCGGCAGAACGATTGAACCAGCGGTCAACGCCGCATACAGACGGACCTTAGTAGCGGCGGATAGACACAGGGAGACAAAATGGGCGGCTACTTATCGACATTCACAAAGCTGATATGGGCGAAGAAGGAGATACGGATATTGATTCTGGGGCTGGTACGAGCATGAAATACCACAGTATGCATGCACAGTGCTGACTACAAATGCAGGATAACGCTGGAAAGACGACGTTGCTATACAGATTAAAGGTACGCGATATCTCGCATCATGGTGGAGGAGCCGTCAAGACATATATCTTGGAATTTGAGGCATGAACGCAGACAACTAACAGCCACCCCAGATCGGAGAAGTAGTCACAACGATACCAACAATAGGCTTCAACGTCGAATCGGTAACATACAAGAACCTCAATTTCAACGTCTGGGTAAGCCCATTTCTCCCTCCCTACCAGTTATTATCCCCTCCTAACACCCATTCCAGGACCTCGGAGGCCAAACCTCGATCCGCCCTTACTGGCGCTGCTACTACGCCAACACCGCCGCTGTAATATTCGTCATCGACAGCACCGATATCGAGCGCCTGACCACCGCAAGCGAAGAACTCCGCGCAATGCTCAACGAAGAAGAACTCCGCGACGCTGCGCTCCTCGTCTTTGCCAACAAGCAGGATCAACCGGGCGCGAAAGGCGCAGGCGAGATCAGCGAGGCGCTCAAACTGGGGGAGCTGAAAGACCGGAATTGGAGTATCGTCGCGTGTAGTGCTGTGGATGGGAGAGGTGTGCAGGAGGGTATGGATTGGCTGGTCAGTAATGTTGGGGATGGGCAGAACTGAGGATGAGGTGAAAGGATGCTGTGGTTGTGGGCAGAGGGACAAGATTCATATGCAATGGGGATTGGGCATCAAAGCGGAAGAACAGAACTCCGGGGTACATGACGCAGGGAGCCATGACGCGGCATATACGCGTCAGATGGAATGATTATACCAGCATAATGGCGTCTAGGCGCCAGGGATTGTGAATACGGGGAGCAGGTTAGCGTCAGTAATTGAATGCGCATCTTCCAAGTTGACACAAATGCATTTCCTTGCGTCTATGTACGAGATGCATCTAATATTGTTCCCAATTCAGGTCTCTCCCTAGCCTCAAACGTCCTTCTGTCCAATCCTTGCCGTAAACATATGCACTACTAATCTCCTCCTCATCGATACCCAAGTGGTCGTCCCCGTCTCTTCCTCGGAACCAGCCAAGCGCATATGTCTTTCCACTCTTTTCCAGATGTTTTGTCATCTGACTCGAGGTCATCTTCTCCGTCTCGATGAAGCTAAGCAGCATCTTGGACTGGTGGATGAAAGCAAGGACAGACGCCATTGTCCCAATTTGACGCGGCATGAACTTCTGACTGCGCTTTGCGTAGGTAAGGATGGCGATGGCGATGAGGTAGAGCAGGATGAGCATGGTGAGGGTGAAGCTCGACCAGAAACTGCGGAAAGTTTGGTCTGTGTTATAGCGATCATTCGCTTCATCTGACTTTTCGTGGCTGTCCTTGCCTCCCAGTCCAGGAATAAACTTTTTGCCATCCACGCTGATTGAAGTTACGCAAACGGTCAGGATTTCAGCAAATATGGATCCAAAGGCGACGAGCATGACAAGATAGTGTCCATTCAAGAAAGCTTCGAAGGGCAACCAGAGCGGATTTGTGCCGGCATAATCAAGTGTAAGAGTCTTGGCTGGAGCATGTCGAAGCGAGAGTAGATAGAAAGGTTGCAGCATGCGAACGTCGCTGTTCATCGTATTCCAGAGTATGCGAATAATAGTCGCTAGCCCTGTCATTATCCAGGGAAGTTTCTGTGTGACTAAGCTTGCCTTCTCGACGAAGGTAAAGACTGGTACTGCTATGGTGAACACGATGAGAAAGCCGACGAATGGAAAACCGGAGCGGAGCCGAAGCATGAGCGGTCTGGGATCGGAACCTTGGTCATAGACTTTTTCCTTGCTCTTCGTAATGTACTCGCCTTGCCAAAGTGAGCTTTTGTGCAAAATGTATCTTCGTTGACGAAGTTGCTTGTGTATCTGGTTCAAAGATGCCTGATCGAGTCCCTTGAAATCCGCAAGAATATGGCTTTTGGTAGCCATGGCTGCGATGCCTGCGATGCCCTTAGGATCTGACTGCAATCCGCTCTTCCGCTGCATTGCGTATATCAGTGCGCAACCACACCCAGCAACGATCAAAAGGCACGCCGAAAGCGCTCTGGACCAGATCGGCTCGACTCTGACAGACTTCACTGTGTCGGAGTCGCGTAGCTCCTCATCAGGGTACATGCTCATAGAGGCACTTTGTAAGACCGGTACCAGGCTACTTGCAACCAATGTGCCCAGGGAGCTGTAAATGACCGCGTACTGTCTGTGATGCAGTGCCCTCAGCGGTACCAGGAAACTCAGGAAAGTCAGGTAGTCCATGTTCAAAGACTCGCCTGCAGTTGCGCCTGTCTTCTTGGATAACTGATAGAATGGTTCCAGACGTTTGACTTCGAAATCTGACATCTGCCAGAGAACACCATAAAAGACTGAGATGATGATAGGTGCGTACTGCCACGTGAAATATTGCGTGACAGTCAGGTCGCCTACCGTCCCGAAGATCATCAGGCCGCCCTTTTCGCCAAGTTCCTTGACTGATTTTAGCGATTTTTGGCACAGAAATTCTTGCACACCAGCGAGTGCAAGTGCGAGGATGACAAGAATGGAGATCCACCACGAGCTCATAGTAAGAGGACGCCATGTAGGCATTTGGGGATCTGTTCTTATGTTAATCTCTGTGGATGAACAGTTGTACGAGACAATCACCTTCTGGGAAGAAGTAGCTGGTTTGCGCATCGCTTCTGATGAGACCAGCTTCAGCCGTTAAGCTATTCATGGAGTCAAAATCACGAGCAACTCGTGCGAATTCGCTGATGTCGACTGGAACATCCGTAGCAACAGCAACCACTTGGCCAGTCTTCGTGGCCTTGTCCTGTGCCTTCTTCGCCTGCTCATCTGCTACGTCTGCCTTCGACAGTATTCTTCGGTGGCCCGGGAAGTCGCCCGGTACTGGTCCAGCCGGAGTGTGGGTGAATGGATTGTGGAGTACCGAAGTCATGCCAGCTCCTAATTGCGCTTCAAGTCTTTCATACTCTGCGGCATGCCCAGCTTCGTCAATATTGTGGTCGCCTTCTCGCGCTGTACGTGTGCCTTGCTCCCTCGATTGTGCCTCAAATGCCTTCATAGGCAGACCGCCGAGCGAAGTCAGGTCGTATCCGACTGCTTCATCTGCCTCCTCGACCTCCTTGAGTCTTCTCCTATTTGGCTGTGATTCCTCATCATCTAGCCGGTTGTAGTATCCACTGAGCGGACTTCCTCGTCGTAGCGATGCGATTCGATTGAGGACACGCTTCGTCCTACTATCGCTCTTGCCCAACGATGGTGATGCGCGATCTTGAGTGAAGACGCTTGCGACAGGGCTGTATGACGTTTCTTGGGGAAAAGACGGTGGCGCCGGGGCGCGGGGTATACGATACGAGGGCTCTGAAGCCGGCAGCAGAGGCGAGGGAAACGATTGTCGTCTTGACGCAGGGGAGCTGCTGGGAGATGCGACCGAGGCGACCGAGCCGATGGAGGAAGGACGAGACGGGAAGAGTTGCGAAAGCCTGTCCGAGGCGCCGGACGTGTTCTTGCGCCGTAGTGGTGGACGAGCATGAGATGGTGGGGCACCACTCGTTGGAGAACCAACGCGCAAAGCAGAAGGGACTGTGATATCAGACGGTCTTCTCGTGCTTGTAGGAGAGCCAATCTGGAGCGCAGGTGGGACGTCCTCCACATCTGGTGAACGCATGTTCAATGGTGTATGCGCCGCGTACGCTGACGTTTGTAGGTGTACTTCAATATTCGTAGTTCGTAGCAATTGCAAGGTGAAAGGAAACAAGGCCAGAGGAGAAGCAGGAACCACAAGAAACGCGATAAGTCACCTAATCATACAGGATGTTGCACACGGCTGACAGTACCTTGCAGCCTGTGCGTCGCACCGGTCAGCCTGGTTCCATCACACCAACATGCGCTCGTGGGGGCCTCCCCAGAAGTATTCAGGCAGGAATTCCCTTCCGACGCAATTTGCGCGCTGCAGTCCGGCCGAATCCAGTAGACGTCGTGGAAACAAGCTCGCCTTGCCTTGGAGGCGCGCTGGCGTTGCGGGGCGTTACGAGCCGCTCAGCCTTGTGTTGATCGGCTCGCGTAACTCGAGGTTGAGTACGAAAACTGATGAGGTTTGGCGTCAGGAATACGGTGATGAGGAATCCCGTGGTAGCCGTGGAGGTACAGAGGTCATATAGCTGTGTACAATCCGGCCTTGCAAACTACGATGCTGTCATACAGACCGGATGGTCAACGATTGCGAGCGGCTTGATCTAAAAATATGGCGCTGTGCCGCTTCAGTCGCAGGGCGTTCGATTTTCGCCTGCTATTGCCATGTATGGCATGCCGGTGGCTTGCAATGGGGGCTGAAAACATCATAACGTCGTATTGGGCACACACACGGCTGAACGATGGGATGCGAAACCGGCGATGTTGGTGTTGAGTAGATGGAGAAGGAAAAGAAGTGGAAGAGGTTGGAGAGATTAGAAGCTACTCTTGTCAGTGCCCCGCTAATCCAATGACGCAAAGTCGCTCGGGCGGCAGGTGCTGACTGCGACAGCAAGTCTTGCACAGCGATATCAAGACACCAGGCTGTGCAACACTACCAACGACGCACGATGTATTGGCAACGACTATCCAGAAATAAATTCGATTGCAACTTAGACGAACACCTTCTACTTGGGCTGTACCACTCTACCTCCTTGTAAATCGGACCCTCTTCTCGAGAGTTTCTCCACCACAGCCCCCATCTCTAACCCTCCTGGGATCGGCCAAAGGGAGTCGAAATGCATACCTTTAGCCCTCCGGGTATTTCATGATTGAAGAACTTGTCATAAGCCTCCGAGATATTCTCCAACTTATCCTTGTGCGTGAACACGAACGAGGGGTCGTATTGGCCTTTAACAACAAAGTCTAGAAGGAGTGGGAAATACTACAGAGTTCGGATCAACAGTCAGCAAGTTATCATTCATAGGAACAGGTATTTTACCTTCTGGGCGTATAGCTGCCCACCGCGTACGGTGATTGCCTTTTCCATCATCATTCCAATCGGAAAATTGTTGGTCGAGTAGAAGAAGTCGCCAATCAAAGCGATGTTTCCACCCTTGCGCGTCGCCTTGATCACAGCGCCCACAGTATCCGAGCTATCGCCCTCAATACCTAGCTTCCTCATGGTGTTATGGACGACCGAGTTCGTGCTCCTGAAGCCACTTGATTCAATACCGCGGTCCAGGCCATGCGGTTCAATGGAAAGAATGTAGTCCGCCGGGTCCAAGTGCTCATTGACATTGACGGGGATCATGCCAAAAGATTCTGCAATCTTGAGTCGGTTGACGTCTTTGTCGACGGCGTAGACCTTTCGGGCTCCACGAAGCTTGGACAAACGTTGGATCGAGAGACCAATCGCGCCACAGCCCCAGACGCCAACAACATCGTCTTTGCGCACTTCCGCAAGTTCACATCCATGCCACGCAGTAGGGGTCACATCCGCAAGACCGACCAGCTTCTCAGCAGGAATATCCTTGGGGGCTTTGACGCAAACAAGATCTGCGTTAGGGACGCGGCAGTACTCAGCCTGGTTGCCAGGATATCCACCTGTGATTTTGGAATAGCCAAAGATACCCGAGAGACGGTGCCCGTACAGTTGCTCCATCTCATGTGATGGGTTGGTTCGGTCGCAGAGGGAAAACTCTTTGCGCTTGCAGTAGAAACACTCTCCACATGCAATGACCGGCAAAATAATAACTCGGTCTCCTACCTTCAAGTCTTTGACTTCATGCCCAATTTCATCGACAATGCCGATCGCCTCGTGGCCCATGATCATCCCCTTCTCCATGACACTGTTCATATCGCCATTGTACATATGCAGATCAGATCCGCATATAGTGCAATGAGTAATGTGCACGATGGCATCCTTAGGTGCAGTGATCATGGGTTTGGCGACAACGCCTAGCTCGATTGACTTTGACCCAGTCCAGAGAGCTGCCTTCATCTTCTCACTGGGATGAGGCTTGTACGCGCTAGTGTAAACTGGTCTTTGACGAAAGGTCAGCCTTCTTATGGGTGTTGATTTGCAGGTGAGAGGTATACTTTGCTACCTCCGCCATCGAGAGACTCTGCTACTTTTCAGGGATAAGATGGTTATTTGATATTAAATTCAAAGCGTCGCTATGTTCGTTCGATATCGTTTGAGAGTTCCTTGTCAGATGGTCATCACGGTGTTCGTACAACTTATAGCCAGCAGAACCATCACTAGTTTTCATCGTGGCGTTTTGTTTTCGATGTTATATTCTCATTTTGGCGTGATCTTGATGCCATGATCAGAACTAGTTCATCTCTTGCAGACCGACTCGCATCGTCATGCTTCCACCATTATGTCTTCATTCTTGAATTTGGTCGAACCTTAACAACTCTGGACGCTACACTAGAACGATATTTGATGCGGAGTTTGTCAAGCTGACAACTCAGTTACGCAGCGCTCAAAAAGTAAGTCCGGGTATCCATGGTGAAGTGGCCCTGGGAGCCTGAGAAGTTCACAACGCATAGGTCAGGCTGTGGTCATTCTAACATCATGTCTTGGTGTCGCATACGACTGATTCTTACAGATATCGTGAGATATTTTAGCTCTGTGACTCATTCAAAGTTTGAGAACCTAGAACCATCTTATGTCATGATGATGCGGACGTTGACATGCTGCTGACATCAATTAGACCCTGACGTTTGAAACGACCCAACATCAACCAACCTCAACACATATCGTCACTCTCACACTGATAGACGAGCCTTGAAATATTTCACTTCCTCAGCATCTGTATAAATGATGGATATGATATCATGTAGTGAAGTTTTGCTGTCTAGTTGGCGAAAGCGCTCAAGAAATTATCCTAGGGCGATAAGATACATTCCTACCTAGGTAGTCTGCAGCTTGAAAAATATGAGTGTAAGGTTATTCCAGGACGGTATAGCATCCGTAGGTACTTCTACAGTCGTAGCAGTAGTAATGATGGTGCTGGTGCTGGTGCTCGTGAATCGCCTCTATGTCCCAGATGGCTGTCAATTGATCTCGTTCACTACTGATAGAAAACATTATTCTGTTTGACACTCTACCAACTCAGCCCAGACCGCGCGGTCTATCACACCTCTGTTGTCAATGAGCATGAAAAGGCCCGCGCAATAACTATTCACCCAAATCGTCACCTCTCCGGGAAGCGCTGCGGCATGTACCTATACAAAGATTGATCAGTTTGAGAATCACTTGCACATCACTCATCAAGTCATGAGCCACGTATGAATGATCCGATTTATGCATCACTTGTAATACAATATCCCTATAATGTTTGCCTCCATCGTGGCTTACATGGACTCCTTCTTTGCTTCATCAAACTTCTGCCCTCGACTGGCTACTCAACCTGTTCTACTCTTGAGCTTTATTGAGTTCTATAGAGTTTTCTATACTTGATCATGATGTCGCACCACTCGGATATAGAGTCGAACGTTTCCGTTTCTTCGAGAAGCTCTTCAATTTCCTTCGCCCCCAGCCTGAACCAGGCCCAGATGCGAGTCTTCCTCGTCCAGACTGCGAAGGGTCTATTCTCCTCTTCAGGTGGATACAAGGCCTATATATGCTTGTTACGTTATCTCGCCTCCCAGGGGCATTCGGTCCGCCGACTATACTACTCTCATCGCGGCGAAGCAGATGCAGTTGCCCGGACTATGGCTAAGAGTGGTGAGCACGATCTGCAGCTTCATAAGAGGCAGCTGCATCTGAGGTGTGGATACGGAGAAGATGGAACCGGTGTTGCAGTTGATGAGCTTGTTATGGAAGATGGCGTCCAGTACTTGGCATTGGAGAATGAGGCTTTTGTTGAGGCATTTGGAGATACCGAAAACCTACTCAAAGCAATGCCTAGGGAGACAGCACGCTACATTGAAGTAAGCTGAATTTTTTTTTTTCCTAAGTTCGACTTGTGAACCCCGATGTTCTAACCCCCGTGCCGACTAGACCGGAATATTGTCCGCACGGTTACATGACTTTGTCTCGTTCTTACAGGAGATCAACAAGTTCTCGCCCACCCACATCATCTTCAACGATGGCTTATCCATGCAAGCTACCTCGGCCTTGCAGATACCTCGAATCAACGCTCGTCGCATTGCTGTTATACATACGGCTAAGCAACTCCCCTTTGGGCCCTTCGCTGGTAGCATGCCTAGCATGTTGAGCTCGCTGCACGAGTCTAAACTCCTCCAAGAGCTTGATGGTATCTGGAGCGTCTCCAAAGCCATCAAAAGATACGCAATCGATCACTGGAAGCTTCAGAGCAACTTCTTGGTACACCATCCGTGGACCTACCTCGAACAGCGGAATCACGGGCTGCCTTTGCGTCTCGACAACTGGAACAGGAAGTTCGTCGGTATGATCAATCCCTGTCCGGTTAAGGGTGCTCAGATTTTGGTTGGTCTTGCCAAATCCTGCCCACAGCACAAGTTCCTGGCGTATAAGAGTTGGGGGTTTGATGAAAAGTGTGGCCGGCAGATGCAAGCCCAGAAGAACATCATGTAAGTTCATCATTCCGAGCCACACTTTTAGGAAGCAAGTTCAACTGATGTCCTGGAGCATTCGCCCCACATGCAAGGATACGGCAGAAGTCTGGCGGAACATCAAACTGCTTCTCGTCCCCTCTCTCTGGTTTGAAGCCTGGGGAATTGTGACAATCGAAGCTCACCTTCGTGGTATTCCCGTCATCTCCTCTAATGCAGGCGCGCTTCCTGAGGCTATGCTCGGACTTGACCACGTTATCCCAGTTAACACTATGAACGGGGATTGCGACGAAGAAGGCGCATACATTGTTCCTGACCAAGATATCGCACCCTCGGCGAGCGTCGTCAACAGGCTTATGAGTGACAAAGATCAATATAAAAGACTGTTAGATAAGGTGCGCAGCACGACAAAACAGTGGCTTAAGGATGCGAATGAGAAGGCGCTAGAGAAGTGATTGGTAAACTTGTAACGCCGTACAAATGAGGGCGCTTCGAGCGCGCGATCGGTGTCGACAGATCGGTGTCGAAAAATGGTGGTGTGGACTGAAGGTGGGGTGAATAATCATAGTGACCCAAAGTAGACTAGCTCCTCGGCGAAAATTGAAGGGGTAAATCCAATGACCGTTAACATCATATTTCGTTCGCCAGCAAGTAAAGTGTCGCGACCCCTACTTGCATACGCAGGTTATGTATGCTTTCAGGTAACCTCAACGTGCGTTATTGGCTGACTCAAAACCGCAGCTTCTACTTGCGTCTCCGGTTGAATACGACTCAGCCTAGTTTTCACTGCCTCCTTCGCATCTGCAGCATCGGCCCCTTCCTCCCGGACACGAAAATATCGTAAATCTGGTACTGATCCTCAGTCTGTCGTCCAGGCTTTCCGTGCCGATCGCCCCCACCAAGTCTGCTCTTTGGATCGGCCTGAATGTCATACATCCAGAGTGTCTTGGCAATAACAAGACGCATCTCGAGCCAGGCAAGGTTCTTCCCGACACAGCCTCGGGTTCCATAGGAGAAAGCACAGAATCCATCCTCTGCCAGTCTAACGCTCTCGGCTGAGGAGCCCTCCTTTCCAGTCTCGTCTACGATCCAGCGCTCAGGGCGGAATTTGAAAGGCTCCGGGTAGACGTTGGAGTTGTAGCTGAGACAGTAAAGACCAGTGCTCAAATGGAGACCAGCCGGAAAGTAGTGATCACCGACTGTTGTTCCACCAAGGAGTACCTCACGGCTTGGCTCGGCTGCGACTGGTGGTGTCATGCGCATAGCTTCCTGGAGGAACGCTGTGAGGTACTTGCAGGACATAATCTTGCTGCCAGATGTGATCTCATCGTAGCTTGAGAAGATCGATCTAATTTCTTGGGCAATCTTAGCTTGTACATCCGGTCGGCGAGAGAGGTAGAAGAAGGCCGCGGAGAGTACAACGGACGTCGTATCAGAACCAGCTATGGTCAGCAACTCGCACTCCGCGAAGAGCTCATTTTGATCGTAGCCGCGCTCGCCGGTCTCCGGATCGACAGCTTTGAACAGCCAGTGGAAGAAGTCCCTTCGAATCTCACCATCGGGCTTGGGGTTCTTCTCCAATTCCTGTTCATCCCTGACTCGGTTTTCGAGGCACTGCCCAACAAAATTCTGCCAGTTTACGACTACTGGTGGTGAGGCGAGTTCGATTAGCTTGTTAAGACCGCGAGGCTTGAGCCATACCCACGCGTTGGCTAACGGGCCGAATGCAACCTGCCGAATATTAGCTCGGTCGATCAACGCATGATCTGAGACGGGGGCTTACTGGATGCAGAAGCTCCAAAAATGAGACCATAACCTCTGGGATATGCCGCAGGTCGCTTCCTGGCTCCTTCATGTTGAAATTTTTACCGAAGCACAAGTCACCAAGGATATCGAACACAAGCCAGTTCATCCAGTCACACATGTTGACTGACGTGGTCCACTCGCCATCTTTGGGTGCTTGTTGGCCCAGTAGCTCTAGCCATCGATCAATGTTCTGGTGAAGGAAGACCTCAGCATCTCGCAACGCTGCTTCCGAGAACGCATAGTTCAACACACGACGCTTGCGTGCATGGACACTAACGGTGGTGCTGCTCCACGTATTAATTGTGTGCTCATTGCGTGGCCACACTTCGTAGTAGACAGCCTTCTTGACATTTCCTTTCGGTCCGAAGATCTTCTTGAAAGCAGCAGGAGTGTTGAGTACAACACCGTCCGGACGATAACGAAACTCAGGACCTGTTGCTCATCAGCAACTAGCCGGGTCTGGTAGGTTAGATTGCGTCGCCATACCGTACTTCTCCTGCAATTGATACAACCAAATGTGTCGGTCGCCAGTGCGAGTATGCCACCATGACGGGAATACAGTTACCCGAGCCCAGAACGGTCCAGGGAAGGCTGCGAGTGGATGGAAATAGAGGCGATAGATACCAGTGACAATTACGTACGTGGATATTAAGAGAGATGACAAAAGGAGAAGGCCTGGATAGGAGGACCCATCGCCTTCGGTATCGTGGAATGCCATCATGCACCTTTGGCTCAATCAGAAAAGAAGGAAAGGTTAACAAGAATCCGAAAGCGAGATGCAGGGCGTGGGGTCTCTTGTACGCCTCTCTGTGATCGCCGACTTTTCAATCACAGGCATGGTCTTACGTCGTGTTCCGCGGTCTCTGGCACTTACAGTACCCATATTAGTGCCCGCTGATTGGTCTTCCGATATGTTAGTAAGCCCTTAGGTGTGACTAGAGGCCGCCCCGCCTGTCAAAAACGACACTGAAAGGTGGAGTTTTGCTTCTCGGTTGGGCTAGTCGAAGGGCCGATGGCGAGCCGCACCTCCCGCACCAGCTATCCTCGACTTACACTTCGACTAGCAGACAACTGCGGCTGCTTACTTACCCAGCGCCACTATCGCGCCGCATCATCGAGTTTTCGTTTTGTTTGATGTAAGCGTAGATGTGGTTCCTGGATTCTCGTATTGGTCAAGGGCATATTTGCCGGTTGCCCGGACTGGTGGGTCCTCCGCTAACCCCATGGGAGTCGCAGTGCATTTGCCCTGGTCATGTTTGAGACAATAACCTAATGGGGGGGAGGAATCCTCACGTTTTTGACAGGGTCTTCCAGTTTCTCGACTCCTCGCTACAGTGCTAAAACTACCAAGACGACGGCGTGTGTGGCTTTTGTATCCACCTGCTACTGGCAGCGTGTGAGGCGGCTTCCGCTTCCGCGATCCTGACTGTGCATACACGCTTGTTTGATTAACAAACGGCGATTTCAACCAACAAGAACGTCAGGTCCGTACGCCACCCACCACAATGCTTGCGCCCACGTTGCGGCACAGTCTCGCATCACCGACCGGCGATTCGTTTCCAAAGGATTCGGCAATGCATAACATAATCGCGATACCGCGGGAATAAACGCCACAAGGTGGACGACAATACTGCGCGTGAATGCGAGCCGCATCACGCCTGGAAATCCGTTGTCGGTTATGTTTGCCATCAATTGGTTCGTTTTCCATAGCCGTAGCCTCGTTCTGACTCGCAATGGACAAGGGAGCTAAACCAGTTATGCCCAAAATGACGGCCAGGCACATGCTCAACACCAAGGATAGGATAATTTTGCCTAGGCCGACCATTTCCGGCAATGAACAGCTCGGCAATTATCCAGCAACGGTTACCCCGGAGCATTTTGATCGACGGTAGGTTGTTGTGCGAATCTTGGGTACGCGGCTCTCGCGTTTGGCTACACCTCGGCAGACACTGATCAAACCCCGCGGAAACACATAAACAAATATGCTCTTATTTCTTTTCTCGGTCTGAAGGTAGACTAATTACACTGCTGCAGTATTCCAGACTCGCTTCGCAAGAAGAATGTGGGTGATGTTGAAATATCCATGGATGACCACTGTGGAGCGGGTTCCTATTTCGTTCCCGCATAGCACGCACGCCGTCTCCGTTAGAAGATGAGTCCCGTAACGACCCCACCCGAACCACTCACACGTGAAAGCGAGCGGCACTCAGGCCGACAAGGACCCCCTGACCTGTAACGACGCTCCACTTCCCAAGTCCTCCCCGTGTGTCAGTGCCATCGCTTTAGTGCTTCTGTGCTTTATACTTTGCCCAACAGCTCCAGAACACCCTCGCAGATGTTCGGATTATGACTTATCATCGCCTAATTCTGCGTTCGCATTGGCCGATCATTAGCTAAAGAAGCAAGGCACGTCATGGGTTTGAAGGGGCCTAAAGGGGATCCCGCGACAGGGTGCGGCGGTAGTGGTAAGTGGATTGGGAACATCTGGGGAGTTTGGTCAGGGCGCTGGGATGTGAGAAAGGTTTTCTTCTTCGCCTGTAGGCCTCGCCTTGACATTGTATATCATGACTTGGTGTGCCGCACTGCTTTGTATTTCGTGTTCGTGCATCATTGTCAACGCTACGGCGACTCTTGCTCCTCTTTGTTCGTGATACCTGGTGTACTTGCGAAGGATAGATGAGAGTTGTGTAACTTGTGCATCATGGCACCGATCATAAATCCCCAGGAGAGCCTGTAAGTCATTCGATCCTGTCTACTCGCCCATCATCGCTATTGGACCCTTTCTACACTCAGTCTCCGCGGTTCACTCAACCCATGTCATATCACGACCAGAAAACAGTACATTGGGTAACTTGTCACTGACAAGCTCTGCAGCCAGTCCTACCGCCGTCGTCTGGATGGCGTGGCTATCTCAACGTACATCCTAATCATGCTACTCGTCCCCCTTAAGGTCTACTGCCGGAAGCGACACGGGGGATGGCGTAATGTTCAGATGGACGACTATATGTCTATGGTAGCACTGGCCGTGGCTAACGGTTTCTTCTACGTGTGCATCATTGGTATGTCCCGCTCCATCTTGCCATATGAGCCGTAGGCTAACATCAAGTGCTTATCAGGTATGCGAGAGTCATTAGGACTACACATGTATGAAATCACCAACCCGCTACAAGCCATCGCCTTCCTTCGGAACATCTACATCGGCCAAATCCTTTATACGTTGAGCATCACAACTATCAAGCTTTCCGTTTTAGCATTCTACTGGCGGCTGTTTGAGATCAAATCCCGGAAGTTCATATATGTTGTTACTGCAGCGTCAATCGCATGGTGTATCGCTATTGTAAGCCGAACCTATTCCTCAGAATCCGATCCCATACAGCTAACACCCCTCACAGCTAGGCTGCGTAATCTTCAACTGCTACCCCATACAGGCCGCCTGGGACATCACTATCACAAACGGGAAATGCATTCAGACCCGCGACATTTACCTCGGCGGTTCGGTGCCCAATGTGTTCCTCGACTTCATCATCGTCGGCATGCCTCTTCCGCACGTCTGGCGCCTGCACGCACCGATTGCTCAACGCATCGTTCTAGCGGGCATGTTCGCCCTTGGCACCTTCATCGCCATCGTCTCGCTCGTACGGTTGATCATATTCCTGCAGATCCCCATCTCGGGTCAAGTCGACCCCACCTACAACTTCCGCGAGATCATCGTATGGTCTATTGTTGAAGTCAACGTCGGTCTCACATGTGCTTGTTTGCCTAGTCTGAAACCCGCTTTCAGATGGATCGGCCTTGATAGACTCTTTTCTTTTGCTTCTTCCCGCCCCTCGGATATGCAGTCGCCTGGACCGAGCTCGCATGGAGCTATAGACGACTTTGGGTCAAACCTGAAGAACTCTGGGAGGCCGAGGAAGAAGGGCGCTACTGGAGGCTTGTTCTCGACACTGGCGGGCATTAGTCGAGTTGAGGATGAGGAGGAGTTCAAGTTTGTTGATGACGATAGGCAGGGGAAGCATAACGTTGAGATTGAGATGGGCAGGAGGGCAAGCGATGACAGTGCACAGAGGACTGCGACAGGAGGAATTAGTGTGCAAAAGAACTGGAGTGTGCTTGTCGATGAGAGAAGGGCAGATCGAGATCGGTAGTAACGACTGAAACATGCATGGACAACCGAAGAAAAAGGAATGGATACAATAATTATACGACAGATAATGATGTCATGTCACAGAGACTCCAAACAATACACAGTTCAAAGACACACAATGCTGCTCGCTGTATGATATAGTCAAAATGCTGTGTCGGAGTTGAGGGGCTTAAGTACCTACTCGATTTTGAAGCGAAGTTGCGTCAAGATTGGGAAGGGGACATACCAAAGACCAACTATGTTCGCGAAGCGATGTGCGTGACAAACGGAGATGCGAAATACGTGATATTTTCTAGGTTGCTAATCAGTTCCTAAGCCGACTTCTACCTCGACTGAACGACGCAAAGGACCGCATGGAAATTTCCTTGCTCTTTGCAGGATAGATCGGATGCGGCGAAACAATAACTCAGATTCTCTAGATTCTCGATCGATGCTCACCGAACCCTCCATAGACATATCTTCTGGCAAGTGGAAGATGACAAAGCTGCAGTCAGCCTCGATGTTGTTGCATACGAGGACAAAGAAGTCCTCACATGACTTGGTTGTTTCTGTGAGCATCAGGGTTGCGTAGGACCAAGTTGTGCCTGGGTCGACTAGAGCGCGTCGCTTTTTGCTGCGATAAAGTCGCAGCTCAACCTCGAAAGCAGGGTCGGATGGATTCGTGTTTCGATTGCTAGCTTGAGATGTCATTCTGCTGTTCAATACTGAGTCTTCAGATTCATTGAAACTGTTATCCGTTTCTCCCTCTTCAGATTCTGTGCGTTGACTAGAGGTCTCGTCGTTTATCTTGTCAAAGTCGCCTCTCTTCGTTCCTAATACGTCCACAACGATTGTGTCGTCAGGATCAAACTCCAAAGTCTTCGAATCATTATGTATTTTCATGGTATAAAGCTCCGAGTCTGTCCCAGAGCTGGCTCCCTGGCAAAGCAAGATGGCTAGCAGGTGCTCTTTCAGGCTGACCTCATTAGCGCGTACCCTAGCCATCGATAGCTGAAACCCACATGGCGCTATCTCGCGGATAGATCAGGTCGCGAATATAGCTGATACCGTCCTGCGGTTTGAGCAGATGACGTTTTTCTCCAGGACCTGGTTCAGGCCATACCATGGGACCGTCCTTCTTTAAAAACTCGTCTATTTTTTTGCTAAGCGAATTCGGATCTGATGGATCAATTAGATTATCCTGTATCTGATGGCACATCAATAAACCGAAAAGAGCCTGCAGTCCAGCTGTATATAGCGCAGGGACTGGCCTGTAGTTGGACATTGGGTTTCTTACTATGTGGTTGGGATCTATCCCATAAGTCTCCAATCCAAGAGATTGGATGTATTTGTCAAGTTCAACACGGTCAACTCTCTTCTTTCCCATTTTTGCACATAAACAATGCTATCGCAGAGGCATAGGGGTGTTGTGGTTGTCTGCGGAAGCTTGCCACGAACAGCTGCAGACTTTTTCTGTTGTTCGTTCTCAAATGTCTTGATCTTGCATCAGAAGCTGTTCTGTCCTTCTTGCGTAGTGAAGGATTCTTCGCTTAACGTATTCGCTTGTCGTACGTAGAGTGGAGTATATGTGAGATAGATTGAAGAAAGATCTCGTGTTGTTCGGGATGCGAGATGTCACTAGGTGAGGTGGCCAATCGGACCCCTGCCTGCCAGCCAGCTGCCGACAAGGCTCCGTTCCTCATACATCAGAACAGCGAACCATCACCGTCTACTCCAAACGGTCGCTGTCGTGTAACCGCCGGGATGTCACCTCGCAAGCGTCTTATTCCGGTGCAGCCTCAAAGAGCTCGAAAGAGTGTGCGCACGCCCGTGTTGAAAAATCCATCAGCAAGCTCTAAGCGCGCACACGACTCCAGCCTCGACAAGTCCAGCCCTCAGCCTGATCGCGAGATCCAGTCACAAATTCCTTCCAATGTGACAAGCGACGCCTCGAAAGCGCAAACACCGGAGAACCACGGGCTTCCGTTACGTAGTAACGTGTCGAGCGAACTAACTTCGCCCATGATGTCACCTGGGCTGCGTGCGCTCGACACGTCCCTCCATGAACAGGCTCGAAACGCCTGTCCTACCACCGCATACGATTGCTTTAGCTCGCAACCTCACCAGAAAGGCCACTTCTACTCCGCAAATCAGCTCTTTCAACAAGGTGTCTGGATTGGCTACTTGGCTCCCGAAAGGCAAAACGAGTCATTTCGCGGGCTGCCCTCTTTCCACCAACTCAAGGTCAACTGGGCCAAGTTCCAAGGACCATGTCCTCCAATAGTTGATGGTTCTCCCAGAGAGAATCGCAACGCTATCTGCCGAGGCTGTGCCAGTGACGAGTCTGCTCTCATTGCTCTAAGTGAGGTGCAGTTCGGAACTAGGGTCGTAAGTTGTGCTCAGATCGGCTACAGAGCCATCGGGCCATCGTGTTGACGAGATACAGAAGGTCGTGATCATGCCTCTCGACGGCGACGACGATGCTGGAGTTTTTGCAATCATGATTCCTCAAACGAATGACAGGTCTTTACATGGTCTCCAATCCTTTCGTCCTTACGAAGTACGTCTTATGCCTATAAGACTTATGTGAAACATACACTAACATGCTGTTTGAGCATATTAAGTTTTACAATGACGGCAAAGGACAGGAATTTGTTAACAATTACATGATGCTCACTCTCCGTAACCCTGACAGCGATGCTGGAACACTGGAAACAGTTCTCACAGCATTGCCACCGAAAGAGCGTGCCGATATTGCTTTGAAGTTAAAACAATTGCCATCACGTGACGAACGTCTTTCCTCCACTCCCAGACTATCGAAACTTTCTGACGTGGATGCCACACCTCTGGCACCGCCTGTCATGAGTAAAGCACACGTTGATAATAGCGATGCTCGAATCGATGAGCCGATGGATGAGCCGATGGATGAGCCTATGGATGAGCCGATGGATAAGCCTATGGATGAGCCTATGGATGAGTCTGCGACGCGGAAACGGCGCAAGATCAGCGACAGTGCCGCGAACAAGTCTGGGCCTGTACGAGAAAGTCCTACAGGCTGCAGTGTTGACCTTGCGCAGCCGCCACCACCGCAGTCGCCACCACGGCCACAACAAACACCCCAAAGGACCCCAACTCCTGCCAATGATGTAAAGCATCATGGTTCGATAACATCAGCGCCATCGAGGCCTCCATCTCAAGCTACCAGTGTTGCAAGTTTCTCGAACGGCATATCTCTTGACCTGACCGATGAGCAAGCTGCGCGGATCTGCTTCATCTGGGCAGTAGTTGACGATGATATTGAATATGAATTCGTGCATGCATTGGTCGAGTGCAAGTCATTCGGAGGCTTGCTCGGTCTTCTGGAGGAGGATGCTGAGGCTATCCCATCTGCTGCCAGCATGATTAGCAGAACAAACGTCTGGCGACTGACGTACCGTCTCGGTGACGGTCCCAGCAAAGCAGTCGTGCTGCGTAAAGGCACTGAAGTTGCGTTCAATCGTCTGCAATTTACAATTGCACAGGCTTCTATCTGGCAAGAGAATCCTAATGCTAAGATCGATATCGAACTCAAGTCGTTGAGCAGACCGGATCCTGTGTGAGCGACATCAAACGACAGGTAGCGACAGCGCCTCTTCCTACCCTTGCGGATTTTGATCTACCTACAAGCGTGCTTTCTATCTCTTTGACCGACATCTGGATACCACTGCAAAGTGTGTTGACCGCGTTTTGCGTTGATTTACATATACCCCGGATCAACACCTATGGTTGTTGAGCGAATTGGTCGGAAGTTTTGATTGTCGGAAACGTATCTGCACAATATTGGTGTGCCCTGGTGGTGCTGTGTAGATGTAGTTCAATGTACGTACGTCTAGAGAATCCAATTCTGCCTTTGCATGGGTCTCGCCGCATAGTCTTGAAATGCTCTTGTTTGGACATATATTTACGGCTCGGAAGGCGCCACAACGCAATGGTTCCGCGTCGCATGCATGAAACCGAAAAAGCCCACTATCGCTCAGCGGATGCCTGGTGCTGAAACAGGCTATGAGAAAAGCGCAAAGTATCCATAGAGCTCGGACTCATCAACGACGACCATCAGTAGCGGACTGGAACACACATGCAAGTCGCAGAAGAACAGCATTGTGCACAATACATTGTGTAAGTGTTTGGGGGCGATCGTCGTACTAACGCCACATTTCAGCCAATCGGCAAGAATTGCCCTGTGGTTCCGCCTGCCATCCCCAGGTGGGCGCCGCTAACCCTGTAAACGAAGCTTTCATACGCTATGGTTTCTTCATCTGTACTCTTATCATCTATCATATTCTCATTTCATCTTCGGAATGCCGTTCGTTTCCCTTGCGCACCATAGTGCTGACTCGTACATGCTCTGAGCGGCCCGTTTACAAGATTGCACCATCGTCCTCCCGCAGTCTTGAGAGCATCTGCATGTAATCATACCCGAGAAAATCAGCAATACACATCACGCTCCCCGGCAAAGTTGCGAAGCCACGGCGCTCGGTGCTTATACGACTACTTACAGAAGCATTGATAGCTTACACTCAGCTTACCTGGAGAAATACTGCGATTCATGCATCAAGCCCAGACATCATGGACGGCTCGGCTATCACGTACGCAACGTCCAAGGACTGGCTGGACATCATGAAGAATCGATCAAAAGTGCGCATGCACGAGCTGATCGAGCGTCTTGGACTACGCGCAAAATGGTCGTCCAATAAACGCGGCAAGACAAACTTTGAATCCGCCCTGGTGCGCGAACTGGTCGCAGATATGGGTGATGTCGTCTCCACACTACCAAAAGAGCCAGATGAGCTTATGAAGTTTCTAAGCGACGAGGGAAGTCTGAAAGAGGAGGTTGATGGCTTACTTGAGAAACATGGCGCTAAGGTCTGGGGAAGAGTGGGGGACCGTGAGCATCTAATCACAGCGAACGAACCCGGGGTTGAAGAAGGTCTCTACCCCAGGGATCTCTACATTGAAAACGAGGAGGACAGGGCACTGTAAGTAAACCTCAGGGCAAATCCTTTATCTGGGAGTCCTTGGTATAGAATCGAACAATTGCTAATCGCCACCTAGAATTCACAAACTCCTCCATTGGTGGATCGGACTGAAAGCATGCAATGTCATTCTTGCGCGCGAACGTCTGGACCGCGAAAGAAGAAAGAAGGCAGAGAACCGACAAGCGCGAGCTGACGCCGAGTTTTCTGGTCAGCAAGAGGGTGGTACGCCAGCATCCTTTGTTGCGCTTGCACCAAATTCAGTATTGCATGATGGCGACACAGCCTCACGTGGAAGCCCCATGTCATCGAGCGCGATGCTTACGCCTCCAGAATCTGGTGAGAGTCCTACTATAGGACCTCGAGAAGGAGCCGGGTTCACAGCTCTCAACGGCAGTGCACATGCGACGAATGGTAACGCAGCGTTCACGTCCACGAAAACACACGAACAGCAGGTTTCGCAACAGCCCAATAGTATCGTCGAGGGTGTCTGGAATAAGCTCGCTGCTGAGGCATCCAAATCTCGGTACCTTAGCACACTGTCAGGACCTGCTCCCACCCAGGCCGCACATTCTACAGAAACCAAAGCAGCAGTACAACAGCAGATCGCAAACGCAACCCAAGCTGCTGCCGATAGGCAAATTAGTGTTCAAATGGCCGCGCTGGTCGCAAGCTTTCGGTCGGATGACGGTGTACCAGAAGAGCTACCACAGCCAAACAACAGTATGTCGTATCGTGGGTTGGACTACGATGGCTTACGAGCACTACGCCAGTATATCTACGGAGAAGAGCGTGGCGTCTCAATGGACGAGGAAGCTCTCCTTAACCAACTTGAAAGAACATGGCGAGAAGGCGTCCGAGCCGACTACAACAGGATAATTGAGAACATTCCCGTCTTCATCGCCAGGGAGCGAGCATTTTTAACATGGGTGGAACTGAAGCGACATTTATCAGCTCTGTTACGAGCAAACGACCGTACGTCTCACCCAGCTGGAGATCTATCTAGCTTTCACATGCTTACTTCAACACAGGTTGGTCAGCCGAAGGCCACACAGCCGCCGAAATTGAGCGCCGCATTCAACAGCACCGCACACTTATGGGCTGCACACAAACGATCATCGCCAACTTTGAAGACATTGGCCAAGGCTTCGGTCTCGGCCCCAATGTCGCTGTGGACCGCGATGAGCTGCTGCGACAAGCTCTCGTGGTATTAGCTGGGGAAAAGTATGCTGTTGAGATGCAGTGGAAGCCTGTAGACTTTACGCAAGTCATGGGATGGCTGCACGACCACTTGGAAAGCTTCCGCAAGGAAGAAGAAGAAGAGGGAAAGGGTATGCTCTGGTATATTGGCGAGTCACGACGCTAGTCGCGATTACTATTATCCTGATACGCACGTATCATGTGCTGCGCTGGTGTAGTCGTAAAATCTGTGTACGTGGATCTTACAGGCGTTCAGGTTTTCAGGGTGCCGATCGATCAGCAGGGTTGAGGCCCCACTAGGCGTCCAATTCGGGAAAATAAGCTATTCGGGTAGGTCAGCCGTAAAGTGGTTTCAGCTACTTGATCATGTTACAGGACCGTGTAGGATTACACTAGCTCAGCTGTGCCTCACCCCATCACCATGCCGTACGCAAACTATGCGACAAAGTAATTGCTTTATTGCGATCGCCTTGTCGAGATCGGATAGGGAGCGCGTGTGAGCAGCGTTCAATAGTTCGGCAACTAGTTTCCGAACAAATACACGGCTCGGCAGCACTTCGCAGTATACCCTTTCGCTTAGTCTACTCCCTGCAGCCAAGGGGGCGTGTCTTCAGGCTCCGCACTGCGCCGTAAATCTCCCTAATGCCACGTTCCTATTTTAGAGTGGAGTGACCGCGCCGCACATTCGTCACATCGCTTCACATTTTTTTCTTTCGAGCTGTGGCGTTGACACGACATTTCGCTTTACTTCCCATCAATACCATGCGACCGCGGTTGAGAAAATGATGAAGTGCACAGTTGAGTAATCAAAGTTGGGTAGTACAAGTGTACCTAGGTGTAGATACGGCCAGGACAAGCGCGTCATAGATGCATATGTAGTTGTAACTCCTGACCACGATACCAACGACATATATCCCCGGCTATACGAAACAGTGATAGTGCCGCTTATTCGTTCATGGCATGTGGCGGCTAATGGTGGCTTTGAGTAAGAAGATCGGATGTTTTGGCCTATGCGAGTAAGAGTTGTGCTGCTAGCGACAAAGTCATTTGTACCTCGTGTATGATGAGCATCCCTGCGATAGATATGATTAGCATAATCCAGCAAATGACCACTTCGCTCATAGTGCAAGCGTCGTACATTGAACAAGCAAGGGTGAAGGGGCCCGCTCCGTAGGAACGAATGAGGATGGGGCGGTACTATGATTACACTCGATGGGGATTTATTGGCGTGCGAGTCATTAACTTCGGAGTGCAGACGCGTATTACCTCTGCACATGTTTTGTTGCGGCCCCTGCCGGATCACTGTCTCGCGTCTAGGCACCTCTTTTCTGGGTATCTTTTCGACGCAGCGTACCGTCGTTCGCATTCTACACGTCACCGGCATCAATCATCATCACCAATCAATCTTTCGCCGCCCAACGCCCCCACAACAAACTCTTCCGTCCCTACTCAAGTGTACAGTTGCATCGCAATTTGTTCTTCCTGTGTGTACAGGGGCTTTGATTCTTTGTCTAGACGGGTAGCACGATCGGCATCTGAGACTGGACAAAGTTTTTTTGGGGTAGCAGCAGCTGGCAATAAGAAAACTTTGTTCCAAGGCGGCTTAGTGGAACGTACTCCTTTTACCTTTGCCGAGCGAGCTACCATCAATCACCCCAACCTTGGAACTCAAGCGGATCCATCACATTTTGGCGCACGCGCCATTGATTGTCATCCCCATCCGCTTACTTTTCCATCATCGTTTTCCTGCTTCCTATTTCACTGTTGACGTACCCGCCGTCACCCATGTGGCGCCATGAGCTCAAAAGATAACTTGGCCCTGGATCTTGAGCACGGCGTGCGACGATGGGATCGCGCTCGATGGATCTCTGTCTTCAGCTCGCATAATCCAACTATACGCGAAGTGACGGAATGCTTGGGTCTGGGCCTATCCGCGTCTTCCTCCACCACCAACCGCGGCATTCCGAAGTTCGACAACCCAGACTACCGCAAGTTGTCGAGTGAGGTGACGAAACTATCAAAGGAACTACCAAAAGAAAGAGATGCATTGCTGGATTTTGCAGCGGATCCGAGTTCCCTGAACCAGGAGCTTGAAGAGCTGCTAGCGAGTTACGGACCCGCTATTTGGGGCAGGGATGCAGACCGGAGCTGTTTACTTACACCAGACCCGACCAAGAAGACGTACAACAAGGACCTGTTTTACGAAGAACCTGAGCATAAGGATATGTAAGTTGTGTTGATAAGCATGTCAGGTGTCAAATGTCAGGATGTGCGCTAAACCCGATTCAGTCTCAAGATCCATCTGCATCGGTGGATCATCATCAAAGCGTGCTACTATATCCGCAACATGAAGCTGAAGAGGCCGTCGGGCGCGAACGAGTATGACCAGCTCGCCGACATCGATGGCGAGGGTCTTGTAAGTGATGATACTACCTTGATGCTGTCGTCTGACTAACAATGGTAGTCGCCGCATGGAACGCCACAGTCACTCACTCCACCAGATCCGGAAACTGTTGCCACCACCGAATTTGAAGTTAAACCCATCAATCTGAAGAAGCGCAAGAGCAATGCTCACCTGACCATGTCTGACGACGACGAACTTGAAGCCTCCCCTGTTAAGCGGCCTTACAGCACGATGCCCGTGAGTCGAAAAGGCAGTCCGAGAAAGTCACTGAAGTCACTCTACCCTGCGGGTCCAGGCAGCACAGAGAACATTCCTCCAATGCCGACACATAGCCTTCTCCATCGATTCTCCCCGGCGCCAGGAACCGCATCCGAGCCCGCTCGATTACAGCTCAGTCCCCTATCAAACAATGACCTGAACGGCGTGTCAAGGCCTTCCGCTGTCACGCAGAATTCTACGAGTTCAGCACCTGGAGGCTTCACCGCAGTTAATACTGGAAGTTTTACTGCTGTCAACAACACACCTTCTGCGAGTGAGCCACCCCGAGAACCAGTACGGGAACAAACAAGAGAGCCTTCGAGGGAAGTGCATCGAGCTCCTCATCCAATTGGGCATCGTCACAGCAACAGCTATACAAGCCCATATGAGCCATCCTCACATAGTACGGCAATGGCTCGATCTGCTACAGACACACCTCGCTCTGCACCGCCAGCTACTCCTACGCCGGCTCCCAACCAAGGATTCTCAGCAGTCAGCACATCTTCAGCAGCTAATGGAGCGGGCGCACATATGAAGAAGGAGTCTCCTGCCGTTCAGCCTGTTCAACATGCGCATATTGCTCCACAACCACAACAGCAATCACAACCGCCGCAACCGCAACAGCAGCCACCGCAAGCACAGCCACAAGGATCACAACAGACACCGTCTCATACTCCACATCAGCATCACGCGTCGCCACATGGGCAACCACCTCAACCGCATCATTCTCAGCATGCGCATCTCCCTTCTCATCCGCACATTCAGGCTCAACATCAGCCTCTACCTCGACCACCAAGTCGGGCTAATACCCCAAGCCATCCTTTCGGCCGTTCTCTTGCACCTCATCCCCGCAGTAGATCTAGTACACCACTTGCGCAGGCCGCACCTAATCAGCCGGCGACGGCACCTAATAAGCAGGTCACATCTGCACCCGCGATACAAAGCGCTCCAGCGTACGGCATACAGCTCGTACCGACGCAAGAAGCACCTCCAGCACCATCGAGCAGGCAGCGACTGCCATCAAATTCTAGTCAACCTGCTGCACCACAACATGCGTCACCTCATCAATCTCACCAGCCTGTACTAAAAAGCCAACAACCGCAACAACCACCAGAAATGGCTCATGCCGTCCAGCCACCACAGACCTTCCCTAGGGGCTCAGTATCTACATCCACAGCCGACCTTCGGCTCCTCCAATGCGAAGTAACAGCTGGCCTCTTCACATTCTTCTACCCACGTACCACGATGCCACCAGATGAGCCCGCCCTGCTTGTGCGCATGCACACGCTCTGGTTCCACGGTGAGAGCCTCTTCCGCGCCGAGCTTCCTCAACACTTCGACCTCGTCTCCAAGATCCTGACGGCTTGGCTGCACGAACGCCAGGCCATCGCCTCGTTGCGTCATTCTATGCAAGCGAATCCTGGTGTCTCGCACGTAGGGCTGGTAGATCGTTTGCTCGCCATGAACGATCTCCGGGCTATGCGACTGAAGTGGAAGAACATGAGTTCAATTGATGGACTGAGTCCCGAGGATCTGCTCTGCATGGCGTTTAGAGTCATGACGAACACCGAGGGCTCGGAATACCTATTCAAGGACGGGCTGGCTAGGCTCGAGCTTGGCGTTTTCGAGTTCCTACGCAGCGAAGACTCGAAGATTGTTATGCAGAGGCGGGATACTAGGGCCGGGTGAACCGGCGGCCTGAGCACGATGTCGTTGCTTTCTTCGATCTGTCTTTAGGTTCTTTGCTTTCTTTTTTCCTTTACAAGTCTGGGTATCTCGTTTATCTCGTTTTACTTGTACCTGTACTAATGCAGCTGCCTACGATGGTAGCTTAGCGTGGGTTGGGCCCTTGCGTAAGTTCTTGCTTGCTTTTCACCATTTAGCGACGGCGTTTGGGCATTACCACTTTGTTTCTTTGCTTATCTGCAATACGAAAAGCGGGTGCGGTTTCCGATAGCTTGTGTTACTAAATTGGTACTACTACTTCGTTGTAATGGATGAAGAGTGTGGCTGGTAATGATTGTGGGTTGGGAGGTAGCATGGTGACGGCAATGGCTTGTATGACGCGGCCTTCAGCGAGCGAGTTGTAGAATGAAGCTTGCATCGACCATTCCATGTTTGTGCCTAGCCTGTGGAGGTTTGTCGTCGTATGCTGCGGCAGATGTTGAGACTCGATCTGATAGCCGGCCAAGGACCCAATCAACAGTCTGTGAGTCGCGTCGATATGGGGCGGAAATCTTGTTGGGGGTTCCAGACCAATATCGTCGTCTGACCTCACGTCTTCACGTGCGCAGTACACATCCCAGACGATGCGCATCATGGCGACACCCACCCACCAATCCTGCGCAGCATACCCACGACACCATTTCTACGCGTCTCGCGTCCTTGCAGCCCTCTTTCCGTCCTTGATGCGAACATGGCAAGGATGAGATATGTCCCCCCCTGCGACGCGTCTTCCCGGCGGCCGCCCGCTGTGGCTGCCAGTCTAAGACATCCGTCTGCCTCATGTCTCATGACTACCTCCAGCCACGCCCACTCACCGTTACTGCCCACGCACCCCTACTGCCATGTATAGCCTCGTGGGTAGTTCACGCGCTCGCTGTAGCCGCACACCACTCCGCGACGGCGTCTGAAGATCGTTCGCATACAAACCTTAGGCGCCGACGGTCCCTAGACGGCATTGCTCTTCTCGCATATGACCCTATGGCCGGTTGCTTGCATCGCACCGCACAAGTAGTTTCGGCGCCATGGTGCTGAGACTCTTTGCGCCGCCTGGTATGCCATTGCAGAATACACAAAGTCGGAGAGGTTGCTGATCAGACGGTGCGTGCAGGTGAAGGCCAACATCGACTTGTCCCGAAACGACCGGATCCTATCGGTGCCAATGCGACCCTCCAGTATTCCGTGCTTTCCTCGACCGTTGTTGCCGCCGCCTATACGTCCTTTGCATCGAGATATAGTCAGAGAGTAACTCCTGCGCAGCCGCTGTCTAGAGCCGCTGTCTTCATACGGGCTTCCGCCAGACTGGGGATTTGGACAGGTGTGGCAGGAGCGGCGCTCAACTGGTATTACTACTCGGCTTTCGCCAAGGTGGTGGTGTCGCAAAAGGTGCCAGAAATCAACAACTGGAAGCTCTTTGAGCGGACAAAGTCACACACTGTTGATGATGGCGCTTTGGCAGGCGCGGCATTGGGGCTCGCTGCCTCGGTGCCGTCGCTGATTATGCGCCGGCCTGCTATACCACGATGGACACGATGTTTGGGCATGATGAATACCGGTGCTTGTGCAGGCGTGCTGGGAGCGCATGCATACTTCCAGTACACTGGAGAGAGGCAGGAGGCTTATAAACACCTTGGTCGGCAACTCAAGCGAAGATCACTTGAGTTCTGGGCCATCTTCTGGGACGCAGAGATGATGGCTAGTCTCGATCCTATCATGCAGCAGTACGTACGACACAACGGTTTCTGGTACACAAGATGGCTGCCTGAGGAAGTCTTCGATCGAGAAGTACATGCCAGCGAACCCTTCGCCGGCAGCGAAGTGCCCGCCGCAATCACTGAAGCGCCTGTTGAAGAGCAGCCGCCGTTCTACATTACACCCATCGAGTACGCCCAAGACTTGCGTCAGATTGACGTACAAAGCACCAAAGCCAAAATCGAAGCCATGGAGGCGGACAGACAGGAACTCCTCAAGGAAGCCGAATACCTTCTGTTTGTCAACGCACAGCAGCAGTACGAATACTGTCACTTGGATACGATGGATGATGAAGAACGGCACCGACGTCTTCAGGAGATCCATGTCGTCGACGTAGCGTACAATCGCCTTCGCGCTGCAGCGAATGACATCGATGTCAAGCTCATCCATTGGCGCATGTCGCTCAAGCACAAGCTTGTTTGGGAAATAGCCACGACCGCTACCTCTGCCACCTCCTCTACCTCCAGCACGATGACGACTCGAACAGATGCCCTCGCCGACTGGCTACCCGCCCCTCAAGCCTTGACTTCCTTCGCGACGCACAAACCGACGTATTCGATGGGCGAGATTGAAAAGGTACATTGGCAGATTGCGGCTGAGGTCAAGAGGTTCGAGGAGGGATACAGGGATGAGAGATACCCAAAGGAGAAGAGAGAGAGGTGGAAGAGGGATGCTGAGGATGGGAGTAGGATACTGAGGGCGGCCGACCATGTCCTGTGGAGGCTGATGAAGGCGAGAGAAGGGACTGACGATGGTGACGCGAAGAATGATGGGGTTGTGGTTGGGCATGAGAAGAGTGCTGCTCCTGCAGGCCAATCGGCAGTCACGACTGAGGCCGCAAAGCTGGACACGGCAGCCACTCCTGCCAGGAAGGAGCTTGAAAAGCCTCGTGTGGATGACAAAGTGACGAAGACACGTACTGGTGCTCTGGATGCTGATAAGTCCTGATACGGACTTCTCGCACATGTATATTATGGGTTATGTTTCCTTTCATTCTCATCAGATGGGCGCTCGGGATACGGTGTTGGAGGTTAATGCTCATTTCTCACCTTCATCTCTCATCAATTGTGTTCAAATTCACATTCACTTTTTTCTGACGCCTACGCGCCGTCACTCAACGTCCAACTTCTCATACTGCCATAAAACCGTACAATCTACCTTCGCCGATACTACAATTCAAACTCGTACCAAATACCTCAAGAGACACCAAGGCGAGGTCATGCACGGTCCGCTTCCTGCAGAGGTCGCTGCTTCCTTGCTCAGTTATTCCAGTGCAAGTACAAGTAGGGTCACGCCTCTCTCTTCGCGACTAGATTCTACGACACGGCAGCTCGATCGCGAAGACGGAACTGCGATATCTGGACGGAACGACTCAACTGGGTCAAGGACAAATCAACCGCTTCACTCTCTATTCGCAATGAACCATGCTACCTCTTCCACGGCCGTTATAGAATACCTTGATAAACTCGACAAGCTTCCGGACTGTGGAAAGAGGGAGAGAATAGAGAAGAGAAAGAGGACGCTTGAAGCGCTGGATTATCTTGAATCTGAGATGCGTCGGCTCAGGCTCAATGATCATAAGATGTACGACGCGTGGGACAAACACAGGATGAAAGCCTATATGGAGGATGTACGCTCGTTGTACGGTCTTGACGAACATGTTTCTCTCGTACCTCGACAATTTTGGGTCGCCAAGTTTTCCGGAAGCTACCACACTCGATGCGATTGAAGAGTCCTTATCCGAGATCGCTCTCTTTCTACCCGCTAAAATAGTAGTCAAGGACTATATCGATCACTTCCCTATCGCTGTCGCCGCCTGGCTCACATACCTTCGGGCTATCCTCTCAGTCCGTACCGCGCATACTACCGCACTTCTCCCATCGCAGATTCTGAGTCCATTCACGATCAAAATCAAGAGTTCATGTCTCATCACTTGATTAAGGAAGGCGCATCATGACTACTTGGCAACGGAGACTGGGGGTTTGCCCGTTTATAAGATGCTAGCTGCTGGATTTGTTATGCTGCAGGAAATGCTTGAGAAGAGGAAGCTTGAGATGAGAATCAGGGAAGGGCTGGAAAGTTTGGAGAGATATTTGATAGGGCTGGACGATGAGTTGGGTGAGGGAGCGGGACAGTGGATTGTTTCTCAGCAGACTTAGAATAACAGGCGGGAGTAGAGAAATGGGTCGAAGATCGATGCACTCAAGATGCTGAATGTACGCAGTGTAGGCTTCCTAATAGCTTAAGTCAGTTCAATACTCACGTAAAATTGAAAATCGACTTTGAAGCCGGCTATTGAAAATCAACAAACGCCCCAGAAAGTCCAAAGTTCCAGCCAAATACGTGTATGTGTTTTTAGCGCCTCTCGACTCATGCTATATAAAGTCCGCTTTCCTGCTTTGATTCTCTTTCCACCAACACCCTCCATTTCTATACCAAAAAAAAGAACTTGACGTCCAGTTAATGTCCAAAAAACAGAGGAATTCAACCCATGAGCAGAGCGAACGCTCTTCTCTCTCCAAAAACTACACCTTCCATAATACATGTGTTGTTCGCTCCGGAAACTTCCTGAACCGGATCGCGCTGGTGTTGTGTGCGTCCAGCTCAGCTGTACGGTTTATCCAAAATCATGGCGAGGACGCGCTGTCATACCCTCAGGAACGGGATTCTTCCAAACATGGCGCACGACGTGGACATGTGGATAAAACGAGATTGTTAAGGGATTTGATGGGTATCCTTCGCAGCATGGCTGCAAGAGCTCAAAATCATCATTTTTGAAGACCATGGCCTTTCGCCTAATTCACTTTCAATACATGATGTTGTGCGCTACCTATCCGACGACGTCCGCTTAGTGTCGGAGCTGGCTATTTAAACAGCTCAGCTTATACTCTTCCTTTTCGACATCATTTCGCTCCTCGTTCTACCTCAAAAAGGCGATAACGAAGACCGTATGTGAAACTTGGGTCTTCGTTCCCCAAAACAAATACTATTGGAAATCACAAAATGTTATGGCTATTCAAAACTGTACACAAATACTTGCATGTGTTTCCTACACTTCTCGAATCATTCCATATCAAGTTTGTTTCCCTATTCCGACTCTCTCTACCAACACCACCCTCTATTATCTCAAAAACACAAGATGGATTGGGCCATGGAGAAGCACTTTGACGAGCAGCGAGGTTACCAAGGGAGAGCTAGTAGCGAAAAACCAAATGATGGCCGAAAAAGACTGATGTTCGGACAGTCGTTATGGCATGCACACATGTGGGTCAGAGTCAGGAATTGATGACATGGATTCGTAACTACTTTGACTTTGAGAGTCATGCATCCCTCGGAGTAGGTCTGTCCTAAGCTGGGCATTGCTGCGGCGTAAGTCCATCCCACCTGCACTGGAGCAACTTCTTCGCATCAACAGCCTGTGCTCTCCGCTCTCCTTGAGCCATCCTCTTCGCGCCATCCACCGAACCCCTCTTAGCCGGCGCCTGAGCCGGCACAAATGACGACGAGCAACCCGAGTAGTTCACGCACACTGGGCCCTGGGGGCAGTTGTAGTTGGCACAAGCCTGACCAGGGCCGCAGTCAAGATCGCTCGAACAGGTAGGCTGAGTGCAGCCAGTAGCTGTGTCGCAGACGCCGTATTGCTGGCCACCGGGTGTGCGGGGATCACAATAGCAGTTCGACGAGCAGCCTCCCTGACCTCCTTGCATGTTCGGCTTGTTGCAGATAGGACCGCGGTACTGTGCGACAGCCGTGACCGTCTCGACAATTGTTGTAATCGCGACTACTGTAGAATCGCATACCTACAAATCAGCTTTTGCTGCCCCCTGTTCTATTGTTAGTGTTGTAGCTGGTGTTGTGATGTTGGAAATCAGCCTTTATGTGGCGCGCACTCGCTGTTGCGCTTTCCACGATACAACTACGCTACGACACTACTAACAAGTAGGCTACCATTCTCTCGCCTCTCCTTATATCTTAATAGTATTAGCGAAGGACTGCATGTAGAGCTTGGGTCTGAGTTTCTATATCCGGCTCATCGGTTTCGCAGCCAAAGTTAAGGAGGAACGGCATTTAGTGCTGGGTGAGTTCATAGATTAGGAAGTCGCCACACGAAATATACGGCTCCCTGAGGCCATGGCTTATGACTAACCTGGCTGCGCTACTTCACGGTTTGGTGGATCTGTCTCTTGGTTCACTGGTAGATGCTAACACCTTTACAATCGAGAAATTCTCTCAAGCACTCCATGACTTGTGTCTCCTTGAAAGAAGAGGAAGAACTGCATATCATTCTCACTAGCTGACTCCAAACTCGATGCCGACAGTAATTCTAGGACCAAACTGAATTATGTGCAAGGGAGCTCGCGGCTCTAGAGCAATGACACCAACCATCTCATGCTTTGGGTATAAAGCTTCCATAACGTATCGAATCGTCTAAGTCTGTTAGATCACTGAATCATTCTAGATCATGAAAGAAAAAAATAAATTACCGTATGGGTAAGCAACAGAAAGAGAAGCATCCGATCGCAGCCTTAGCAGTTGTAGTAGCAGACACCAGCGGAAGCACAACCTCCACCACTTGGACACTGCAAGTCACCAGTGCAACACACTCCTGCTCCGTCACCGGAACATGCTTTGATTTGATTGCCGGAGTAGAGACACCTGTTTCGTCCAAGCATTTGTGCGTTGTCGGAGATTTGAACGGCAGAGTCAGGAACCGGGGAAGCTGTCGCTAGTGTAAGGCTGAGAAGCACAGAAGAGAGGATGCGAAGAGGCTGCATGGCGGTCGGGTTTTCGAGGGTATTATGTCAAAGTCAACTGAGTAGCTGGTAGATGATAGACATTCCAGAAGAGCGTATGTCCGAGTATTTATATTGCTGTTTGGTATGTCCGTAGATCAATTCTTGTCTCTCTATACTGATAGGTATCTTCGTCATGGCATGAGCCTCACCTGGGCAATCTATTAGAATGGGTCGTGGGTTCTTCGCCGTGCTAGATGGGCAACGATCAACATAAAGCCGTAGCTGGTATTCTCATCGCTATTTCCCTGTTCAACATACATGGCATTCATGGCCTTGGCTTCACTCACTTCAGTGAATGGACATGTACATTTGCATGCAGCGGAAACCAGGTAGCCGGAAAACACACCTGCATTACCATCTACCTATGTATTCCTACATGATTACTGAACAGCGATACTCCTCCAATTCGGCATCACGATTATCGTCAAAACCATTCCGTTTCAGATTCATTCGGGCCTCGGAGGAGAGCACTCATCCCGGTGCCTTTACGTACGGATTAGTTCCTGGCGCTAGCCAAGTCCGTGCTAGTGCTAGCGTAAGCTGCCCAGCCGGCAGCTGCGCAATGGGTCCACAATTCACTGTTTGCGATACTGCGATGCTTCAGATGTCTTCTTCCGTACAGTATCTATGCTCGGAAGCTCTTTGGCGGCAGCGGGTTTCCGGGTTACCGCCTCAATTGAACCCTGCAGCTTGGTCTAGTCCATCGGTACTTAGGTACCCGACAACCACTTCACGAGCAGTTTGGTTCGGCACTTTTGCGGTAGCGCGATATCAACTCAATCATGAGCAGTCAGACTATCTGCTCGCTGCCACTTGTTTGGTGAGAAGAGCATTACCCGTTTCCTCTTACACTGCACTCTATCATTCACATCTCATGGAAAGTCTTCACCAAACGATCCCTACTCTTTTCCGCCTTCACGACGTGGTGAAATTGCCTACCTAGCTTGAGCTAGTTGCGGATATATCGCGGCGGAAATCAAGTAGGAACCACAATTAATCCAGAATGCCCAGGTACATCGGTGAGACACTGTTGATTAGTGACCGCTCATTGCTGCTGGACAAGAATTCATCCGTATAAGGTGTCAAGATCGGGTATATATCTGCGTTCATCACACGGCTAGTGGTTTGGTACACCCTTGGAGGAATAACGTATCCTCGTCATCCACTACCATGAAACTTGCTCTGCCAATTCTTGCGGCTATTGCTACCTCTTCAGAGGCCGCCTTTTGTAATGGAGGATGGGGTTTACCGTCAGGGTCTTCATGTCCCAGTCCCTATGTGAGTACAGCACGGATCACTAGAAAACCAGCACCTACTGCTGGTCCTTCTGCGTGAGTTATTAGCGAAGCACAAGAAGAAGAATCTCAATTCACAATACGTGTATAGTGTCAAGAACCAGGAAGTCCAAATCCGACTTTCCCTACATTTAGGACTTGCGTATACCCTGGTAGGAGTGGACAGCCCGCCCTCGACTCTTGCAACGGTAGCGGAGTAAGTGTTAAATCCGATTCCGGGCAAAGAAAAAGAGACTAACAGCTGTGTGACTAGTTTATCCAATGCGTAAGTGATTTGTGAATGTGTTAATCTCTGATATACTGATGCATGTAGTGCACCATTTGAGCATTTGCGTACTATACCCTGAATTATTGTAGACGAAAGTGTGGATACCAGACTAGTATTACCATCTCCTGAAATACCATGCCATACAACCTCCTCGAAGATAGCACTCAGCAATACTCTTACAATGAAACACATGCTACCCACCTCCCTCCTGCTCAAGCTAACCCCCTACTTCGCACAAACCTGACCCTTTGCCGCCTGTAAGTTCTTCTGATTCTGCATCGTCCCATCCATGACCTCCTGCACCAACATCTTGATCGTCTCTCCATCCACCGCTGCATTACCCTTCAAACTCTTGACCTGATCAATCTCCTTGGTCTGCGCACCAGCTACAATTGCTAGTCCATCAGCAGCTGGGCTGTTGATCTCCTTGGCAAGTTTCTGGTTGTTGGCGCGGATGTCGACGCCGCGTTGTTGGATTGCAAGAACGGAGGTTTGGGTGGCGTTGAAGCCGGCGGTTCCGCCTTGAAGTTTTAGGGCGTACACGCTAAGGGGGGTACCTGTCAGTATTGTGGAGTTTTGTGCTGAAGGGGAGTAAACATACCCTTTTAGCTCTTGGGCTTGAATGTCGAGGTTGGCTTGGATGCCTTGCTCGAGCTTGGTTTGGATGGCGGCGCAGTTGGTGGTGGCAGAGGCTTGGGGAGCTGGAGCTGCGATGGCGGAGGCGAAAAGGCAAAGGAGGGTGAAGGTCTTCATTTTGGCGTATGTGCGAAGCGCGAATGGTAGATATAAGATTAGGTATATGTGTACGTTGATGTATGTAGTAAATTGAAGTCTAGCTCACTCCAGGTGAGTAGCGATTGTAGAGGAAGGAACGAAGGGATGCTTGAGAAGATTGATGAGACAGATGCATTATTCCACAGACACCTGAGCGCTGTCTTATACTTCCTCGCATCCCGAGCCTCCGATTACACAGTCTATATAATTTACGGGCCGATGAAGTCACCTTTGGGCGCTGAGCCACGCATGCTCTCACAACCTGCACCTCATGAACAGCGCTCCCAACCTTATCAGAATCCGGAGAGAGGGAACCGGGATTACTCTTTGACAGTTTGCTCATGCGGAGTTCGCTTCTTCTCGTCCCATTCGTACGGTGAGAAAACTGGAGACGGCCGTGAGACTCGAAACAGGGTGTTCGCGTCGCAGATCTGCAGTGAAACAAATCGGACCGCGGTTTACGGGGCGATGAGCTTGTCAAAGCTTGTAATGTTGGCAGTGTATGTTCTGGAAGCTGCGCGAAATGTGCTCCTCTCGTGATGACATGTGCACAATAAAGTTGTGGTTGGTGTTGAGTTTGATGGTGCCGCAGGTGTCAGACATCGTTAGTCTAGGCCGCGTCAGATTAGCGCCAACTCCAATGGCTACATACGATCTTGCAAGTTGCCTACGAACTTGTATGGACAGGTGAATATGGTTCCGAGTTACATGGCTGCCATTCACCACCCTGAGCATGTCACCACGGCAACATATATGCTCCCGTCCCGCCGCGTTCTCCACACATAACCTTACATCGTACATCAGAACATAGCAGATGCAATTATACTTTTTTTCATTATCAAACGGCATACTAAACTACGTGAGACGCCGTGCATCCTTCCTTCCCAATTTCCAAGGAAGGAATGAAAGAAAAACTCAAATCGATCCTCCGAAAGCCTACTAGGAGGTGGTCGCAGAGGGGATATCGTTGTGATCCTAATGTTACAGTGTTTCCATTTCATTTTCCGCCTATTCCGTACGCAGATCGTAAGGTCGTGAAAGTGGCACGTATGGCAGTCGTATCAAAGGGGGAAGGATATGACCGAACATTGCTTGTCGGTGGTGAATGGTAGCGAGACGCTTACAACTCCTGCTTAGCAGAGGCAGAGGCGGAGCTGGCGCTAGCGGCAGCAGCATCGTATCCGCTCTGGGCAGACTTTGAGGCAACAGAGGAAGCGCTGGAAGCAGATGAGGAGGCAGCGGCGTTGGCGCTAGCAGCCGACTTAGAGATAGAGGACGAGGATGAGGAAGCAGCCTTGGCAGCAGCGCCAGTAAGGGAGCTGGCGCTGGATCCGGCAGCATCAGTAGCGGAGGCAACGCTAGCCTCAGCGAGACCAATCTGTTGCTTGATCAAGTCGGTGTAGTAAGCAAATCCACCGGTGGCAGCAGCGTACTGGTTGCCGGCCTTGGAGGTAGCGGCACCATAAGCGGAAGCACCAGAAGCAGAAACAGATTCGGCAGAGGCAGAAGCGCTGTCGCCGTAGAGACGAGCGCGGTGCTTGCGGGCAAGAGCGATGAGCTCGTTACGCTTGGAACCCTGGGGAACCTTGATGCCGTTCTTGTCAGCCCACTCCTTGATCTGGCTGTCAGACCAAGAGTCAAGAAGGGCGTCACTGAGGCTCTGCTGAGCGTTGGCAGCAGCGGAAGAAACGGAAGCGTAGGCACTCTGGGATTGCTGGCTAGCAAGACGAGACTGACGGCGGAGAGCAGCAATCATCGAGTCGCGGGTGCTGGGCTGGGGAACGTTGTAACCGCGCTCGTCGAACCAAGCCTTGAGGTCAGAGTCAGACCAGGAAGCGTAGAGCCAGTCACCGGGGTAGTTGGCAGTCTCCTTGGCCTTCTCGGCTGCGGACTGGTAGTTGTCACGGACGGCTGCGAGAAGAGAGTCACGCTGGCGGGGCTGGGGGACGGGGATGCCGTGCTTGTCGGCAAAAGCCTTGAGCTGGGAGTCCGACCAACTGTGGATTGTTAGCCATTGTGCAGATGATGTGATGCTGGCACCGGCACGTACGAATCGAAGATCCAGTCCTTGATGCTACCATAGGCCTGGTTCGCCGAGTCCTCAGTCTCAGTCCAGTAGACCTTGACCTGCTCAGCGAGGCTCTTGGCATCCTTCTCAGTGCCCTTCTTGGCCTGCTGGCCCTTGAGCGTCAGGTAGTTCTGGAGAGTCTGTGCATCCCAGCTGGTGTAGGGAGTCACAACCTTGTCGTTCCAGTTGGCCTTGACCGTCGACTGGAGGTTCTTGCGGTCAGAGGGGCTGGGGTGGGGAACGCCGTGGTCGCTCAGCCAGCGCTCAAGCTCCGTCTCATGCCACTTGTCGTAGACTGCTTCCTGACGTCAGGTGACTGCTGCATGACGCGATGGGCAATTCGAAAACAAAAGGGAGGGCTTGTTTACTATACGCACCGGCGCTTCCAAACCAGCTGTTGGCCGTTGCTGTAGCAGCAAGCGATGCCACGAGAGTGGACGTAATGGAGAACCTCATGATGTGCGGCTGTGAGAATGCTTAATATCGGTGATAGAGAAAAAGACGAGGGTCGGGATTTAGGCAAACTCGGCAGAGGTGTGAGGACTAGAGGTAATGGTGGGCAAAGCGTTTATGAGGGGAGGGACACACAATGGCGGGTAGATTGTGTGCGTGGAAGTGACGTAGTGCTGCACGTATGGAGCTTGGACAAACAAGATCCCCAACGCGCCTGCCTCCAGAAGCAGCCAATGAGGAGCTATGGCCACATGCAACCGCGTCTTTCGACTGTGCGCAATTGTGAGATCGTCTTCTGCAAACACGGTCTAGGCCTTTGTTATGTTTGACATCTGACAGTCTGGGAGAACCCCCGAGGCATGTCATCTTGTTTGCCATGTCAAAACTCATCATCATCATCATGGCACAGGTGGCACGAAATAGCTCCACTCGGCTGTGCCGTGTGTCGCCATGGCATTTCAAAAAATTCCCATCCCCATAATGCGGGGGCGATCACCACGCTAGCCCACTACGTCATCGGCCCAGCATGCACAAGAGTTATGAAGCTCAGCCCTTCTTCTACACGCAACAATTCATGGGTAGCACGCAAACACGTCAATCAAGTACTTGGTGCTTGATGGATGCCGTGCATTTCCTGAGACCCTCGACAGTCATTTCTAGCTAATTATACATCAGGGTCATGTTGTTCGCGCTCTGCATAACCTCTTGCTCATCCTCGTACGCCTTCAGATCCACTTCGTCCACCTTCGCCTGTGCACTTGTTAACAACATGTCCAATGCCTGTCGCTTTGATATAACGTACCTTTCCAGAAGCTGGCAGGCACCTTGTCCTTCTCTGCTTCCTCGTTGTCGACCTTCTCATGCGCCTGTTCCGCCCGGTTATCCATGTCTTTGTTGTGTTGCTTGACATCCTCGCCCTCTTCTTCGGGTGCAGGAGGGTTTTCGTTGAGAATTTTGGGTTTCGCACCTTTGACTTCGTTGGGGCTGGGCTTGTTGTCTTGACCCTGCTTGACGGCTGGCTCTTTGCTGTCCTTCATCTGGCGTGCAAATGTCGAGAACTCGCGCTTGCCAGACTTGTTTGATGAAGGAGCCGGCGACTCTGATGTGGGCTTGGGAGACTCATTCTGGTTTGAGTTGCCGTCCTTGTTTGGCGACGACGAAGACTGGCCTTGGGCAACCTTGGGCGGCGCGGGGCCGGGATGCTCGAGGTTCTCGCTGGGGTTCTGGCCCTGCTTCTCCGGTGACTCTCCAGCTGGGTTGCCCTTACCAGAACCGTAATCTGAGGTCGCGAAGCGGACTTGTATACGGGCACGGGGGGCCGCCGAAAGTGCGGGTCGTAGAGCTGCCGAACGCAGCATCGACATGGGGCGAAGGAAGCTCATGATGTAAATTGGTACAAAGGAATTGAGATTGACAAAGATTCTGGTGTTGCGAGATGTATAGGTTTGAGTTAAGTTGGTTGTATGCAAGACGTCGAGTTCTCGAGCTGTAGTTTGTCTAAGCTCGCGTTGACGTCATGGTTTAGCCGCGACGCACGTCACAGGAGGAGGCTCGAATAACCACATCTGCGCTGCAGCGGCGATCGCTTAGCCTTACAGCCACTCAAGGATACTGCACTCCTGCCCGCACTGAGAGGTGAATATGCCCTGTTTATATGTCTACAAAGCTTGCGCTAAGTACGATTCAGACTTTGACCTTTACGTATACATGCTTAGCAATACGAGTAGCTATCAAAAGCATAACAACAGCCTCAGGATCGCATAATGACCTTGACTTCATGGTCTTACGGCTGAGCGGGCACCGAATTCAAGCAACCAAGGAGTTTTTTTTTTTTTTTGGAGCGACATACAGGAGCCTGAAGACTACATGGGTAACGAGGCTGGAACACCAGTGTACGACCCAGACGCCTCTGAAGACAACATAACCTCTCAAAACGAGTGATATTTTTTTCAGACGTAACACCAGGTGCATTGATTCACTCTTATGGTTCAACTCTCGTAATCATACTACCTGTTCTTATCGCACCTTAGCTCCACCACCAAAGTTTCCTCAATCATAACAAAATCAAAGCCATACACTCGAATCGGGTAAAAAGCCACTCTTTCCGTTCTTACAGCGACGCTTTCTCGATTCGTCCATCCTGCTTAGTATATGGAGTCGGCTTGTTTTCTCTCTTCCACCTCTTGTGCGCCTCGCTCACCAATGGCGGTGGTATCAATCCTTGGATCTTCCACAGATCTCTCCGTGGTTCTTCGATATGAAATTCCCAATCATAGCCTTTATCTGCAACATGAGGCTTTATCACAGAGTCGATTTGATGAATCCACGCCTCGCGCTCCTCAGCAGCATTGTGAGTTCCTGCTAGCTCGAAGATGACGAGTCGCACCATCTTGTCATCCTTCACGCCACCGACATACTGAGATGACGTCGGGACAAATGATACGTTAGTGTAAAAGGGCGGAATCATCTTGTATATCTTGGAGGTAACGTCCTTGGCAAACGCCTCGCGGGAGGCTTCGTCAGTGAAAGTTGCTGAGCCATGGAGCACGAGCCAGATAGGCATCTTCGATGTATCTTGCAGAAAACGTCCTGAAAAAGATTTTCGATAAGAGAAGCAATTGTCACGTTCAAAGATCTCGGAATAATTAGGATTTGTCTCAATCCAGTCAACCACCCTCGCTTCTTATGCTGCTGCTGCTGCTGCTGCTCCTGCTCTCTATACCTCGGTTCAAGCTACCTATGGAGCGGGGTTCAATGTTTATTATTCACTGGAAGAGTAAAAGATCATACAGCTTACGCGCGTAGGGTTTGATGTTTAGTACCCTGCTTACTTACCCAGAGTTCGGTGTTTAGTGATCACCCGAGGATCAAGCTCGAACCCCCCTCCATATACTGCCTTCCTTCACGACAGGTCGAAGAGTGCCCCTTTAGTTTCAGTAGCGATCCAATCTACTTGCATCTCAATCTAGCCCTTGCACTTATCCGGAAAAAGCATCCTAATCACCTCCGATTAGGTAGGGCTGCACCATCAGCTTTCAGTATACCCAAAGCTCATTGCCTCATCGCTGGCGCAAAATGGCGTCCAAAACAATTCTCATGACTGGCGTCTCAGGGTTTGTCGGTATCCAGACCCTTTTGTCTTTCACGTCTGCGGGATACTTCGTTCGTGGGACTGTTCGGAGCCAGAAGTCTGCAGCGCAAGTACGCACCGCCGCCAACAAGCTTGGAGTCTCTGGTCTGAAGTACGATCTGGTAATTGTTCCTGATATCACCGCACCAGGCGCATTCGACAGTCATCTCGATGGTGTCGACGGCATAATCCATGTGGCTTCGCCTTTCTATAACGGTGTCAAGAATTTTGACGATGTATACATTCCTGCCGTCCATGGTACTCTTGGAATTCTAAAAAGTGCTGCGAAAAGGACTGATGGCAGAATCAAACGTGTAGTAGTAACATCGTCATTTGCAGCTGTCTGTGACTTTTCAAAGGGTCCACGACCAGGGTACGTCTACACCGAGAAGGATTGGAATCCGATCACCAAGGAGCAAGCACTCAAAGTCAAGCCACTTCAATACGTGTAAGTCGCAGTCAAAGAATGTATTGAAAAAAACACTAATTGAATATAAAAGCGCTTCCAAGAAGCTCGCAGAACTTGCTGCGTGGGACTTTGTAGAAGCCGAAAAGCCAAGCTTCAGCCTCGCGACCGTTAATCCCCCCATGATTTATGGTCCAGTCGCCCAGCTTGACTCCACTGCGAACTTAAATCAATCCGCGCTCGACATCTGGAACCTGATGACGGGACATGTCAAAGAAGTTCCACCAACACCTCTGCCTGCGTTTTGCGACGTTCGGGATGTCGCTCAAACACACCTTAAAGCATTCGAGCATGCGACTGGAGGACGGTTCCTACCAGTCGGTGGGACATTCCTTTTCCAGGATGTTTGTGCTATACTGAAAGACGTGGCGCCTGAATGGGCCGGCTTAGTGCCAGATCCAGAAGGTAAACCGCGCCATGAACATTTCTTGGTAGACAACTTTTGGACAGAGAAGGAGCTAGGAATGAGCTTCAGAGGGTTAAAAGAAACAATTACGGATACAGTAGAGTCGTTCAGAGCCATGCAGGTAAGGAGTAGTTGCTTTGAACAAGGTTCTTCACTAACTTGTAACAGACAAAACCTAACCTCTGAACTTCGAATGTTCAAAGTTAACTCAGGATCGAGTACCAGTATATTATATCGTACCCGAGAGATATTCGCGACCTCTCATTTCGTTCGGTACTAGGTACTTATACCAATGTTTACAATAGATTAAAGGGAATAGTTTCTTGATGGAGAACTGAAATTGCAAAGAACGTCTTGCATATTAATAGCCATACCTGCGTTTCACACAGAAGCGTCAGCACCAAACACAAACAAACCGTCTTTAATCTCTTAGACTCCTATAACGCATGCTAATTACATTCTCTTAACTCGTTTTGCAATGTTTTCTAACAATCTATAACCCCCATCAGCATCAAAACTTCCCCCAAGCTTCCTCTTCCTCACCTCAGGCGCCACCTCCCCTTCCAACCTAGGCCCTCTTCCCCAAGCCCCTTCGAAGCTCCACTCCTTCTTGAACTCTATCCTCTTCTTCTTGTCCACAATCTTAACATACCGCCACCCTTCGCTCTCCCAATGTTCACTCGGCACCTCAACCCCCTTTCTCAATTTCGCTACCGCCCTCTCCCACCGCGCAACAGTACTCGCGTACACAGTCGTACCCCGCGCCACCATATCATCCGTGATTTCCCTGTACTTTGCTTTATCAGATGCGAGTTGTCTGTACCAGTCTTCATCTGCAACGTCGAAAAAGGGGCCGTAGGACTTTTGTGGGCGTAGCAAAGGGCACGTTGGACCGCAGGCTCCGTAGGTAGCCCGAGGGGTGCAGTGAGCGCAGTAGAAGCCGTGATGTTTGTGCGAGAGGGACATGTGTATACGCGTATTTAAAGACAGTCTGATGATGGAGAGGGAGTCTTTGAGGGCGTGAATACGAGATAACATTTTGGGAGTTGCGTGGGGTGTGCGTTTGGGTGGTGAGGGAGAGCGAGGTGATGGCGGGAGGATGTCTAGCCAGGAAGAGTGGGTTTCCCTGGGTAGAGCAAAGAGTGTGCGCGGCATAGCTAGAAGTGAGGTGCCTGAATTGAGGTTGTGTGAAGAGTAGATTCACTGTGATTGGCCTCAAAAGAGTGAGAATCGGGTGTAAATAGTGATCTGTTAAGGTAAAAAAAAAAGTGTAGGCTGCAATTCGCGATACTTAGGATGGTGTGAAACTGTAAGTGAGACTGATAATACATTGTGTCAAGGTTATAATGGTGCACTATGATAGGAGGAGTCTCATCTTGCTTTTGTGGTAGTCATGAGGAGATTAAAAGACGAATACACAGTGTAGTGGAGCAAGCAGTTGCGTTGTGACATCGCGTTTGAGTGTGAGCACGTGCTAGCTGACAATGTGCTGTTGGTCTGGAAGTGATGTGCTCGGCTGTGGACGGGATGATGTTTGCCAAAGCCAAATGATCGAGCAATGGTATTATACTCTCACATCTACGTCTTAGCCTTCTATGATATAGCACGTCTATCTCTCTATGACTCTTACAGTAACGCTGTGGGAATCTTTCGCTCTCCCAATATCTCGTCGAAAGTCGTCAGAACGCGACGTCGCACCCTATCCAAGTCTTTGAGCTCTTCATGATCGCGTTCTTCTTTGGTCGCTGGACGACCTTGCTCTTCCCAGATAGGTATCTGTGGTCGAGAGAGATTGATAGACGCTCGCACCTGGTGATTTGCTTCTGATAACAGTGCCGGCTGACGTTTTAGGTCTGTGGCCGCTGGAGTTATTGGAATGTTTTCAAGATCAGGCGTGTCTGACAATCCGGTTGCATCGCTTGGGTCATCGAGTTCGAAGCTAAAGCGACGTCGTACATTAGATGGTCGTGCATCTACAGGAGACCAGACAGCTGGAGCATGAGCCGCCGCAATTCCTGAAGCGCGGCTGTTGTATGCTGTGCTGTTGTGCTTGTCATTTTCGGTCTTCTTATCTTTCGTACTGTTGTGCTTTACAGCAGCCCTACGACTCAGTCTTACTGGGTTGCTGCGAGAGCTGAAAGTAGCGTCATGTTTTCCAACAGGAGAAAGAGGGGTTTCCATGCTATTGTTTCCAGGGTTGTCGATGCTACAGGTTTCGTAATGATCTGATGATCGTGGGAATCCGGGACGTAGCCATTCATGATACATCTGTGAATACACATTGCGTTGCTCATACCAATCTGACTGTGAACGAGTAACACGCCGCTCGTAGGCTCCCTTCACAGTTTGACCGCTCTGGACTTTTACACCGCGATCAGTCATCTGTCTTTGGGGAGAAACAAACTGCGAAGCGCCCTCTAGACGATGCGGACGACGTTGCACAACCTCGTAAGCTTGCTCGCAGCAAGGGTCTCCTATCTCAAGTTCTACTCTTCGTAATGACATACCAGTGTGATCGACATCTCCATTGATGATAGTGAAGGCGACACGATCCCCTACTCTAACTTGTCTTCCTCGGTGTTCCATGTAGGTGTGAATGAAACTTTGCTTGGTTGTGGTACTGGCGAGCTATCTGATCATAGCATGCGGATGGCGCTAGTTTTCAGGTTCGCAAATTGTTTGCCAAAGACCGACATCGTGAAGGTGTATGGGTTTCCAGAAGATTGTGTGACATCGTGAATATTGTACGACATCCGGTATTCGTCGTGTAAGTTCGAGAACTGTAGGAGGTATTGGCATGCGGCCTACAGTATTCGTGATATGTATTTCGTAGGTTCCAAGATAGGACCAACCTTTATGGCGCATATCGTGTGAGAAGCCATGATGCACAATGCACAAGTTTTCTGTCATCTTCCAGGCGCCTGCCTCAAGCCTCATCCACCTCTTCCTCCTTCCTCGTCTCAACCTCCCTCTCCAATGCCTCAACACTCATCGGACACTTCCTCCCCTCCCACTTCTTCTGTTCTTCCCTTGCAAATCCCTCCAAGCTCAACATACCCACACACAAGAACCCCAACACCTCTCTATCTGTATCAAACACCTCCCACCACTCGCACTCTGGCATCTTGATCCCTGTCTCTCTCGCCGCCAGATAGATAGCTGCCGTCGCCAGCGCTGGTGGCTGATGCGTAAGGTACAGGCACTGCGGACTCAGTAACGCGGTATTCAAGTGCGCAATCGCACGTTTCGCAAGTTCGGACGCGCGGGGATGGGAGAAGATGTCGAGTGCTTGCATATAGGTTATACACAGCGTGTACGGTAACTGGACGGCAACATTGAAGCCAAGAGTACGAAGAATACGTTGTTCGGTTGTGAACAGCGTTGCGCGGCGCCGCTCGTACGTGCCCTCGCTCACATAACATCTCGCCGCATCCTTCGACTGCTCCAGATGGTCTCCGTCGAAATAGGTAACCGGCAACGAATCAAGATACGCGTACACATTAACCAGACTGCGCGCTGACTTGGGATAGGCAGAGAGCTTTGTGGTGAGGTATAGCGATGCGGCTGAGACTTGTTCTGCGCCGAATTCTGCGAGACTTCCTCCTTCCGGGCCGAGCCAGAAGCGCATGAACACTACAATAGCTTGTGCGACGACTTCTTGTGGGAGGCGGAGGAGTATACCGGCGGCTTGTGTGAGGCGAGCGCCGGCGAAACGGATTGAGTCTTCGAGATCAGATGGGATGCCGTCGATTTGGGAACCGGAGGCTTCGAGCTGGGCTACGGTTGCCAATGGGTTTGCGAGGGGCGAGGGCTGCATATCGGAGGTGTTGTACGGGGACTGGAAGTCTTGCGACAACGTTGTGGAGTTGTGGGAGCTTTGGCGCAGAAAGATGTTGGAGATGGAGATGGAGATGTGGAGCTGTCGGACTTGCGATGGGCGAGCCTCGGTACACTAACCTCTGTTCTTTCTAGTCAACAACATTCGCTCCACGGATGTACATCACACGCGAGACAGACTTCTGGACTTCATGGTTTAGCCACCTCTTCGAGAAATTGCTGCTGCTCGCTACATCGACGTTGATTTTTGGGAAACATCCAATAAGAAATCGTCTCCTTAGCTCAATTGGGAGAGCGCCAGACTGAAGTCATCAGTCACTAAATCTGGAGGTATCGTGTTCGATCCACGAAGGGGACATCACCGTGCTTGAGCTTGCTCAAGATATTTCGAACCATTCTTTTTGCCATTCCATAAGCCTCGGGTACCAACACACGAAGGCTGGTACAGTGTGGGGGTGGATCTGCTACCCCTCTCTGCTCGTGGATCCATCGCTTCATTTTTGTGCATACAGGTCAAGCAAGGCGACCATTGTGCTGTTGCCACGTACTCTGGCGTCATGCATCATGATTCTTGGATCGATCTCAGTATCTCTAACTGGCTTGGTCGTAGCCGAGATTAGTATGAGATCATGGTACAGAGTAGTAGCATGGGGTTAGTTGGTACATGGCTCTTAGGTTATGGGTCAATATCATCATCTATCAAGTTACTGTGCCCCGTCTCGCTTACTGTCAGCAAGCCTCGTGATGGATTACAAGCACCAAAGTACACAAAGTCTTTAGGATTAGACGATATGATCGCAATCCTCTCCACTTCTCATACACCATAGTTTTCCCCATCCTACACATCAAAACATGGCTCATCTCAATCCCTTTGTACACACTAAGCATCACATCCATAGTTTCAAGTAGACTCGCGTATTCCATAGACAACAAAATGATAGCATTAACATAATAACTGATTAAACGAGGGCGTAAAGGTGGGTATCTTGCCGGCTAAATGCTAACCAAAAACCGCTAAATATCAACACGACTATACACACAATACAAAGAAAAAGTCGTCGCGATTGCTCGCGTAGAGGTGACCCGTAAAAGGGTGACAGAAGGGTAATTCTAAACATTCCCATAACCGAAAAAACAAAGAACCCTGTATCCCAAAATCCAGTAGTATCCCAAAGTAAAATCCAGAAAAATGCAAAGTCGGAGAAGTGGAAACGCTAGATGAAGGAAATCAAACCCAAGCAAAAAACGCCGTCATTATGTTTTTTGTTCTGCACAGAGTGTGCGAGAATGCGATATCTAGTCGATACCAATCATAGTACCATCGCACCTCCAGTCATCCACCTCGACGTCCTGGGCCGCCGTGTTGGTAGCTTCAGGGTCGATCTGGACATGTGTGAGCCAAGTGCCCACACGGTTCTGCCCGACTTTACGGCCGTCGCGGGATAGACCAGCCATGGTAGAAGAGGTGACGACCTGCTGAGGGGGCGCAGGCCGAACGGGACGGGCTACAGGAACGGGAGCAGGCGCAGGGCGGCGTGTGCTACTGCTGAAAAAGGATCCGCGAGGTGTCGAGGTGCGGGTTGCGGTACGGACAGCAGACACAGGGGTGCGGATGGCGTACGAGTCGTTCATGTGGTGGGCAGCCGCGTTACCAACGCCGTATACTGCGGCCTCAGGTTCGTTGCGGCGGACGGAAGAAACGGTCGGCGTGGGGTTGAGGTGGAGCGAGTTGCGAAGGTGAGCAGACAGCCTGCGGGATTCGGGACGGGGGAGGTCGCGTTCACTGCGGTTGTGGGTGCGGACGCTGGGGCGTCGGGCCAGGGGAGGAGAAGGTTGTTCCGGGATTTCGATGACTTCTACGTCGGCGTAGCGAGCTTGTTGGGGGTAGGGAACGCGCATGTCGTTTAGGCGATCGTCGTCGGGGATGTGTTGATAGTTGAACCATGGGCAGTTGCAGGTTTTCCAGGGAGCGGCGCAGACCATGCAGAATTGTGCTGTGCAGCGGCTAGAGACTACTGTTAGACCTTGTGATGTGTGCGAATGACATGCTAGACTTACCAGGTCATGTGATTGCAACCTTCTTTCAGCTCGACTACAGCCTTGCAGCTGTAGCACCGTTGCCAACCCTTCTCCTTGGCCATCTCGACTAGACGGTTGGTCTCCTCGTCCTTGGGGCATTCGCGCTTCGTGTGAAATTTACTGTTGCAGAGTACGCACACCTTGGTGTTGCATGAGCTACAGCGTGCGTACTTGCGGCCGTAGGTTGGGTCCATCTTGATCTTTGAAGGCTTGATCCACTGGCCGCATCCTTTTGAGGGACAGTACAAGCGGTTGGCGGTTGTGTACTCTTGAAACTTTTTGTTCCATTGGACCTTGAACTTGTCATCGAAGAGTCGGTCGGCATACTTCAATGGGATGTGCTCTGAGGTGCAGCATCGGGGTGGCATGTGGGCAGGATCCTTGACCGAGAGGGTGAATTGGCGTTTGAGGCATCCGTAGCACATGCGGTGACCACATGCAAGCTTGACAGTCTTGCTGAGCGGAAGGTCATCGTTCATGCACACGAGACAGTCAACCCTGAATGGAGTTAGCACAGTAGAGACAAGGTGATGTTAGTACTAACCTCTTCTCCTCATCCCGGTCCCTACGGGAAGACGAACGTGAGATGGGAGTAGGCTTGGAGAACAAGCTTGATAAGATGCCCCCGGTACTCCGACGGGCAGCATCCTTGACTGACTGCGTCCTGGTAAGCGGCGTAGGGGGTGGCGACTTGACAGTGTTGCTCCGCTGCCGTGTACCAGAGGGTCTGGCCTCTCTAACAGGCGCATCACGTGTATGTGCTTTTGGCTCGCGTGTAGAAGAATTCCTGGCCCTCATTAGTCGAGCTACGTGTACAAGTGGAGACGGGTCTAACCTGGTCAACGGCGGGACTTCGACCCTGCGGACTGACGCAGATCCAGAGCCAGAATGCGGAGTGTAGGCAGTCCTGCTAGAAGAATTGCCTTCCTCGCTTCTCTTGCGCGCCGACGATCGTCGCACAGTGACTTCTTCGACATGGCCCATGGACTTGGGGCGGCCAAAGACGAAGTCGTCCTCATCATCAGGTATCACTTCTCGCCTCTTGGGCTTCCGCGTGCTGTCTCGTCGCACGTCCTTTTCGCGACTGCTGCGTGACTTTTCCTTGACGGGAGCTGCCCGTCTGCTGCTCTCCTTCTCCATGCGACTGTCTCGGTCGCGCCTCCGCTCGGCCTCGTTGCGTGAGTAGTAAGATTCTCTGCGCGCCCTCAAATCTTCAATGTCCAGCTCTGCTTGCCTCCTCGCCTCATCCGCCCGTCGGCGCTCTCTGCGTTCTCGTGTGGAAGCTGTGGGTTCGTTGTCGTGGTGCTCGCGGGACTTGTGTCGGCGATGTCTCCGTTCTCGCTCGTCGAGATATTCGCCGTCGTCACGGTGTCGTGTGGCCCGGTCATCGCGTCCTCGCGCCATGCCCAGCCAGGGCATATGGCCAGTGTATTATGTGCCTCCTGCCAGCCTCGCAGGTCACAGGCTCATTAACGCTCTCGAAAAACTGAAGGCAGCTGTGCAGGCGACGCACAAAAGCGAACGGGTGTGTGGAGAGTTGCGGTGGGCGTGACGAGCGAACAGCAAGCACCTGCAGGTAGCCCAAGCCTGATCAGACCAAAGTCGGCCAGTTGCACGGGGCAAGCCGCCGGCGGTGTGCGCGCACTGGGTGCCTGTTGATCGAAAGCGTCCTCAGGGCTTTCGCTAAGACTTTTAGTCGGCCCAGGGGTATTCGTCAGGCGTCGACGCACTGGCTGCCAGCTGTCTTAAATACGCAGATGATGTAGTTTTTTCGCAGGAGGCAAACGGAACCATCGGGATTAGTTCTCATGCAGCGTTGCGTGCCCGCAAAAGCAACGCCAAAGTCTATTTGCTTCATGGCGTCGCACTGCTTTTGGGCCAACGTTCGGGCTGCAGTTGAGTCTTAGTGAGAGTCTTAGGGAGACGGCCCGCCACAGGGGCTGAAAGATTTATTGCAGAATCTAATCGCGGACATGCAACGGCGCCCAGCGTCCTCAGTCCTTCTCAAGTGTAATTTGGGTCGAAATTTCCCATCTCTGCCCGCCGCTCCCGTATCCGCCGCCCAAGCGGTTCCGCACCATGCTGCCAATGCGATCGCGCAGACGCCCAATTTCCTCCAAATTCCTCACTCGAAGTTTCAGGTTCGCCTGGCAGAGCCCGTAGTGTACCTGCCAGAATTTTGCCTCCTCTACCGTTCGCACGGCTGGGTCCGTCTCCAGGTCGTACATGATGTCCGACACGCCGGGTCCCGAGTAGGACATGAGCAGCATCTTGCCGAGGGTCCATCCTTGAATCCAACCTAGCGCCACCATGGAGAAGGCAACTGAAAATGACAGAGTTCGATCAAGCCACACATACATCTGGATGCTCAGTAGGGGCAAGATTAGTAGCAGTGACGAGCACGACAATGTCAGAAAATGCGATGGGTTGCTCAGCACAGAAGGCAGGTTAGCAATCGCACTTAGCCTCATGACCTTGCCTATGCGCGCATGGTTCTTCAACAAAATTGCTGAGACCAGTGTCGAGACAACACCGCACAAAGCAGCAAGATCAATGCTGCCAGCGGACACTCGCTCGTGAGCGTCGGCATGATGCGCCTCATGTCCTCCAGTATTTTCAAGCGCGTGCGTCAATCCATGCGATATAAGGTCCAGTCCCATGAACAGTAGCCCAACAGACATGCCTAGTCCTGCGATGACCTCCAGACGTTCAAAGCCAAATGGATGTCGTATGCTAGATCGCTTCCATACCTCGAAGTTGGATCCGACGTCAACAGCTACACACAGAAAAGCTCCAAGTGCATCATAGAAGATTAGACGAGACAGTACTGTCAGTGCCAGCGATTCATGTGCGCCCCATTGTACGAGGCCAGCTACGACCAGATGGCAGAAACACCATGCCAGCCGCAGCTTCTGCTCCTTGGACATGGACGAGCGGTACTCTTTGAACGTCGGGATTGGAAGCGAGGCAGGGAGCTGGAGCGGAGCGCGCGGTGCTGGTTCTAGAAATATCTGATGTGATACACTACTGTGTTTGTACTTGTGTCCTCGTCTTCGGCCGATGTCCTGCGGGAGTCAGTACGATTGCGTAAGATTGCGTAGAAGAACGCACATTAGCCTTTGTCTGGGGCCGCCCCGGCTGGTAGGCGACAGACTGGAAATTGAACGGATTGGGGTTCTCGGACCCGTTCGCAGAGGGCGGCTCAAGATTCATAGTGGAGTCGCTCGCGGGCGTGTATGGAAAGGTCGCGCTCGCGGGTGTATACAGAGTCGCAGGCGACGCCCTCTGCGAGACAGAATCACTGGGCCCGAGGGTCGCATACTGCTTGGAGGGGAACGTGGCAGACATGGGCGAGAGCAGCGCATTGTTGTTAGGCCCCGTGTCTCCAACAGCCAGATCGCTTCGGAATCCTAGTCCAACGGGCTGGCGCGCGTTCTCGTCAGGAGGCGGCGTAGGGGTCCGCGGTGGAGCAGGCAGAGGCATTTTCGAAGCCATGACGATGGCAAATGAGTGACGGTAATGAGTGACTGTTAGCGAAGACGCATTCCAGGCTTAACGAGATAAGAAGCGCAGTCGAACCCCGGACGGGAGGTGGAGGGGAAATTGAGGGAGGCCTTCCATATGCGGCGACCCATAGTCGGTGCATTAGCCAATCCGGACCCGACTAGCCCGCCTGCAAGGGAACCAGGACATGCGACCGGGGGTTGACGTTGTTGACAGCTTAGCTCCAAACATGACACCTTGATTCACCACAACGGCGCTCCATGGCAGTTGACGCACGTGGGAACCATGCAAGACGGAACTGCTGCGCGCAATGAGGGTCGTGCTGAAGGCGAAAGAGCTCGTGCTGACGGCGAAAGAGAGCATGCTTCGACGCGGCATGGGAAACATGAGGAACACGGTCAAGGGCATCAACGAAGCAAATCCGGAGGCATACTAGGCGCTTTCCGAGATGCCATTGGCAAGTCACAGTCACCATCCCCTCAGATAGGCAACGACGAGGGACACGACCAAGATGTGGAAGTCGCGAAGAGGGCATCTTCCATCGCGACTGCCCTGCGCCAAAGCCAGGGCAGGCAGAGGAAGGGATCCTTAAGGAAGGCGGCCATGGCGAAGATGCGTGAGCGGAGCAGCTCTTTGCGCAAAGCCAAACCACCCACAATTACCACTACAACGAGCGTGGACCCCTCGGACGAAGCAACGGCCCCAGGTCGCTTCAGCTACGAGAACGCTCCTCTCAATTCTTCGTCCGACAGCGGGTGGCTCCCCGCTGTCCACCTGTCTCCATCGTCACCCGCCGTCATTTACACTCCACCCGACGACCCTGAACGCACCCTCCCGTCACTGCTTGCATCACCTATGAGCCCGGTGGCACCTTACGCTTCAACTACGGATGAAGACGACATCATGTCCTTCTACCGCCCCTCTACCTCGGGCAATGACTACTCCTTCAGTGGCCCGAACCAGGGCTCTGTTACATCTCTCTCACACCGCCGTTCAACTCGGAGTAACCGACGCACTTCCATCTCGGCAGTCCTGACACCTGCCGAGGCTGACCCCGATGATGAGTGGGATTACAGCGAGACGGAGTGGTGGGGCTGGGTCGTGCTCATAGCAACTTGGATCGTCTTTGTCGTCGGTATGGGCTCTTGTCTCGGAGTTTGGAGTTGGGCGTGGGACGTGGGCGAGACACCGTACGCTCCACCTGACCTCGAAGACGACGCGACCCTGCCCATTACTGGTTACTATCCCGCATTGATTGTTTGCACGGCAGTTACGAGCTGGGTGTGGGTGGTTGTTGCCTGGGTTGGCATGAAGTACTTCCGTCACGCCAAAGTGGGCGTAGACGGATAGTCAGCAAGCAAAGCATCAAGCAAGCCACAGAACCATCACTTACCGACTACCGATCGCATGAACGTCCCAAGGTCCTGGGAACGACTTTTCTATTCTAGTGCTCTCGCTTAACCTTGCCGCATGCGCAATATCTTCTTGGGCTGAAACACTAAGCTATAATACCTCTGTTAAGACACATCATAGCCTCGCTATACCACACTTTGCGGTATGCCATTACTTCTTCCATTATTGTTCTTTCTGACACTCGCGCCAATATCTGCAGCTACCATCTCAATTATTGAAATCGCTGACTGTCTCGACAGAATAAGATCTGCCACAATGCCACATTTTTCCTCTGTCGCTTGTCGTGATTCAGCGGCTTGGACCACAATCTCCGCGCCCGGCTCCTCCTCTCCACCACAATCCTTCGACCCGCTTCGACCCCGTCACTCGGGACAAGGGCAGTACTGAACCTGGTGTGAACACCTCGACATCACCGTATCACCCTGTAACCTCCGATCCTGCAGAGTCGCAGCCAGGGTTCCACATGTTGGTGCAATTTTGACATTGTAAGATGAGGGCAATTTCCCTGTCCAGGCGACTTCATAAACAAAATGGTCGCCAACATGTGGCTGATGGTCGCAGATTGTATCATGCAATTGGTCTGTGATGGCACTACACCAAAGACCACGGGGAGGTTCCAAGCTCGAGGAGCTACTACCAAGTTTACTCATCCTCAAGGGCTTAGAGTCTAGGGAAATTTCAAAGAAAGACGCCGAGTCCAGGCAAACGGTTCACGGGGCACAGCATGAACGGCGGACAAGGACGATACCGGCCCGGAAGCCTCAACGCACGCCGAATACGCTGGTGAGCCAACGGATCACCAACGGCAGACCCTTCCGCTTTTTCGAATTACCGCAAGAGATCAGAGATGAAGTCTATTCCCACCTCGTTGTTCGCAAGACCTCGCGTTCCCTCCCCATCCTTGACGCAACAACCATCCTAAATGACCGCAAGAAACGCCTCGCAGCACGCAAGTCTCGGGAGCGACTAAACCAACGACGGCTCTCAACTGGACAACGACCAGTATGTCCCCGTGCAGCAGATCCCGAGCCAATCCTGCACCTGGAACTCCTCCGAGCATCTCAGCGACTAGCTGGCGAAGCAACGGACTGCATGTACACCAACAACTGGTTTGCCATTTCCCTCAATAAGCTCCCGGTGCCTAGTTACGAATTTCCGCAAGGCTGGGATCTATCACGCATCAAACGACTGCAGGTGGAACTGCAGTTGAAGGATGCTATACGAATGAACCGATACGTCGACTGGGCTTCTTTCCTCTCTGCGTTCCCGTCACTACAGTTTCTGCGTATTGTTCCTACGCTTCATCCAAGATACTATGAATGGTCGCATCCGGAGTTCTATGAATGGTCTAGCACGCCTTTTGTCCACAAAGCCTTCTTCAGAGAGCTACTGACGGCACTACCGGGCTATGTAGATCTGAGGATTGGGCTACCAGTGGATGGTGCGGCGGATGACGTGCAGATGCAAGGCGAAGTTGCCGTGCATCGAAAGTATCTGTGCGACATGTATGCAGAACTCGGGAACAGGCTTGATGCCGCTGGGAGGCGGTTAGAAGTGGGAAGAATTGTATCATAGGTGCTTGACGCCGAGATGGGTTGATGAACGGACGCTGCATGTAGTCTAAGGGTTTTGCGCAGGCAGAACCATGTATATTATGTCTCTTATCTAATGTTATTCGGAAGCCTATGGCTTTGCTTTTTCTTTTCTCCTCAGCGCACATGCATTGAACCGGTATTGTGCTTTGTCATGGCAGGGGTTGTTGTTGCTGCCCAATATGCTTTTGGTGGTCAACAATGCACGAAGACATGTATCCCATGTCCGTAGTATTTGGCTGCGCCTCAACGATGCAAAATCCCTCTCACATGCTTGAGATCCGGTTCGTTTTGGAGACACAACTCTCAGCCATGTGTCCATCTCTCTGCTATTTTGGAGGAAAGGAGGACAACATAGTGAGAAGATGGATCCTAGAAGAGCGTGTGGCGAGGAATTTATAGATAAGTTGCCACCAGTCGGGCAGAACTCCGCTCCATGAGAAATATTTGCGTGTTTTTGAGGTCGTTCTGAGGAAACACCTCCCATTCCTCTTTCCATATAAATCGCCGAGCTGGTTTTGGATGTCGCTACATTCAGCGCCAAACATTGCCCACGTCGATTTTGCTGTAGAAACACGGAAGTTTTGAAGTGAACCATGGGACACACCCGTTACAACCTGAATCGCTGGGAGAGATTTCTCATAGCGTTCGAGCTCTAGATCTTCTCGAGGCCAGGAAAGCAGTCATGTTGCCAAACTAGGCGAATTTTGGTCAAAAAAATAAATAGAAGTGTGGTGGACTGAAGGAGAGTTCGTGTGCCGCAGGAGTAGGAATATTTATAGGCATCGCTTGACAGGGGCAACCTCCGTATAAAATGGCACAAAGGGCATTTCGAAATTATTGTCAAGTCTCTGGATTCACACTGCAGGACGTCCATAGCCATTTCATATCTTCTTTTATCTTCAGTCAAACTTGATATTTTCGAAGAGCGAGAAATTCTGCTCGGAACCACATGATATTCACTTGTCTGATTTTTGGAGGTCGGAGAACATCAGCATGATGTACACTTCACTCGTCTTCGGACAGACGAACCGACATTTGCTGATTCTCTGGTATTTTGAAAAATACGAGAAGTGTGTGATAAAGCAGGAGTATCGGCATAGGGAGAGTTGGAGACTTTATAGCTGGCTTGCCTACTGGCAGCTAGTCACTGTCGACAGTGTCTTTATCGAGATTATGGTAGATGTCGTGCATATATAGGTATTCGAATCATTTCTGACGATGAACTCCAGAGAGAAATCATGTCAATCTGAATTGACCATGTTGATCATTTTTTCTAGAGTGCGTGTATTTTGGGAAGAGATTGAAAGAGGGTTTGTGATGTTTTCCGCTGGCCGGAGTCTCCATGACTTGAATTGTCTCGTTTTTTGGAAAGCCGGACGCAATCATCCGTTGTCTTCCTGTACCTTTGGTAAGAGCGTGGAAGAAAGATGATTTTGTGAAGTAAGAAGTCGATGGCTGAGAGAGAAGTTTTTATACACTTTGCTCGTCATCCAGCACCCTTCACACATCAGTGATGCATCGGAGGTCCAAGGATGCCGAATAATTAATGAAGCAACCTGGTTTCTTCACATGGTCTTCATATTTGTAGTCATTCGTTCCCACGGCATCTCTTTCGACGGGTAGGAAATATTCTCGAACTGCATGGCGACTATCAAGCTTGCTTTCGAGATGCAACGAAGAGTGTTTGTTTTGGAAGACTGCTGAACATCTCCACATATGAAGCATAGCCTGGTAAACTGTTCGCAAATAAGCGAGCGTTGGGCACTCCAGATCTATTTCCAGAGGCCAGAAAGTCCCCACACATAATCAGATCAAATTTGTCTTTTGAATAGACTCCCATAACCAGCAGGGAGGATTATTCCGGAGAAAAAAGGGAGTATTCTTGTATAACGGGAAACAAAGAGAGAGAGAGAGGAGAAAGAAGTTGGTCTTTCTATATTGTGGATTCTCGGGGACTTATCAGTATGAAAATGTGAATGTGCTGCCGGATGTGTCCACACATCACAGTTTGCACGTGCCGTTGCGTACGCAGCCCACAATAAACATCTCGTTAAGTATTCTCAGGCGAATAGAGGCTCCACACACATCACACTTTCTCGTCATTGTTTCAGAAGCAGTCTCCCATGTCTGATTTTCCTTGCTGTTTTAGAGAAAAAGGTAATGTCTCGACATGGTAACAAGAGGAGAAGAGGAGAGGCAGCACAAGAATTTATACTTCAACCTCTTCCCAAGTTCTGGTATAAGACAACTAGGACTCGTTTTCGGACATGGTAGGTGTCAGGAAGCACTTTGGAGATGCACTCAGATATCTATCCCTATACTGAACACAGTATACTTTCAGAACGACCAAGTCTCTCCACATATTCATTTTGGAATGGTGTTTTGGAGAAGCAGACTTCCATGCCACCATAGATTGACACTTTAGAAGAAAATAGTAGAGTGGTGGTTTAGGAAGAAGAGAGAGAACAAGCAGAAAGGAGATTTATATCGCTGGCACATCGCACTACGCGCTAACAGCCGTCATTCATGATGGTCCTATGTGCAGTTTTCCAGCAACCTCGAACGATATGTGCTGCGATCCTGATTTGTCCTCTTTCTCATGAATAAGAAGAACTTATTCTGGAGGTGAGATACACACCCCATGCCTCGAAAACGCTTGGGTCTTGGGATCAGACTAAGTAATCCGGAATTGTTAAGTTTTCCGCTGTTCGTTCTCCCAAATTACTGCTGCCAATGTGATTTTCAATAAAGGCGAGGCCTTCTCACATTCTCACAGGGTTGGTGAAGCATATCTTGGAAACAACAGCAGCACACCCATACATTGCTTCTCCTGGTTTTCTGAGAACGAAGCAACTGTAATGACTGTGAGAAGAAAGCAGGAATTGCAGTGAGAAGTATGGGCTTTTTATATGCTGCGAGGGTCATATCGTAAACAACTCCGACTTTTGAGAGAAATTTAGAGCAAGTCAGCAACATAGCAAAGCGAATGCGGGCTTTGAGAGAATAGCAGAACGCGCGGCATGATATTCGCCACATTTGCTTTCTACGCCATGGCGGGACAGTGTAGAGTTTTTTGAACAGATACTCGGCCATCCCAAAGTTCTTTGTATTTTTTGAACATAACACAAGGAGTTGTAGAACAGAAGACGAAAAGTTCCACGACGAGAACAGCGAGCTTTATACGTCTCCGTATCCATGTGAGTTGTGGTCTACTGTTCAAGGAAAAGGCGAGAGCTCCAAACCATAACATGTGAAGTTTTTCTTTCTAGAAGGAGCATAACTGTTGTTTTGTTGGCTTTCTGACAAATATTTTTGAGATACCGGAGGATCTCATTGGAATTCAAACGTACGATTTCGTAGAGAGTAGCAAGGAATCCAGACACAAACATGAAATAGGTATCGCTGATCTTCGCCAGTCATTAAGCCTGGGTCGTTCTCTGGACAGCAAATCATAGACTATAGGTGTCGATGTTTTCGGAAAAAGTGCTGCCCCATCGAAGGGCTGTACAAGATTTTTGGAGAATGCAGTCGAAGTTGTAGAATGAAGAAGCAGAGTCTCCAGGCAAGAAGAGAAGACTTTATACATCTTGGAGATCATCGGGTCTTCATATCTGTGTGTGTGAGAAAAGCAGAGGAGCGCCGCAACACTAAAGTCTCCAGCCGACAGGCTGTTGTTTTGTTTTTATGTCGTAAAATAGATTCCCCAACTCCATGCACCCCTGGTTGATGGTTTTTGGATCTCGTGGTCTCCCCATGGTTCGCGAAGCCGTTTCTTTTGGTATGTGGGTGTATTCGCAAAGCGGATTTCGTCATAAGAGGAGATGACGGCTTTTTGGTTTTGGTTCTCCAAAGGTACATACAGTCTTTTCACTCGGTCCGGGGTGAAGTCTGTGGTGTTTGAACTGCCCAGCCGACTCCATGGCATTTTGTTGGCGGTTTTGTGTAGATGGCGTGGTCAAGTAGAAGTGGACGCATAACCCTATACTTCAAACGTTCGTTTGGAAGGGTAGTTGGTTTTGGAAGACGGACTCTCGCCCATAGGATAGGCTCGAGATATTTTGGGGGAAAGAACTTCTCCATCATACTATAAGCCCGTGATTTTGGAGAAAAGAGAAGAATTGTGTGATGGAGAAGAGAAGCATAGGAGCCAGAAGAGGTGTTTATATACCCTCAGAAACCCAGAAAAACATGTGCGCAACCCACCACACACTCACAAAACAGCAACTATCGCTGCCCATACCACGGCGAAAACAGCAAAGCCAGCACGAGATGAAATGTTAAAAGTATATTTTGATAAGTCTCCATCTCTAAGCCCACCTTATGAGCACATACACACCACTACACAATGAATATAGAAAAACGCCATAGTGAGCGTCATCAAGACACCTTCACTAATGCCATGCTAAATTTCCAGTCCAAATAAGAAAAAGACATTATACACATTTTTTGAAACCCCTTACACCCACATCCTTGGCCTTAGCGAGCATAATCATGTTGATCATGATGATATACCGTGCTTACAGGCCTTCTAGTTAAATTTCTACTCCCTCTTAAAAGACTGGAATCCCTGCTGCGGCGACCCCGGACTCCTATACGGGTTATTCGTATTCGATGGGGCCCTCGCCGGCGCATTAGCATTAGGTTGCCACTGCCTCTCGCCCTCATCCTCTTCCACCTGCGGAGCGCGCGGTCGGCTGCGTGAGCGAGGCGGAGGCACCATAGTCTGGTACGAGTACTCCTCTACCTGCCCCGTGGAGATGGAACTCGGCGACCCAGGAGCAGTGCTGCGAGGCGGTGGCGGCAAGTTGCCTGTTGGCGGCTGTGCGTACTGACTACCAGACGGTACTATGTTGAGTGGTAGAGGGGGTGGTGGGTTCTGACGCGGTGTATCGACGGAGACGCGGGAGCCGAATGGTGATAGCGTGGTGCCACCCTTCCTCTTTCCGGCTGAACTGGCTTTGCGGAGTAGACCGCGGACTTCATCGAGATCGGGCCTTTGGTCTGACATGCTAGGACGGCCAATGGTGCTGGAATCGTCTCGAGCTTCCCAGGTGTCGTCGCGGATAGTGTCTAGGCCTGGTCTCCTGTTGTTGAGCGAGGTGATTGCGTTGTCTTCGGTGCCCAGGTAGTCTGTGCCAGTAGACTTGCCGGTATCCTCTTGGACGGGGTTGAGTGGGTGCAGACGGCCGGCGTCGGCGTTGGCCTTGTACTTTTCGTATGCTGCGACAGCCTCCGCAGGTGGAACTGCAACAGACCATGTGGGCTTGTCTTGCGAGCCCAGAGCGGCATCTCCTCCACCTGGGCCGTTGATCGGAACCTTGCGCAGAGCAACGACAAGCGCGCACATGAACTTGGATCTTCGAGATGCGCGGAGTGACTCGTTGGACCAGTTGCTCTTGTGACGAATCTCGACACGAAGCTCTAGCTTGTTCATCTCGGCAATGCTAACAACCTCGATGTCGATATCAGGGTGGAACTCGCGGGCGTTAGCAGGGTCGCGAACGAAGCTCATCATCTCCAATTTAAGCAGATTGATGTCTTCGAACGATGTACCAAAGTCGCAGAAGACCGAGACTTGCTCTCGCATGGCCTTGCTTCGTGTGATGTTCTCTACCCATAGAGAGTTCAGAACGATGTTGGGAATCTGGACCGTCTTTCCATTTGTGACGCGCTTGAACACGGTGTAAAGCAGAGCAATATGTTCCACAGTAAGCTGCTCAGTGGTAATATCGACACGGTCACCGATATCGTAAGGGTGCTTGACGAAGAGAAAGATGCAAGAACCGAGAACTTCCTGGGCAGTCGTTGCGAACACGAAAGAGAGCGAAAGAAGAGCGGTCGCGGATGTGGCGAGTGTGGTACGGAAAGCGGGAGCAAGGAAAGCGACGAAGACGAAAATGCAGACGATAACAGCAATGGTCATGATCAGACCGTCGAGAGCGTTGATAGCTTGGTCAACATCGTGCATGCTCGAGTTGATCGACTTTCGCTGCCTGGCGTAATCAGTCACAGTCAAGATCATCTCTTCCAAACTGATGTCGCCGTTTCCGTCTCGGTCAATCGCAGCAAAGCATTCCTCGGCCTCCTCCTGGCGACCTGGACCCATGACTTCGACGAGATCTTCCAAGTAAAGCTCGTTCTTGCCTTCGACGACCATGGACATCCAGATACGCCTAGCCAGGGCTTCAGCACTCTTGTTCCTCTCCAAAGCGGTCAAGACGACGGAATGAGCCGAGTTGGGGTCAAACACTTTCTTGCCAGTGATCTCGGAAGCGATAGTACCGAAAACTGATGTGATCTTATCACCAATACGACCAGCGTCTCGACCAACTTCTTGGATAAGACGCATGGGCGTGCGGCTACCGGATCGGCCATGCTTGGTCGTTCCCTTCCTGCTACCGAAACCGAGATCAAGAATTGTGTCCTGGATGATGTAGTCTTCCTCAGCAAACTCATTGCAGTAGGCGGGGAATAGCGACCGCGAAGTGTCGTAGAGGATACCGAGGAGGTAGATGTTGCGCTTAGACTCCTTGATCTTGTCGTCAAACTGCTTGCGGTGGTAGCTGATACTGATGAGCTGGATCAAGACGCGCTCAGCGAGGATGATGATGGTGCAGACGAGGAGGGCAAGCAGGACCGATTGCATGGTGTCCATCCAGCCCAGTCTATCCTTGCCGGGGTTGACTCGGACAAGCTACACCATGTTAGCACACGTTCATCTGGGGGCTTCTCGCACAACTTACAGCAGGGAAAGTCGCCTGGTTGACAATCATCCAGAAGACGAAAGACAGAGGCTTCTCCACGGCTCTCAATAGCAGCGCATACTTCTTGACACCTGGGCTGACCACACCGATGAGGAACTCGAAAACGTTAGGGATAAAGTGTGCCACAATCTTCATGACCCAGAAACTGAGCCAGATGATCTCGATCCAGATCCAGAATTTCTTCTGGTTTGTGTTGCCAATGGAGCCGGTAATCGTGCCTGTCTGCGAAAGGATGATTGGAATGGCGAGTAGCAGCGCTACAGGAGCGACATAGATCATATAGCGGGTGACAATGCTGAAGTTTAGGATCTTGGTGTAGATCCTGCCCATGCGGTTGAGAGCCGTCTTCTCTTCACTTGCGCGAGGAGGCAGCGGTGCTCCAGTCCTGGAGTCGACCACTGCCAGCTTCCTGCGTCCCCGTGAAAAAGTATGCCCTTTCTCCGACTTTTCATTTCCGGATGTGGGCGAGGACTGCGAGGGGGTGTGACTGACGACAGTCTGGAGGGGTATGTCGGTGGTTCGGTTCTCCATGTTCTCGTTGGCTAGAGGCTGGAAGCCGTGATTTGAGAGTCTAAAGGACCTCTGAGAGGATCGTTTGCTTGTCATGTAAAGGAAATCTAGAGGTTGTTCGTAGGAGCCGTGTCGTTACTGCGAACGCGCAGGCGGGGTATTGTGGGTATTGTGAATGGGATGCAGATCCCAGAGGCTTTTGCGAAAAAGAGAAGCTGGCAGAGAGCGTGCGTCGAGCACTTCCTTTTCAGGAGCCGTTTGAACGAGTAGTACAATGGAGATGCATAAAACAACAGCGATTCAACGAAGGCCTGCCGTTGATTCTCGGGGTGACTTTAGGAAACAAGGAGATAGGGAAACGAGCGAAGAGGCTCTCGGGGACACAACAGCAGAGAAGTGAGGGTGGAAGAGCGAGTGAAGAAAAGTAGAGCAATGGCAAGGAGTTGCTTTGACGAACAACGCCGCGCGCCGGTCCCCAGACCATGGCTAGCGGTATGCAGGGAGGGGTTAGCGGGAAAGCCACATGCCACTGAAACCGCTAGCTCGTCGCCACAACGAATCACCGAAAGCAGATATCGTCACCGCTGGCTGCACATGTAACTGCCAGGCCGGCCGTCTAATTACCGTTATGAATGCAGATCGAAGACGTTGGACAGAGGCATGCTTTGTTCATCGTCGTTCGTCGTGGTGTCTGGCTACTTGGGTGTGGTTCTCTCGGCCTCACTCATTCACCCACATCAGGCATGATTCAACAGATCGGCCAACCCTGTCGTTGATCGGTTCTGGCCAAAATACCCGGTGCAGATGCAGGCACACGCGTATCGATACGCCTCGAGCTCAACAGAGCAAAATTGTCTTCAGCAGGGTAGCATCGCCATCGCGTCGCATAACCATGACCGGTTGAAAACTCGGGATACGAATATTACAACCGCGCCGACTGTCGAGCAGATTCAGCCGACGCAAAAGCAACTAATGCGCTTCCGTACAGGGCAGCCCTCAAACACGACGTCGAATGTCTGCCACTGGTCCACAGTCTCCTCGCCTATCCCCGAGGAATCCAAGTGGAGGTTCCCCAATTCGAGGATTTGTCCACGTAATCCCTTACCCCTGTCCAGGCTTGCATTGTGCCTGTTTCAGCCACAAGCAACCGACATGTAAGGTACATTCGGCCGTTGAATGGCTGCGAACCCTGTGGCGGTGAAATGAGCCCTTGGACGATTTAAAAATCTTTGGCCCTTGTGCTAAAGAGCAGACTTGACAGCTGTTCGTAGAGGGTGCCAAAAAGATGGGTCTATTCTTAGCCCTTGTAGATCCCGAGGTAAAGCTTCTTGCGATCAACCGCTAAATGTACCCACAACCAGGGTCCAAACAGAACCGTCGTCGCCCCAAAGCTGTTAGGGCTCCAGAGTCGATGTTCAAAACCACGATCGATACGACGAATGGGCACGTTGGCGATGACGTGACGTGGCTGCGAGCGGGAGTTGCACTGGGACTGGGACGGAATCAACCCCACGTAGGTGGAGTTTCAACCATCGATCAACACTGTCGATGACGTTTTTCTGGACTGCGGGCGGGAATAGCACTGAGCACAACATTGCACAAGTATTGTGGGACGCTTCCCGAGATCTTCGCATAAGGTGTAGATCAATCAACTTCTTGGGTAGATTCCAATAGTACGGTACCCGCCCTTGAGGGCCTACAGACCCTCATCTCTAGTGCTATCGTGAGAGCTGGAGTCAGGTAGAGGTGTTGTGCCCTGCATTACATCCTGCATCCGAGAAAGAGGAGAAATAAAATTTATGTAGCAAGTGAGATTACATATGACTCTCGAGACCTCATACTGTATACGTAGGCGTACTACGTCTACTTTTCGCAATGGGACTAGAGCTTGACGCTGGAGTTCGATAAGGACGCGCGGCTGAGGAGTTTTGAAGAAGATATTTCCTTGGATATATCCTTATCCATGAACAACAAACATAAATTCTAGCTGTTCCCACAAAGCGCAATACCGGCAACAACACACCACCCCCAATTCCACATCGTCGCACTAACCAAGTCATCCACATTTAGCACCCCAACACCAGCACCCATCAGCACCTTCCACGCCTCATCTCGCCTGCCAATCGGCCAACTCGGAGTGCCCCAATACCTACTCTTCAGGCCCTTTGCATCCGCTGCTTCGACTTGCTCTTTGACCCTCTCGATCTGTCCTGATGACATGGTCGCAAACCGTACCTTGCCCACTGCGCTGCTGAGGGCAGAAGATGCATAGTAAGAGTTTGTAGTATTGTAGTCATTTGAGATGGACAGGAGAGGTGCATCGAAGAAGATGTAGCGGTTCGTTGCGGCGTCTTGAATGAGGTTAAAGGGAGTATTTCCCGTGCCGACGATGGTGAGGGGTCCTTGATGAAGAGTCTCGCCGTCGTAATAGGTTAACCAGTTCTTCTCGCGGAGTGGAGCGAGTTGGGAGAGTAGAACTGGCCATGTTGCTGCGCCGTCGGATTTGAAGTCGATGAGTAGGACTGTCGTTGTGGTTGGGTCCATGTCGAAGATCCCCGTCTCCTTGTCTTGCGAGTCTGCTGTTGTTGCATTTCTTTGCTCGAGAATGTTTGCCAACGGGTCGAGGTATAGGCTCTTTATCGTCCGGTCCTTGGTTGTAGAATCCCAGGAGTGACTGACTAGTAGTTCGTCGTCCTCGGTCAGCCAGATATCTGCTTCGATGCTGGTACAACCTACTGCCAGCGCCGCATACAGAGGCACAGCGCGCCAGTAATCATTGTGGGAGTGGCAGTTTTTCGGTACGATATCGCGGCTGAAGTCATCCCTCCAGTCATATTGAAAAGCTACGCCTGCATTTGGTTCTTCCCAAGTGTCGACAATATGCTGGAGGCCGTTATGTCTAGGAGAAGGAGCGAGTCGCCGTAACAGTACGGACACAAAGGCTACGTAAACACTAGAGTATGTTAAAACAATCCGTTCCCATGTGTAGACGAAGTCTTCTTACCCTGCCGCGATAGTACCAAAGATTGTTAGAACAACAACACTGATACCACACCCGCGATACCATCGTATCCTCCGTGCCCTTCTCTTGGCATCTGTTTCTTCGCGTCTTCGTCCGCAACAACCGAACCTGCTCCACCAAGTTTGAGATGCGCGATCTCGATTTGACTGTCTTTGAACCTCCAGATCCTCAAGGTTTATTGTGCTCGACACCTGACTCCCAGTCTCATCTTCATCATCATGGAATCTCCGCATGATCTTCTCGTCGCAAGGCTTGTCGGTGTACCTCGGCAGTACTTCTACCAGGAGATCTGACTGCCTGAACTCAACTAGCTGCGCCATGGTTAGAATGACAAGGACGAGATCAAACGAAGCTTCAAAGACAAAGATTTGCAAGAATGCGGGGAAAGCTCGACATGAAGATATCGCTCCTATGAGTGATTTGTGGCTGCAGTCTGGACTTGTACCATGCATGAGGGCACTAGCCAGACCGGGCAGGACACGATAGGACCTCGGATTTTACCAGCCACACCTGGACACGCTATCTTGGGGCTGAAACTAACGGGAATAATGTGGCTGCCACGTACCTCTGGTGGTGATGATGATGTCGTTGATGTCGCAGCTTCACTCGAAACCGTTTGTTCTCTGTAATCGAATAGCCATCATCTTCACACGAAACATAGCATTCTCATATACAGTTCATTCTGTACGCAGCCCCAGAGCAGATACCCACTATCTGTCTGCCTCGCACTCGACCATCGACGTTGCGCCCGAAGCTTTTCGTAAGCTCTTCCATCTACTCTTGCACCGTGAGGCTTTACCCAGCAAATCTCGGCACTTCTTTTGCGGCTGCCTTGAACCACGATACCATTACACTTGAGACCCTTGCGTAAACATCTGCATATTACCACTCTCGCACTCGGCCATGCCAACTTCAAAGAGAAAGGCTCGGCATCTTTCTGGTACTATTTCTCGCTGCCTGTAAACTCGGGGTTCGTACGGTCGCATCTCCGGGGCGTTTCACGCGGGAACGGAGTGAAGGAGACTATATCAGCGATAGTTTGTTTAGGGGACGTAACGCGCGTCGCTGTGAAGCTGTGAGGTCAGAGCGTCTGTCCGAACTCGTACACAAACGTCGTTAAGTTTGGTTGACTATGCAAGCTTCGTGGGGGTCTGGGCGCGGCCCCGAGTTTGTCAGAAAAGCTTCGCAAGGTAGCTGCCGTCCAGCCGGGCGTTGACATCTGACAAGCGCTATCGCCATAAGAAAGCGCCCCGCGGTACCTCCGAAGTTCGCCAGCTGCTACAGTGTTTAAGGGTGGACCCATCTTCCTCCAGAAACCGAAAACGTACAAGAGCAGGAGGCCAGCGCCCAGGGAAATGCGCAATCCGGGATAAGATACTGCGCGCGCCTATACCAAGTCCAAAACCGACCAATTATTCCAGTGGGCTCCGAAGCGCAACCGGGCAACTACCCGCAGCCCGCGTACAGCCTCGCTGGCAGGTATAACCGTGGGGCTCAACCTCTGTCGCCCAGGGCTGCGGACGGCTCTGAGCCGCTCACATGTCCATGTCGAGTTGCGTCTAAACCCCTTACAGCCTAGTTTCTGTGGGTTATGCATGTTGACAGGAAGCTACGATACAGCCGAGCAGATCACATAACACGGACACACCGACATTCAAGCACGATTTTGACATTTTCGCTTGCGGGGGAATCACGAGAGCATCTTTCCAGCAGCTCCAGCAGAACAACGCCATGGTGTGGTGATTGTAACGGCGCGTGACCACAAAGAATGCGAGCAAAGGTGACACACAGGCCACTTTGTCCAGCTTCTTCCTCTTGTTATCCATATCGTAGCAAGACAATTGTTTTGTTCTAGACTAAGATTGGGAATCTAGTCGTATGCACGCTTCTGCCAACTCACCACACCGACTATTCCTTCACGCATACATATGGATCCTGGGGTCAACAAGATAATCATAATAATAACACAGACCCAGCCTCGTTTATTTTTCTCTGCTTATCCTCACATATAACCACACTGCTATCGCACCTTCACAAATCGGTATACTCGACGTCTTTTTCGCATTTCTCGTCCTTCTTTTGTTGGCGGGAAGAGATAGCTTTGGAGCTTCACGATAGCAGCAATCACGATACACGATACACGATACCACGCAACAAACATCACGGAACGTTCACCAACGGAACCCCGCACCCCACCCCCACTACTACTACAACAACAACCATCCACACCCCACTCCAACACACAAAGACCTCGACCATGGGAAAAGAGTCCTCCTTCCGTCTCTGCATAGCCTTCCTCCTCATCGTCCAAATCGGCTGCTGGGCCCTCACCCTCCTCGACCTTCTCCATCCGGGAAAGCCACACGCCATCATCCGCACAACCATGGATCTAGTCAGCATATACTTTTCCAGATGCTGCCAATCGAGCGCCGCACTGCAGCAGTTGGCGTATACGGATATCAGAGGACTGATGTACTAGGGCTGCACAGGTTGAACGAGTAAGAGGTGATGGGATGGAAATGGGGAGGAGAAAGAGGAAAGAGAGCACGCTGAGCTTTGGCTTGGCGGTATCGCTCAGGCATTGCGATCATGGTGTTTGGTTCCTGAACAGACGAGGAGGGAGCAACGATATAACGACTTTTACGAAGCGATGGCATGATACCACGGCGTTTTGGGACACGGAGTACAAGGGATATGAACATGGTCATTGCGATGGCGTACAGATACCTTAAGCAGGATAGCAGCATGCTACCTGAACCAAGCAGAGTGCATGTGATGAGGAGTACCAAAAAGCACACGCAGGTCGTTGCAGGAGGTCCTTGTTTTTTTTTCACCGTTGCTATGGAAAAAACCCATTTTGAACTATATATCCACAATAAATGCTTGATATATGATAAGTTGACTAGAGTCCAAACATTTCTCTTACTCTCACACATGCTTACTGCACTCAAAGTGGTCCGTCTTTGTAGGAAGATGACATTCATTCTCTTTCTGTGATTCTAGCGGTGAGACCTCAGCACACCACACCAATAGCAATTTCATCCCCCCACCCACCCACCCACAAAACACCTCACGCCTAAGCCCATGGAACCCGAGATAAGAGATATGAACAAGTGTAGCGATTGTCTGTCAAATAAGAGATGTGTCTCGCCTACGAGATGCATGCATCCATAGCTGCTCCCCTGCGCCATTGTTTAACACCGATCAGAATGCATAAAGTGTAGAAGGGAGAAAAGAAGAAATAGGGTTGTTGCTGTTATATACGAGGAATCAAAGAGTCTACTGCGTAGCCTGGTGATTCAACTCATGCATCATGCTTACTTCGCCAAGGTGCTTCTGGTCAAAGTTTGACGTGTGATTCTGGGAGGCGTCCGACACAAGTTGAACAGGCGGCGCTGGACTGATCTCGTCGTCGTTCCCCGCTTTCGATGTCTCCTCATTTGGCTTGAGTGTCATTGTACTCTCAGTCAGTGGGTCGGAGCTCTGATTCTCTGCAGAGCCTAGAGTCTGACTCTGGCCCTCTACACCATTTGACTCTTCAGCGGCTTTGCCGTTCACAGCAGATTTCTCTTCTGTTTTCGTCGTCTCCGCAACATCCTCAATGAACTGCGCCCTACCACTCTTGTCCTCATCCTCATGCGTAATCGCCTTTGTCAGAGTTTGGAAGTTGAACATGGGCTCCATGTTTGTCGAATCCTGCGGTGGGGTGTCAGTCTCGCCTTGACCCAAACTAACCCCCGACGCATTCGAGCTGTGTCCATAATTTGATCCAGGTGCAAGGTTACTCTGGTGTTCTTGGTGTTGTAATGAGTTTTGGTAGGACTCTGCGAACGACGACGAGGATGATGACGCATTGGAGATATTGCGGAGGACGGAGCGGTGCTGTGACTGCTCGCTACTATTCTCAGGATTGAAGGGACCAGTAGTGTTGCCAGAATCGGACGTCTCTCGCTGAATCTGCGCGCGGCTGGCTTCGAGATGCTTTTGCGGGTCGTCCTTGGTAGAAGGGGTGTTGAGAGTCGATGTCGGTTCTGACATGGGATTGAAACCTCCGGCGCCACCAGACCGATCGACTCCTTTACCTTTACCGGCTGCTGAAGAGCTACTCGCTTCTGTTTCGTCAAGGCCGTCAATCTCTATTGGGTGAAAGCCACTGCCAATGTTGCGTTGGGCCTTGGCAACTTTCTTGATTTCCTTCGCCTTCTTCTTGCCCTCCTTCTTGGCTTCTTTAGCAGCGTCCTTTTCGTCTCTCTTCTTACGATCTTCTTCGGCTGCCAAACTAAGACGTATAGCTTCCATCATCATGAGCTCCTCAAGATCATCAATCCTGTTGCCTCTCCTCGAGCTAATGCGGTTGGGGAACAGGTCACTTGAACCTCCTGGCTGAGTCGATGAGCTTTCGCCTTCGCGCCGAGGCGTTCCATGTCCACTGCTACCGGCACTATCGCTAGTGAATATCCTTCTTCGTCTTCCCAGGCCGAAGCGACTCTCTCCTTGCGGGAGGTTTCCCATCATGTACGCTGCGTTATGTAGAGCTGTGGCAGCGGCAGCCCTTCGCAAAGCATGCGATTTTGCGTCAGCCAGCTTCTTTGCCCAGTCGGGCCGTACCATGTCGGTTGTGATGACAGTCTTGTCGGTGACTGCAAGCGACGTCGCTCTTCTTCGTCCAGGTCCGGCTGCAGTAGGCGAGTTCAAAGACGAAGTAGAAGACATTGCCGATGTCGCGCTACCCATACCATTATGACCCTGGCCATTGTAAACGAGTCCTCTCCTAAAAGGCGGTGGCTCGTAAGTTACTCCAAACTCGGTTTGTGTGCAATAGGGACAAGCAGCTGGCTCTGACACTAGCTGAACCTCTTCCTCTGGCTCGGCAGTTTGCGCGCCCTCAGCACCGGGTTCTCCATGATGCTCTGGGGGGTGCGGGTCAGGTCTCTTGATCTGGACAAAACATTCCGAGCAAATGGGCTGATCGCAGCACCGTGTCTTGTTCAGATGTGGTGGGTAGTACATGAAACAGATGGGACACTCGGAGGCGTTCTTGTACAGAAAAGCCTCGACCCGTTGGCCATTCACGTACGGGTCTTTGGGAAGGTGTAGTTCCTGTGGGGCCATGTCAGACTGCGAAGCGTTGCGGGAACCGGTCGCGAGGGAGGCAAGTGTCTTGGCGCGTCCACGGAAGAATGGCGAGGAAGAGGAGTGGTTTGCGATCGGAGACGCAGGCGAAGGGAGGGAGAAGGTAGGGTTCGAAGGGGAGAGGCCGCCTCCGCGCTCCGGTTCTTGGGACATGGATCGAGCACCCATGGGCACCGTAAGCTTGTTGAGACTGGGCTCTGAGCTGCGGGGGTTCCATGCTGTGCTGAGGTGGTTGTTCGTATTCGTTCGAGGCGGTTCTTCGGGAGGGATATCATCTGCGGCGGGCAGTGGGCGGCCGTTGACGACTTCGACGAGCTGATGCTCCGTCCAAGTATCTTCGTGGTCATCGAGACCTCTCCAAAAGGGAGCAAGTCGACGCTCGATCTGGTGTACATTAGTTGGTGTCGCTGTGGTGCAACTGAGCAGCATACCTGTAATTGCCGCACCATAGGCTTGCTGAAGTCTTCTGGTCCCGTATAGACACCGAGCGTGACCAAGTAGCCTCCGTCGACGCCTTCCTCTTTCAAACTCCGCTCACGTTCCTGTGCCCGGAGTATACGATCCTTCTCCAGCTTGCGGGCCTCACGCTCCGCCTTTGTTTCTCGCCGCGGTTCGAGGGCGGGGTCGCGTTCGGCATTATCTCCCGTGCGTATGCCGAGGAACGACAGATCTGGCCGGCTGCCTCTGTCCCTCCGCGAGTTGCCATAGGGACTGTTCCCCGGCCTGTCGTGTGTTGATGCAGCAGGACCGGCAGCCGACGGAGAGGTGGGCTGGTGTGCACTGGAGCGGCGGGCGTGGCCTCTCCGCTCCGGCTGCGACTCTTTGCCCTGCGAGTTGCCCATGGTGAGGGTGGTGGGATGGATGGAGGAATTAGGTTATGGATGTTTACGTCCAAGGCGGATCGTGGCGGGCTTGTAGCAAGGCGGCCCGTCGATGCCCAAGTGCAGTGACGATGTCTGTGCGGGCAGGGATCAGGTCGTTATCGCGACGATTAGCGACAGCGAGGTGGTGAGGGTGTCCGGTGGGAGATAGCACAGTGTCACAAGGACATGGATGCTGGGGAACCTGGCCGTGGGTGGCCCTTTCCTCGACGCGTCTCAAGAAGTGCGACCAGAAGGAGGCGGCAGTCGCGATCGACAAAAGGGGCGCATGGGCAGCGGAGCAGCGAGGTGCAAGCGGCGACGGAGCGACGTCGACAGGTGCTGGTGTTGAAGAGCGAATCCTGAATGATGTCGTTTCTTGGCAGCAAGCCAGGGCGTCGATCGCAAATGAATGTTGCGTACGAGGTAGGCGTAGGGCCGAATGGGCGGGGCGAGGCAATCAGGCTTCAAGATCAGTCTTGGGGCTTTGGGCACGTCGCTTCACCATGTATTCATTCACACAGCACTGCCAGCTGGGAGCTGTATAGGGAGGTAAGACGGCAAACAGGCTGGCGACATCTGGGCCTATATGCAGCCATGCCATGCAGCTAGGTACTGGAGCTTGTGCCGCTTAGCCCGCGCCGCCACGATACCAGTACCAGGAACCAGATCGCTATTCCCGCCCGCGCACTCCAGCCCGACAACATTGTCGCTTCACTCTTGCACCAGTTCGCCCATACCGACCAATTTCTCTCCAGCTGACTGTGCTGTCAAGGTAGACATCTTCGCAGTAGTTGGGCGACACGCGAGCACCACCACCCCGCCCAAATGCGGGGCTCCAGGTATTGACAGTTGGCCGTGGGTCAACGGGTTGCATAACATTCTGCTTACTACCTCTGCTCCTACCCACCTAGCCCGCCCGTTCCTGCCCTCTCAAACTCAACTCCCATCTCATGTCAGATTGTTCCAAACTCCCACGACGACTCCCAGTGGTACTTGTCTCCAGGGCCGGATATCTGCTTGTCGAGGCGACCCCACTCCGGACTGTTCAACAATATTAGCTTGCGGCCTTGCACGACGTCATCATGTACTCACTGGTTGATGCCATCAACGTAGTCTTGGGCTTCAATAGCAATGCAGCCATCGCGCGGGATGAACTTGTCTTGGCCTGCGACGCCCTGAGTGTTCTTGAATTCGCTCTTGCCATCGTTCCAATTGCACGTGTACAGCACTACAGCATCTTGGTTGGTCGTCAACTTAGCCTCGATGCCGCTGTATGCGCTCGATAGTGTGAGTACAGCCGCGCTCTTGTTCCTGCTCTCGTTGAACGCCCAAGCGCCGTTGTAGCCGTGGCATCCGTTGCCGCAGTGGTTCTCAAACTCGGCATTCCCTGATGCAAACCCAAGCTCATGCGGCGCCGACCAGACTAGACACAAATCAGTACCTATTTCACGTGCGGTTTGTGGGAGGAAAACACCTACAATCGTCAATGGCTCCTGCAGGGATCTGCGCAATCTCGCCGGTAGGGAGGGCGTTCGCATCGGCGACAAGGGCTCGCTTAGCCTCTGGCATATACACAGTATGGTTCCAGACCGTGCGGTTGTCAGGTCGTTTGAAAGCATCAAGCTGGAAGTAAGTGTGCTGCGTCAGCATAAGAGGCGTTCTTGCTTCTGGAGATGTGGCATCCATGGAGATGTGCCACTTGTTCTTCGAGACCGAGTATGTGACGCTCGCGTCGACGCGGCCGATCATACCAAGAGAAGAGTTCGATGCGTCGCTAATTGAGAAGGTGATTGACGAGTTAGTTACGGCGCTAACATTCCACACTCTGAAGGACCAGTTGTTTGTGCCGCTGTGGAGGGTGTTTGGACCATCATTCTTTTCAGTGTGGTAGGTAACGTTGTCGAGGGTATATTCACCATTGCCAATGCGATTGACGTAGCGTCCAGGAATCGCATTGTAGACGGGATGTCCAGGGTCGACGGCTGCAACATGTTAAGCGGTGCTAGGTCAAGCGTGCAACGGCAGGCTTACGATAGTAAGAGGTATTATCGTAGCCTAGGACTATATCTAGCTCTTGACCCGTTGGATCTGTAATTGTTTCAGTAGAGGCTATCTTGTACTTCGACTGCAATTTACCTTTGACAAAGAGGTTTGTGAGGGTAGCAGCGTACGGAATGAACTGCGCTCTAATCCCTTCTGCCTCAATCGTGTACCTTCCTTGTGCATCTGGATGTGGAGACCCTGGGTGTGCAAGCGCACCTCGCGCTGCTGAAATTGCAAGAAGAGCAGGAAGATACCTCATCGTGGAATAGGCTGTCGACAAGTGCTAGAGTAGGAAAGGACGACCGCGCCAGTAGACACGGTACCTACGGAAATCACATCTTTATACATTACAACTCACTGCCGACCCTCTCAAATTGCATACTACTTCATTTCTAGAAGTTCACCTTCATATAAAACCTCACGGGGCGTCAAGGGTGTATCCGGGGTTAAACGGGGGCTTGGCTATATAAAGCAATCTGTCTGAAATAGTACCCCAGAACTCCTGCAGGTACTAAATGGCTTAGCCGGGCGTCTCTAGGCTCCAAGTAGGTCTTAGAGTGCATTTAGTCCTCTTAAACTAGTTCGGATCTGTATTTACTGTTAAATAGAGTGTGCAGAGCTATAGACATGGAGGCGGTCCTGCGGAACGTTACTTGCCATGTGGGGCGACGAGCCGGGTGTTGTTTCCGTGGGGTTTCTTTGACCATGCCGGCTTTCTTCCACCTGCGTCAGCGACCCTCGGGTATTCCACAGAAGCTTTGTTACCGCCCTGTTGTGAAGCATGTGTCTATATTTCGTGGGTTTGTCTGATCGTGCCATTCGCAGCCACTACAACATACTTGGTGCCATCAAGAAGAACGCGTGCAGCCTTAGTCACGGACTTTGAGCCTAAGGAGTCTGAATTTCGCGTCTACTCTGGGCAAAATCGAGAGGACTACAGCTTACTTCTCACTGCGTTGCGCAGCAGTATAGCCCAGTCGATGACTACGGCGTTGAGAACATTTATTGAAGTAGAACACAGACAACGATGTTCATTGGTACCTGCAGCATCCTGCCGCGTGTCGGGCGGCCTAACATACCTGCTAATGTACTTCCGGTGCTGTGAAAATCGATCTCACGTTTGCACATCACAGCTATCCCTACCATCAAAACTTTCTGATTACATCAACATGGGAGCACTCGAGTTCATCTGCGATCGAAGGTTTCACCGCAGTTTCGTGGTTCCCGCGAACCCCGAGTCCAACACATCCAAACCCTACCATGTGTCTTACTCCGACTTTGGCGACGCCGACAGCAAGGCAATCGTCTTGTTCTGTGGAGCCCTCTTCGGTCAGCGCTTATGCTACGCACCCTTGGACCAATTAGCAAAGGCCCACCATGTCAGAATCATCCATCCGGATCGACCTGGCGTTGGTGGTAGTGAAGCTGTGGAGCCTGAGAAGCGTGTACAGACCTGGCTGGGTAAGATTAACAATGCCCTTCTACAAAGATAGTTGATTCACTGTTACAGAAATGACCCCCAAGCTTCTGGCACATTTGAACATCTCGCATGTTTCGATTGCTAGCCACAGTGGAGGCGACATCTACCTCATGAACTTTATTCTCGCCTACCCACATCTGTTGAATCCCAATCATCCATATGTCGCTTTCTTTGCTCCATGGGTCCATTACTCGCATTCGAAGATGACGCATCTACAGGCTACTGAGCTTCTCCCTGCTTCGTGGATAGGAAAGTTTGGCTCAATCGGTAGATTCGTCAACCACAATATTATTCCAGTGGTCGGCTTGAGTGGCGCATTTGTGAAAGGGATTTCCGCGCCACTTTCGCGTTCAGATCCCACAACAGCTCCCGTTGCACTCACAGTGTCTGGGGCTGTCGACTCTGAAAGGCCAGAGGATGGTCCTCACGACGTTTTCCAGGATATCGCACTCGACGATCCAAAGGCTGTGGATGACTTGCGAGAACACATCACCAAGTTCGTCTTCGCCGAAAATGTGGAAGGTGTCTCGGCAGACACCCAATTGCTCCTAAAGCGCTCTGTTCCATGGAGTACACCCGTTGTCGAGTGGGAAGATCTCGATGATGCTGTGCAGCTTCTTTCGAAGACAATTGCTGAAGATGATCGGCTGACGGGCAGTAACAGGGTCTGGTCTATCGACTGCTTTCATGGTGAGCACGACCAGTTGGTTGGTGACAAAGGGAGGGATTGGTTCAATGCCATCTGGACGCCGAGCCATAGCTATCAGTATCGGTCCTTAGTCATTAAAGGCACTGAGCATGATTTCTTAATGGATCCAACTTTCGGAGCGAGCGAACAATGGCTGCAGCGGGTCAGCGAGTCCTGGCAAACCTCGCAGCCCGACGCAGCGGCTCCTTAGTACTCACTCGATACCCCTACCTTGCGGTGTTCTTTGTAGTACGTTATCTAGCGATTCATACGTCGTCAGTCGTCAGTCGTCAGTCTTCAAACTCTGCAATTTGAAAGCCACGTAAGTACCTCTAGGGTAGTGATCAAGATACAGCTTAAACAGATTGAACTTCTTCGTACTGCCTACAGTGACTCGTGCATCCCCCGGAGATAACGCCCAAACGCCGATCTGACGTCTTCACCGAAGCGAGCCGCAGGGCTGAACACGCGAACACCATCATAGCCCCGTTCCAACCATGGCCGAAGACATGCAGATAAATCCCCAACGCGCGAAGCAACTCGCCGAAAACATCGCCAGCATAACCTCGCGCATCAACGCCGTGAGCAAAGGCGGGAAACAGGTACGTCCTCCCCAAATCTTTCAATCCTGCCAAAAACCCCCAGCCAACATCTCTGACGCGCCCCAGGTCCGCCTCATAGCCGTATCTAAACTCAAACCCGCAAACGACATCCTCGCCCTCCACCAACCCTCCAATCCCACCCAAACCCATTTCGGCGAAAACTACGTCCAAGAGCTCCTCGAGAAGAGCAAGATCCTCCCCCGCTCCATACAATGGCACATGATTGGCGGTCTGCAGTCGAACAAGTGCAAGCAGCTGGCTGAGCAGATACCAAATCTGTGGTGCGTGTCCAGCGTAGACAGCGAGAAGAAGGCGAATGAACTGGAGAAGGGAAGGAAAGCTTTGGTCGAAAAGGATGGGGACAAGGTAGAGGGGAAGTTGCGCGTCAAGGTGCAAGTCAATACCTCAGGTGAAGAAGCGAAATCTGGCGTCGAGCCCTCGGATACACTGTCTCTCTGCCGGCACATCATAGACAAGTGTCCGCATCTCCAGCTCTCTGGTCTAATGACCATTGGTGCGATTGCGAGGAGTAAGGAGACGACTGCGGAAAACGAGAATGAGGATTTCGTCGCGTTGAAGGAGACGAGGGATCAGGTTATCAAGGAGCTGGGTCGGGGAGAGGAGCAATTGGAGTTGAGTATGGGCATGAGTGCAGATTTTGAGGGTGCGGTTAAGATGGGGAGTGATGAGGTCAGGGTGGGAAGTCAGATTTTTGGAGAGAGGCCGCAGAAGAAGGATGCTGTCATCAAGGAGAAGGAGGCACAGGAAAAGAGCTAGATGATTGAGTGCAGAGGTGTGTTGGGTAGATACCCGAACGTCTTCTTCGCGTGTATTGAAGTAGGCAGTCGATCTCTCGTATCCATAACATGTGAGTGTAGCTTTCGAGTGCTTGTTTGTGTTATCAGACAATCTTGAAATCCATCTCGACTGACTCTTCTTCATACAAAGCATTGAGATCTCTGAGCCTTGTACCTATATTCTCAGAGCCTGACTCGTCCATTATACCGATACGCATATATTTCCCTTGTACTCCTTTTATGGCTCTCAGAATCAACCAATACTGTTCTACGCTAGTTTTCCTTCCACAGGAACTCATACTAGCAGTCTCGAGAATTTTTAGAGCAACGATCTGCGCTCCTTCCTCGTGATGGGCGGAATCCCAAATAGGGTAGCATGTGAACGACTTCGGTGATATGCAAGGTCGTGATCCTTTCAACGTAAGGCTACTAGGAAGGTGGTCATCAGACGTTCGGGCGTCTTGTATCTGACCGACCAAATACCTTCCTTTCAGATAAATAACTCCATAAGATATCTCGCCCATTGGATCGTCTCCTTTGGGTCTTGTCATGGCGCCGAGGATGTTAGCGCACGTCTGAGTCTTACGACCACGCTCATAAAGTGGCCATATCACTTCCCCTTGAGCTGCAGCCCACGACCAGGACGGGGCACGCCATTCCCGTAGCTTTCTCTGCGCTGTCTTCATAGCGTGCCAGCAGAGACTCTGAGTCAAGGTACTTTCCCAGTGTCCGGCAAGGTACCTACCCATACTTGGTGATACCAGCTTCGCTATTCCTTGTAAAGCCGGGAAGATATCGCTGGGATATGTGAGTGACTTCTTCGTATATATCCGTACCAAGTGTTCCCAATTTCCTTCGATCTCATCGAACGAGCTGAACTCATTCATCCTTGCTATCTGGCCCATATCGAATATGTGCTTAGTCGCGGTGTGATTCTCAAGGCGACACTCGCAGGTAAGAGACTCCCGACATTCCCACCAGAGCTCCTGTCTCATGAAGTGAACGATCCTATTAGACAGCATCCGCTCCTGAAAGACCCAGCCTCTATCAAGTAGTGGTGTTTCATCTGTTGTTTTATTGCCCACGTATACTGTAGGAAGCTGTTCATGGCAATGAAGCTTGTATGTCTCATCATCGGCATTTGTAAAGGTTCTTGTACGCGATACGTATTGCTTGTCAGATGTCGTGAAACAGCCTTGAGAAGGATTCGTTGCCCAAGTAGATGACAAGGTCACGGATGCATTTGCATAGATTTGCGACATCCGGCTTCCTTCGTGGCGCCAATCATCGATCGAGTCCTGAATGATACCTAGTCGCAGTCATTGAGTCAGACGAATGACTTCAGCTCGGATTGCCATGAAATACTAACAGAGAGAGTCAATCCAAAGGTACTTGAAGCCAAGACCATGCGCAAATTGAATAGCATCTTGAAATGTTTGGGGCAACTCCTCCCAGGGAAGGTTAGTGGTGAATTGCTTTAACGTTCTGGTGGTAGTCCGAATAACAGATTGCCCACCCCAGCAATGGCTCAGGCAGGCATACGGAGCAGTTTCAGTATCCGACGTATGTAATCTGGCCTTAGCAATCCCTTCGATAAGGATGATTCTGGTTGGCAGTGACGAGCCTGAATTCTGGAGACAGCGTTTGTGATCTGTGAGGCATTCAGAATACCAAGTCCGCGCCTTCTCAATAGCAGCCGAGGAACCCGTATAACCGGAAATTTCAGGACCAATACGCGGGAAATTCCATGGACATGGAGAGCCTGTCACCATCAGTAAAATTTGCAAGATTGGCGTCATACCACTGGTCTTTGACTCACTTATCAATTCAGGGGAGACACCTTCCGTAGGCTCATGTGGTTCACTCCGGATTAAAATATTTACACGATCCCAAAGATAAGCGCCATGGTGACTCTGGAGGTAATCACTTCCATTTACCATGATTCTTTTTCTTTTGCCTGACTCTTTAAGCTCTTTGAGCCAAGCCTTGTAGGGTTCCAGAGCCCAAACAACGATCTCACAACCCAAACAGTATGGCTGAGAACTACAAGTAGCCCTTCCTTTAGATATGCAATCTTTCTCGTTGTTTTGAGGATTGCCGCACTCTATACAAATCTGCGGTTGAGCTTCCGAGCCTCCGATTGACACATGATGCGAAGATTGACCTGTCTCGCCGGTAAGCTCTGTATGTACAGGTAGCTCCAGCGTTGTCATTGGTAACTTCTCTTTAGTCGTGAGTAGCTTTGATGAGCTAGTCGAGCGTTTTTGTCTTTTCCTAGTTCTTGATCATCCGGCAAGAGTCCTAGGGTCGTATCTTTTCGCGCGCGCTTTGACCATCTTCACCAATGTACAGGTGGAGCTTCTCAATGCCGCAAACGGAGATGAAGAAGAATATAGATAGTAATAGCAAAGCATAGAATGAACACGACAACAGAAGAAGAAGGAAGATCAGGATTCTGGTGCCTAAACATTGGAGTGCGGCTGAGGAAGACACCACTCAGCCTGATCACGTGTATGCGGGGTGCAGGTGCACTCAATCTAAGCCACCAGTCTCCAATCGTACATTTCATCATTATAGAACTATGGAAGACTCTAATTACCCCTATATAATACATGCATCTAAGCAGCAGGATCTAGGAATCCCTCCAACGTCTCATAATTCAACGGCCTAAACAGCTCATTACTCAAATCCGCTCCGCTACTTCCCAACAAACCCTCAAAGTTCTCAAACGCCGCGTCGAAGTTAAGCCAGTCTGGTGATTGTTCTGCAAAACCAAAGCCGGCAGGCGGACCCGCCATAGGCGCACGATCTGCACGCTCGCTACTTGTCGGGTGTTGACCGGGCGTAGGGGCAGGTATTGGGTTGAGAAGACTAGTCATGGGCGAGTTGGCATGAGGGTGATTCTGTTGTTGCTGGAGTCGAGGATCAATAGGTGTATCACCCATATTCTGTGACCATGGTTGCGACTGATTTTGTGGTGGCAGTTGGCTATGTGTAGCTTGCGGCGTTGGCGGCTCGGTCTTTGGCTCAGTTTGACGGGGTTCTACTGGGGCAGGTACAGGCGTATTGACAGCATTGGTGTTGCGTCCTGCAGCGTTGCTGAGCACGGCTCGTCCTAGGTCCGCCGTCGTGCCTGCAGACCACCATGCGTTTCGTAAGCGATCGAGGAGGCGGACACACTGCTTGAGTTCTTCAGTGGCGCGGTTGACATGGACCTTTAAGCGGCGAGACCGGAAGTGACGATATACTACACTGAGAGCTACGCCTAGCGCGTAGGGTACGATGGGGAGGGGTGGCAGTAGCTCAGGAGATTCAGCGTTGAGAAGGTGAATTACTCGCGTTGCTGAAAGACTTTGTCGGACGTAAGACGGTGTCGATTTGACAGGCGCGTTGATAGAGAGGGACTTGTGCGAGGCCATGCACATGGTGTGGTGGAAAAGTGATAAGAGGCCTGCAAAAGTTAGCAAATATCGCGAATTACAAGATAGTATGTCTTACTCATGATAGGACCATCAAGCTTATCTTCGCCGTCTCCCACCATCTCCTCAAAGCCTAAGAAGTCGTCGCCCTCCCATCCTGTCTCCTCGGCAGCTCTACCAGGCCTGTAGTAGTCGATGACCTTATCCAGCATCTCGGAAATCTGTAGCCATATACCAAACGGACTGGATCGCTTCTCGGGGTCTGAGGGTAGCTGTCTCAAGCTGTTGTCGCGATCATGCATTAGCAATGGCCTCCCGTTCATACATGCATTGATCTTGTCCAGACTCCACAAACACCAGAAGACGTCTTCCAGATTTCCTTGGGATTCTGAGCTTTGATTCTTCCATTGGTGTCCAAACTGGAGGCCAAACGTATGCGCATGGTGTATTGCTTGTGCCAGATGCATTGAAGATTGCTCAGCGCCTTCTGGACCTTCGCAATGGAGTGATATCAGAGCAAGTACTTGGATGAGCACGACGCGATTCTTCTCCAGCTTTGCTTCGATACCAACAATGACCGCATTGTAGAGCCTTTGAGAGAACTCGCGTGGATTGAGCGGTTGGGTGTCATTCCCTAGACACAGATGTTTGGCAGCTGTTGCATGTTTTGATGCCACGATACAGATCGCTTGCATCAGGATCCGCGGTTCTCGGCCATAGTTATATTGCTCGTAGAATAGTTCCTTGTCAACAAGTGGAAGTAGTGGGTGTACGTAGCTAAAGTATATTTCGAGAAGAGCCGTTTGATTTATGCGAGAAGGTAAGATGTCAACACCAACAGCGTCTAGGTAAGTCAGAAGAGCCCTAGATATTTGATCCCCTTGGTTGGAATGTGGACCTGTTTCTACAATCCGTGAAGAGCTTGATCCCGCTTGAGTCGACGCTGGTCTTTGGTCTCGTTCTTCGATCCATTGTCCTATTGGAGGGTGGTTGGGTGACTGAGCAGTTTTTCCGCGTTCAGAGTGAACTTGCTCTCGCAAGACAGCTTCGGGATTGAGGTAGCCTAGAAAGTTGGGTGGTGTTGGGGCGGTATGATCCGAGGCCGGGCTTTGCGGCGGCGGCATTGTGGATTGAGCATGGCCGTAATCTCCACGGGCACCCCTGGGATCATGAGGATGGTAGTGTCCATTTGTTGTAGGGCTTTCTGTTGATGTCGGATTGCTTCCGCCACCACTTTGGGTATTGCTTCCGGGTTCGGCCTCGTCATCGAACGTATGTGAGCAACGCTTCTAGTATAGAATTAGACGACAGCCACAGGCTTGCTGCATCCTTGGAACTTACTCTCCGCTTCTTGCATGATTCGCACGCGCGGTGGACTCCTGCGACGCTGTTAGCTGCGCGTTGCGACGTGCGCACGGTCTATGCGTACTTTTGCGCTTCCGGAAAAACTCGTTATTCGCAGCGAACGTAATCATTGTAGACATCTCAGAGAGATAGCGGCATGCGCGCTTTGTCCTGACAGCGTAAAAATGCGTGTACAGTTGGTAGTCTAAGGGGCGTTTGTTGTCCTCATGACACAAGGTCGCCCGGAGCTCGAGCTGGTGTTTCCTACACGTGATGATCCGGTCGTGCCTGCCGCCTCCGCCTTTGGTGGCGCGCGTGGAGCCGAGGCGATTGGCTAGCAGAGCGGAACACGACCTGCTCCCAGCTCCGGTTACTATACATGCAGCCGGAGGCTTCATCAACCTTGCTTTTGACCGTTTACATAGTGCGGAGAAGCTATCGCTAAACTACATACTGCAGGTGTTCGTTACCTCTATCACGCGGGCTGGCATGGCAAAATACAATGTATACCTTCAAGGTGTGCTTTCGCCATCTATGGTACAACACAGGGGACCGCGCTTCTCCGTCGCTCACGCCAATAAGGTTCCCATCTCACATCACCTTGTACTCCGTCTGTCCGTCACGTTCCATTCCTGATGCGGTTGCGCTTCCTGCCGCCGATAGTGTCGCTGCTTTCGACTCGCCCCGGTCGACTGTACTCGACTTCGCGCGCCTCTCCACCTGGCTACGTATGTACCACGGATATTACCTCGAGTATGTTGTTTTTTTGATAGCTTTCGCTCGCGCAAAGTCCCAGGTCATAGCGCGAGAGAAGGCGCCCGAGGACTCTTAGCAGACTAAACGATGATTCGTACTGTATGGTATCAATCGTGTGCGCCAATAAGCCGACCCGAAGATGAGGCACCCCCGAGGAACTTGCAGTCGTCTCGTCACCCTTTGGATCCAGCAAAATAGGGTCCGAGTACCTTCGCTATATGGAGATCCATGTGGTCTCGCAAGAACGCGATGATACGTCTGTCCAAAGATGCTTCATCGCGTAAGGCCAGCCGGATGCTGGTACTGTAAATGTCAAGCTGTTTTTCACCTGCCAGGTTTGCTCTATCATCCAGTCTGATGATGTCAACCACAAACAATTCGAAACCTCCTGTATAAATCAATGGGCACAGAGGCTGCTATTCCACCCAACGCATATGCAGCATGGTCGAGCCAGAAGCCGGTATCTTACGCCTTCCAATTGAGTTACGTCAGATGATTTACGACTACATTATCAGCGCCAAACTAAACCGAACCATCAAGGTGACATTGGATAGAGACGGCAAGATTCGTTTCGAGAACTGCAAATTCATTCTGAATCTTGTCTGCACTGACACCGTCTTTACACAAGAAGTGCCCTCCTACTTGTTTGAGCATTTCACCTTTATATTGACAGACAGCAGTCGTTCCTGCTACCTTATTGTCAACGCTTTTTTCTATGCCCTTTCGCCGAAGAATCGCGTCTGTGTACGAAAAATTGGCATACCGTTCTTCACTAACCGAGACCATTTCGGTCCCCCACGCCCTAGCCTTCAGAGAGATGACCTCTTTAGTTCAGGCGTTTGGGACTCACCAGAGATTGCAAACTTAAAGTGGAGACAGAAGAAGAACACACACGAGGGGTTGATCCAGAAGGATTTGACACAGGAGAAGTTGTTGCGTAAGGCCCCTTCCTCCGCTCTCTTACTACTAAACTCGATGCCGGCTTTGGAAAATCTCGAACTGGGTGTTGACGTCACCGAAGTCATTGGGTATATCGACAGTGAGACTTTCATCTTGCCTAGCAGTAGTGAGTTCCTCATATGGCTGGCTACAATTCGGTCGTCTGGAACATTCGCTCTTAATCACCCTTTGTCTATAGCGCTGCATTCGATCAAAGGTATGGGGAAGCTTCGACAAGTAGAATTGAAGCTGAAGTGGAGCAACTTTATCTTCGATTCATACAACAGGGCTGGCTGTAGATTTCCGCAGGAATGGACGCAGATTGTTAAAGAAGAATTGGAAGGGTTGTTCGAAGACTTCTTGCGGCGCGAACCCTGGCCTGGGTGGCCTAGTCGTAGCGGAGATAAGCAGAGCCTAATTCCTACTTAGATGGCATATGACTTAATTTCATCTCAGCTTACGTCGACAAGAATTCATTCACTGATGATACACATTCTCAAAGAAACGTTCATCAACCTTGCTTCTTCCCCTCCTCTCTCAACCGCGTTCTAACATCCATCAATGCCCTTCCCAGCAGATTCTGTCCCCATCTCTCCCGATTCCTCGGTGCGTTTCTCTCCGCAAACCCCACGCCCCAAATGCGATCGGAAGGGCTAGCCTCAACCAACTCACGCTCACCAGTAGCTAGCAGCATGCGCCTCAGATTTTCTGCATCATCACTGATGGTGAACTTGTGATATGTACCCTGTGTCACAATCTCCAGTTTACCTAGTTCTTATTCAGCAATTGCTTCCTTCCTTCATTCCAGCGGGTGAAAAGAAGCCCTTACGTTCATCCCAAACCTTTGCATCAAACCCCCTAACCTGTCGTCCCAAGTCTTTGTGTTCCTTCGGATTCGTAGTCTCTAGCATCTGTTTTGCAATCTTTTCGTCGCCGAAGCAACGCGCTTTTTGTACCATCATCCACATTTCTGCTTGTGCGTAGGTTTCGTTGTCGACGGTGAACTTGGACCAGTACCATTGGGAGAGGTAGCCGTGGCCATCGTTTGGTTTCCAGAAGAAGACAGGTTTTGTCGAGGGTGTGGCGGACGTAGCAGAAGAGGCCGAAGAGGAGGAGCTAGGGTGGGGGATTGTTGTTACCGGCATGTTCGAGGAGTGTGGTATCGGAATTCGGTTGGTGTGCGATATTGTACGAGTTATTGTAATTGTGTTGTAATATCCTATCTGTGGGTGATTGCAACAGTAAGAGGCTCATACAAGACTCGGTGTATCATCAATATGATAAGTGCTTGGTGATATGACTCAACCATGTTCATGCTTTCCTAGGCAACATTGATACCTCAGGCACTAGCCGTGGTTTGAAGGCACTTGCGCCCTTACGCCCTTCTTGAGCGGTGCCACCCAAGATACCGAAGGTGATTCGTTTCACGCTCAGATCACACATACAGAGGACTGTCGTAAACACCTCACTATCATAGAAGAAACCGTCTACCACAAAAAACAACGCTCCAATGTATATGATCATGCTACATAAACCAATTCAGGAAAAAAGGGTATGCGCCATATCTTAATGTTTTCCCTCAAAACAAGCGCTACCACACATGCAGCCAGCCTAATCATCAAACAAACTCTTCCTCCCTCTCTCTTTCTCTTCCAACTTGCCCAGACCCAGACAAAAACATTAGTTTATGAAGAAGAAAAATCGCGATCTCGAGGAAATGTAGAAATAATCATGTTTTTGGAGGAGGTGGTGGTGGTAGGAAGTGAAGTAGAGAGAGAGGTGGTGGTGGCATGAACGAGAAAAAAGATTTACCCATTCTAAGCCATTCCCTCAATACCCTGCGAAAGTCGATCCTGCATAGCCTTGACCAGCACCGGCGGGACTGACTCATCAGTCGCCCTTATCGTAATGCGGTACATCTGTTCTCATGGTTAGCTCATGCGCCCTTGCTCAAGTACCCAATAACATCAGCATCGTCATCATCATCACGTACCTGCGTCTCGAAATTCGGTTCCAACCTCAACAAACACCCAAACTTGCCCTCACTGCTATGCAGCACCGTGGCACCCACAATATTCTTAACATTAGGATCCACACCCGTAACAATCCCCCACTTGAACCCCTTGACCACCTTCTGCACAAAGTCGCTATCCATGGTCCTATTCTTGTTTACCAGACCAAAGATACTCTGGTGTTCACGCGGTGCGCCGCCGATTTGCTTCCACCGCTTGAAGAAGTCTTCGGCAGAGAGTTCGGCGCCTTCCATGTACTTGTGCAGAAGGACGGGAAGTTGTAAAGTGAGACCCTGGAGGGCGCCTGCGAGGTACGAGATGCGGATCGTAGGTGGATCGATGAAGACGTTTTTGCATTCGAACATGATTGTTTGTTGGGTCTGGCCTTCGGGGGCGATGGTGGTATCCGGGAGGCCCTTGATATCTGTTTTCAAGGTTTCTGCTGACCGGTTATCGAGTGTGGTTGTGAAGGAGCCCATGGAGAACTGTGACTTGTTCGTAAAGTAGAAAATAAGAGCGCCCAATTGTCCTCGGTACTCAGTTCGAAGGCCGACTTGTATCTGCTGGTCTTCGTAGAGTACGCCCTCTGGCCGCAGGAGCAGACGCGTGTATCCGACCTCCCAGTCGGGACTCAGATGAGCAGCGCTGGCAAGGTTCGGTGCTTTAGAAGCCTTGTTCATGTCGATGTTAAGATCCAGACCTTCCAAATCGCTTGATATTGTGGTAACACCGTTGGCGCCATTTGTCGCGCCAGTTTTGGCATCTTTTGGTACAGGCTCTGTGAAGCTTCTCTTGACGCCAGCGGACGTGTTCTGCCTTGCAAGACCAAATTCCTTGAGGTCCGCATTCGCGTCCTTGCCGCCAACCACCCACGTTCGCTTGTCGCTAGTAGTGGCGTGCTTCTGATGTAACCGTGAGAGCAGTGCTGACGTTCGTTCTGGGTAGGGAGGCATCTCGTCGCACACGGTGCGTAGTAGGTCGTCCGTTGGCATGGTGGCTAGGGTGAGATATTCGCATGCTCTTTGTTGAAGTTCGGAATCGAGCGAGTGGCTGTAGGCGCGGAAAGCCTGAAGAAGCTGAGGCTTGATTTCGGGGAACAAGTTCACGTACTTGACGTAGCACGATAGGAGTATCGCCCGTGTAGTTGACGAGCAGCCTCGCATCTTCGCGCTCAACGCCATAAACTGCTCGATTGGGCTACATCCTTTGCTATCCGCGATCAAGTGGCCAAACTCTCCGAGCAGGTATCCGCCAATCTTCACAAGCGTTTCGTGGCAGTCCGACTTGATGTACTGTAGGATAGTTTGCGCAGCGTAAACTTGTAGTTCCTCGTTGTTCGTCGTAATCTGGATGACTCGCTGCCAGACTTCGTCGCTGACGTGGTCTCCAGCCATCGCAATCAGTCGCAGCGAAATATCCACATACCACTGAACGTCCGTGGCGTACTTCTCTGTCAGAATGGCAATCTTCAGCACCATCTCTTCTCTTATCGCGTAGTCGGCGGACTGTAGATATCGCAGGAGTTCGTTCACGATCGCTTGCGCATTCGTCGGATCGCACATGCTGTATAGCAGGTCCAGACCCTGTCTTCGCACACTGATATCCCTATCTCTTAACGACCCGATAATAATTGCCTGGTGCTTCTTAATAGGATCGAGGTTCTCAGTACGAGCAGCCAGATGCGTCATAGCCTCCAATCCTAGATATCGCACGTTGGTTTCCCGGGATGCGATGAATTTGCCCAGCCGTTGCGATATCTGAACCATCAGGTCTTGCTCTGTGTCGAGGTGTATTACGAGGTTGATCGCTTCGAAGAGGACGGCGTTCTGTGCGTTGTTCTGCTGTACGTTCTTTGGCATTTCCAGGGCGGAGTCCATAATCTTTTGGAGCGCTTCGCGAATCAGTTTTCGAATATGGGAGTCCTCTGTTTCTGTCAGCGCACGTCTTTAGCAGCGGGAAGCGACACAAACCAGGTGGTGGGTAATACTGCAGCAGCTTGAGCAGCTTGACCAGTATCCACGGACATGGCACCTTGTAGTAGAAGTAGCCTTCAGCACACTCATTGTCCACGACGATCCGCTTCAGCCTATTTGCAGCTTTGATGTAGCTTCCCTTGTACTGCTCGGTGTTGTCTTGGACGAGTGCGGTGACCAACGAAGTGACCGAAAGCGCAACGCCCATGTCGGGGTCGTCCATGAGCGATATTATTCGTTCCGCCCATTCGTGTTGTACGATGGCAGGGTGTTTTCGGTATAGCCGTAGGAGTGTGAGAGCCGCCTTCTTCTTCACGAATGCCTTGGAGGCCCTGTTCAACGTCAGCTCGGCCATTGGAAGCGTTCTGTGCCACTCACGGTGATATGAGGAGCCTGTGGACTTCGGAGCTCAGTGCTTCTCCCAGTTCCTTTCCACCCACGTTGGCAATCGCATGCAGCGCCAAGCAGTTGTTGAGCTCATTGTGGTCCAGCAAGTCCTTCCTGATGCTGTTAACGACCAGGTGCAGCAGTTCGTGCTCCTCGTGTAGGAATAGGGTAACGGCGAGATATCCGATCTGCTTTTCCGAGTACTTGGTCGCCGAGATGAGGTTCACCGCTTCGAGATGTCCAAAATCGACGTTCCAACCGAGTATGTATATGTATAGGAGCTGCGAGGGTCAGCAACGGGGTAGGGAGAGCGGTGAGTGGCGTGTATACCTTGCAGACGTATTTCTTCTTCTGATAGCCATTCAGGCCGGCATCTGGGAGGATTTCTGTTAGACCAAATCATGGGGGAAGCGTGTCCGAGAAGTACCTCTGAACTTTTGCCTGCAGCGCTGTTAGCCTTGGGGGACTTTGTGGAACGAGTTGGAGTACCCACCGTATGTTGGCCAATTCCTTGTTGATGCGCTTCTCCTCCAGTTCTCTTGCGCGAGCATTTCTCAGATCAGCGATGAATGAGACCAGTCCTGTCCAGATTTGTAAGCTTCCGTCCCTGGCATCTCGTGGGCATGCCGTCATGTACCTCGCATCGTGGGCACGTTGCCCGACTGCTCCCGGCTGAAGAGGCCTCCACCAGCCCTCGCTGCCATCTTGGACGTGACCGAGGCCGCCATGCTGGTGGTAGTGGTTGTGGTGGGTGGGCGGTTCCCACCTGGTAGATAGCCCGACAATGCGGCGGCGGTAGTGGTGCGCTATGAGGGAATGGCGCGGTACGGGCCTCGAGGCAGGGTTTATGCTGGCGTGCGCGCTGCGGAGCGGAGGTGGATAGTTCGCGAAAGGGGCGCCCGTCAGCGGATTCTAGAGGCTGGCTGCAGGCTTAGGGCGCATAAAAGGGCAGGACATGGAATTGGAACGGGCAAGAAAGGCTCGTAACACGACTAGAAGCTATTCAGCTGGTTCCCTGAATGCACAGGTGAAGGTAGGCATAAGTGGATGTTCTACACATGGATGCCAAGCAAACAGGGTCTAGCGTGGGTAGCTGCTGCACCGTGCAAAGACAGCATCCATCCCATCTATCCTGCGCATAGCATACAGCGGCCTATGCGTCCAGTCCAAGGTAAGACCAGATGGAACATCTCGAGGCATTGCCACCAAAACCTACACATGCGTATATCCGATCGACCGTACCGCTGCGCTTCCCCGAGCTTGACCGCAAGCCATCGACCGATGGAATGCCCTGCACATGGAGGTTGAGATCAGCCCACCACAGACGCGTCTCGACTTGGTTTGCAAACGCGTCCAAGCACTTCTCACATGGCGCCCAAGACATCATGGCACAATTCTGAACTTGAAGATTGTCATTTATTGGTATCAGGTATATCCACTCAGGCCAATATCAAACGCCAAAAACACCCTCCCATGTCACTTCGGTATCCCCGCGCTTCAAATGCATCATCATCATCATCGTACCCCGTCACACATCCACCACGGTCCCAGCCATTTACTTCTGGGTAGTGAAGTCGGTCTCGAGGTTGGAAGTACCGTTGTTGTCGGCGCGACCGCAGTTGCACGCATCTTCAGTTCGCTTTCCGCAGGCGCATGCTGACGAGTCGGAGGGAAGCTTGTTCTCAGTAGCAGCCTTCTCGCAAGCTGGAAATTGTCAGTACATGTTTAACAACTGGTAGGGGGTAGGTGAAAGACAGTGTTGTGGTAGAGCTGGAAGAAGGCACATAAAGGGAGGCATACTGCATTGAAGAGCGGGCTGCTTTCCACAGGAGCACTTTGCCTCTTGAGCGCACACGCAGGTGCCGTTGTTACGTCCGCAGCAGACCATTTTGATGTTGTAGTGTTGGTGAGTTGGGTTGGTGGTTGGCAAAGGTAAGACGATTTGTTGATTTCGTAAGATTGCTTGTAGAGTGATTGAATCGTAGAGTTGAACTGGTAGCTGAATAACAATACATCGACCAGACAGCCCTTCTTTATACCCGTCACTCACTTCTACGACCTATGTCATGGACCCTGGATCCTAGCGGGAGAATCGCGTGAGTGGCTCATCTGGCCAATCAGAGGCCTCTTGATTACGCTGCAGTTACACGGTGAGGCTGGAACGCCACTGCCGCTTATTCACTACCTTTTGCGTGTCCATTATTTGTTGGAGATCGTTTGCAGGTTATCTGATTGATATGGTTTTGTTGGAAAGTGGTGTGATGGAGTGTTCTAGAGATTCCAGCCAAGATACATTCTTGGCACCATTACAGTTACAATACCACCAACACATTTCACGCTTGGAGTGCTATCTTGACCAGACGTCATCGTCAACAAGTGGAGAGTGATTTATTAAGAATATGTAGATACAAAACATGACCATGTCGTAGAAATCATTGCGGTGCCGTATTCGTCCGTTTCATTCCCTTGCCCTTTAACCTTTCCCTCGCCGGCGATTCTTTAACCACCGTACGAGGAGATACCTCTTCAAACTCCTTGACAATCTCTCTCGCCAAGGGGGTTCGTGGGCGCTCATCAGTACCATCCCCAACATACGTAGAACCCCTGGCCCTACCTGGAAACGTTCCAGGCGAATCTGTAGCTCTACGTGCCAGCTCCCTGACCCTTCCTGGCGATGCTCCACCGGGACTACCTAGTGTGCTCACATCACCCGAAGATCGACGCCCTTGATGCTTAGACAGCGATTGCCTAATGCGAGAGTATTGCGTCCATTTGGTCAGCCTGGAAGTCCTTAGTACTTCCCCGACGGCTTCTTGGAGTTCTCTTACCGCATTGTTCTGCAGCGCCTGAAGCAGCACAATCGCGTTCTGGTGGTCTCTGCTAGCCGTTGATGGAGCTTGCTGTGCGAGACCTGCTTCTGTTGCGTTGGCGTGCTCTTTGATCGTCTCAAGTAAGCCACTATCCTCCTTGATCTCTTCAGCGATAGCTGCGGCGCCCTCCAGTGTCTGTGCTAACAAGCCTAGGCCGAGCAGTCCTTCAGATCGCGCTTCGGGGTAGAAGCGCTGTCGGACCAGCTGGGCGATGGGTCGAGCAATCTGGGGTACTTGTAAGATCTGTATTTGTACTGCTTCAACGTCTTTTTCTGCGTTTGGTCGTCCAAGATACCGCAGCATGGCAACGATGGTACGGCCAAGCTCGATCATTGGGTTCTTCATTGTAGTGCTTGGTAAGGGTTTGGCTGGAGCGAGGGCTTGCTCGACGATGTGTGAAAAGATTACAGTGTCGGCTGAGACGTCCGGGTCAATTGCTTCTGTGTCAGGGCCGACGGTCTCGTACATGACTTTCTCGATGTTGTAGAAGTTGCCCGTGACAAGCTTGCATAGCATGGCCGCTGCCTCGCCACGGACCGACGGATCGTCCAGTACGAGCATGCGACAGCATGCTTCCATGAGTCCGGCATCTGCAAGCAAAGCCCTGTTAGCCTCTGGAAACGTAAGATGCCGCATGAAACCTGCTGCGGCATATAGAAGAGCAGGCTTATGGCTCTTTTTAAGAATCAAAATCAGTCGAATGTGTAGCTCCATGATCTTGACCATGTCAATGCAAACCTCATCAGACATGGCCAAATTTCCCACCATGACACAAGCGCATATTGTCGATGGGTGTGCGCTGTCCCATGGTGCCCGTAGCTTTGCCTCTAGTCTCTCAATGACAGGACTTCTGACATTGAAATTCTGAGCAAAGACATCTGTGGCCGAGGCAGCAGATAGCAGCCCTATCAGTTGTGCCAGTAGGAGGACCTGGGCTTCATCTGACGTGACGGTATCGGCGTTCTTGCTGGTTGCGAGTTCCTCGAAAACAGCATCGATGTCTTCTGGCTTGAGTCGCGCCTCAAACTCCAGCATAAGGGTGACGAGGTCGTCGAGCAGTTTCGGTGTTGCTATTCTTTGCTGGAATTCCGGATCTTGGAGGTAATGTACCAGGATAGCCACATATTCCAGATGGTGGTCTTCATCGTACTGGAGAGCGACGTTCAGCAAGCTCTTGAATGTCTCGAGTGAAACTTCGTCTTTGAACTGATCATCTGTCAAGTTGCTCGTGGTCCAGTTGAGCAGGTCCGTGGCATAGTCAAGCGCGGCCTCTGGTATTCTGTCAAGTACTAGGAAGGTGCATATTGTGGCGTCCAGTCTGATGGTGGCCGCCGCAGCTTTGGCGGGTTCTATTCGCATGAGCTGCATGTCTGGAGGATCCCGTGGCATTGCTCACCAAAGTCATTGCAAAGATTGAAAAGTACGGCCAATGTGGTCAGGCGTAGCTCTGGCGATGGAAGGCAGCCAGCGATGGCTTGGAGCTCTCTTACCGCGAGCTCCCTGTTGGTATCTTGACTCCAGTCAGACTGTTTGCGTCGTACAAGGGTCTTTCCTAGGATACAGTACCATTATCAGCAACCGAGTTGCCGATGACTCTTAGGTATTGCTTCGCTATGGGATCTTCATGGCGCACGGTGGACAAGCCGCGAAGAGCGTAAGCAAGGATTCCGCTGTCTCTGAAGGGCGCCTGCCATCTTTCTATACACTGTCAGCATGGTAGGCGTTGCACAGAGGCATTACATACTACGACCGCCAACAGCCGTCCCGAACAGCTGCAAGGTCTTCTCTATCGCTTCGTTGTCCCCACTTGATGCAAACGCATCGAGCTTATGCACGTAACCTGTGAGGGCAGCGGTCTGACCTGCAGGGTTCCCTTGGAGTAGGCGCTCCAAAGACGCTATATAGTCGCCAAGCTCCTCATTGGTTAAGGGCATATCGCAAAAGTGTGAAGATGAAGAAAGGCAGTCGCCGCAAAGTTGTGGCAAGGCTCAAGTCTGCATAGTGGCGGGCGAGATCGGGAGGAGGTAAACAGGCTACTCTCAGTCCGGAAGCAGGGCTTCAAACAATAGCTACTGGCAGGATCGTGTTTGATTAACTCGATAAAAACTGCAATGGTTCAGCCACTTGTTTTTCTCAAACGCGGAAAGACGCGGTGACCTCCTCGGTCCTGCAGCAGCGTCGACCCACCCGCCGCGGTTGGCGTTGCCTTTGTCCGATTGCGTTCTGGACCCCTGGAAACAGATCCCTTGGCAACATTTGAGCCATCTGGCACCCAACACTCAACACCGCACGACGTCAAGCATCACGCCCGAACACCTGCTCCGACCACCGACCCTCGTTTGACCCAGCGACAGCAACCAATTCGCCATCATGACGCGCGCTACCCAGACCATCAGCATTGGCATGCTCCTGACCTCCGTACAGCAGCCCCTTAGCTCTTGACATGGCAAGACGTGTATGCTAACATGTGAAAGATCTACCTTTCCCTCTTCCTCCAAGTCGTCCCTCTGCCTCAGAAGATCCAAGAGGAGATTGTTCCTTTCGTAAGTCGCAGCTCTGCGTGAACGTCTCGGACCCACTACCTTGACCACTTACATCACCACCACCATCGTTCCCGGACTCTCGCTAACCAGACGGCAGCTTCCCTTCTGGGCTCTCATCTCCTTCGGCGCATACCTCCTCTTCAAGCTCGGCTGGGGAGTCTTCACCTTTAACGACGTACCCCAAGCGCACGCGGAGCTCATGCAGCAAATAGCAGAGGCGCGGAAAGACCTCAAGGCAAAGGGCGTAGATGTTGGTGAAGACTAGACAGAATAGAGTCCCAGGGAGCAACATAATTAGTCTTCGTTTGGAACACAAGGTGGGAATATCACAGGATCTGTAATGGATGGGTATTTGAACATTCTACAAATGCTACGCCAGGACAACTTCTAGTCTGGCCAAGTTCGAAGCTCATGCTGCCGCAGCGGCTTCCGCCTTCTTTTGTGCCTGCTTCAACTTCTTCTCCGTCCTCATGAACTCTCGAATGCCCACGGGTATGTCGTCGAACAGCTTATCTTTATCCGCATCATCGAACCCAGTGTCCCAATTCGTTTCACTGCCACCACCATCGTCATCCATACTCGTAGCAACGTGACTCGGCGACGTGTCTCCCGCCACCATACTCCCTGTCCCTTTTCCTTCCTGCCTTTGGGCCTGCATCGCCGCTCTTGCTTGGGCGCTCTTCTCTGCCCATTCTTCCATCTCGTCCCGGTACATGTCCCACACACAATTCACGCATCCGGACATGCAGCAGTTATCCGGTTCTTCGGGCCGTGGGGGGACTAATACACCAGCAATATTTTGAGACGAGTTCACAATCTCCTGTTTACGTTCCTCCAATGCAGTTGTGGAGCCGAAGATTATACGGGCTTTGGCAAACGTTTCCTCTTTCTGCGTTTTTGGCGGCTCTTTGGGTGGCTGGGGCGTCGTGTGAGATAGTGACTGTACTTCAGACAGTGGTTTCTTTAGCATGTCTAGATATTGTTAGTTTTGGCCTCGCGAACAATGTGGATGAGAGTCCAACCTGCATAAAAGCCAGTGATAGGCCTGGCTTGTTCGCCTTCCGGTGCGATGTACCCTTTGAAGCGACGCTGTATCCGATCACTATTCTGGAGTCCAATCCTTCCTGCCTCTATCGAAGCACGCGGCCTGCGCCATGCTCTCGTGCATGAAGCGCAGAGTCTCTGGCGCAATGCCAGTGGACCTGAGTATGCGATGTGTTCCATTATCCCAAAGGAATGAGAGAAAGACGAAGCAGTCACAAATACTCCAGTGTGTCCCGTTATGACATGTCGATGTTGGCCACTTTGGTCGAATGCCAATTCGCAAGCTGATTGAAAGTACCGATTGACGGTTCGACGTCATTTTGCGCCGCCGTTCCGAATGTCGGCCAAAGCTGCAGCGAACGCCGACAGGGTAACAACACGCGACGCGTCGCATTCACTGTTATCGTCGCATACCCCACCAGCACATACACCAATCTATTCCTACCACGAGCATCCACAGATATCGCGCCGATACTACGACTGCAACCGATCCGCCATATGCGAGCACGATGAACGAGCCACCGGCGAAGCGGAGGAGGACCATTTCGCCTGACGAACAAACATCAAGCCCTCTGAGGAAGCCTCCTCGACGACCGTCTTTCGCATCGCCTACAAAAGCCAGCCTTGCGCGCAATTACCCGAATCTCCTATCTTCGTCACCTCTCAAAGCATCTCCAAGACGCAACAGGCAAGCGGGGTTGTCAGCCAGACGTGGTCCTCGAGCAAGGGAAGAGAGCGATTCGGGACGACCGGGTGATGAAAATGAGCCAGAACTCCCGGGAACCCCGACTCAGAACGACCGCGAGAATCCGAAGCAGCCGCGCCGAGGTATCCTCTTCTCCTCACCAAGCAAGCGACCTTCGCGTGTCAGAGATCCTGTAAAACAGCCTCCACCAACTTCGAGAGCGCCAGCAGTACAGCCCGATGATATCACAGGGCCTATAGAGGATGGTCCTGTCGAAGACGTCACCCAGGAAGCGGTACGAGAGAGACAACCTCCAGATCCAGAGATCGAGACAAGGAAACAAGAGAAGGCACGTCTGCAGCGCGAGGTAGAAGAGTTGGAGGCTCAAGTATCAAGATGTATTGACGAGGTGGTCAAAGAGCAGCGTCGTGGTCCAGAAGATTCTTTACGGCCTCCAGAGCGCGACAGTTTGAAGTGAGTTCAATGAGACCCTATGGTAGCGAAGCGATGACTGACGCAATACTAGGAAGTTCATATCCGAGATCAGCGGTACTGATACAGAGCCGGAGAAGTCAGCACCAGTATCAAGTCTGCTTTCTTCGTTCTTACCATTCGCCGCCCTTTCCGTTCCTTCACCACGCCCGAAACAAGCAGAGAAGCCAGTTCCATCTCATCGGCCAGTGGAACTAGCGGATCCCTTGCTTTACCTGGAGATGTTTACATCGCTCAACTTCTCCACACAACTTAGCCTGCCTCGTAGTAAGATATCTCCGGCGTCACAGCGCGTTCATCAGAAACATACCATCGATATTGCGGGCCCACAGAAGCTGTTGACGGCCCAGGTTTCGATTACAATCGACGCGTTGGCGCACGAGATTATCGACATGCAGCTGCTTCGGATCTCACCATGGGCCGAGCGTGAACTAGGCACCTACATCCGCGCAAGAGCGCTAGAAAGAGATCTCGGTAATGCCTCCTGGGCCATGGACTCGTACTGGCAAATCGCGAGGAAACGCGCGCAACACTGGCACAAGTGCGAAACCAACTTTGCGCATCTACTCGTGGGTCGCACCGCAGAAGATACTGAGAACACTCAGCCAGTAAAATCCATCACGCGCAAAGACCTAAGCAGGAACTTGGGTCGTGATACCTTGATTCTACAGGACAAACACGTCTTACTGAAGCTCAATTGGCGGATCGGCTTCGATTGGACGGGCGAGGCCGAGTCGGATGTCAGTGTAGAAGCCGCGTTTCCCCAGGTGTGGTCGGAAATGGGTGATGGTGCTGCTGCTTTTAAGAAGATACCCCAAACTTTTGCTTCTCTTGTTCGCACAAAGGGTGCTTTTCAAGCTACTAGTGTTATGGTAGCTTTGCTCTTTTCTCAGTAGATGGGATATTGATGACGCATCCTGAAGATATATGGCTTATTCTTGAGAGGGCATATCATCGAATTCCATATCATTGGCGAGTTCTTCATATTTGCCATACAGCTCATTTGAGAGCATCTTTGCGTACGCGTAGGTATGCATTGCGGAATTTATAAGTGGCTCGTGGTCGGTTCTGCGTCATCGCAGTACCATAGGATAAAGTGGATGGCAACCACAATATGCGCGTACGCAGCGATTGTGAGTGAAAGCTATAAGTGGTGAGGAATTCGTTGCTCATCCATGGTACAGTTGGAGAAGGAGGAGCCATCTCATGTTGTTATTGGTACCTTCCATAGCTTCAAGCGTACTGCCTATATAGCCAAGTCCTCTGTAGCATTCATTTCATCGCTCTTATCCTCCAACAACAGTTTGGGATACTGTTCTCGCTTTCGTGTCTTCCAGCCTTCCATCTTTCCTTGACCTCCGCAACTAATAAACTTTACGAATACCTCCCCGGTCTATCTTCATCGCAACTTTTGTTATCACAATCACCCACATATTCTCCAAATCATCTTCCCAACTCTCCGTATCACCACCATGGCTGAACATAAGACCATCCAGAAGCACTTCCTCGCGGCCTTCCGCAGCATGCGCTGCCTCTCCTGTGGCCACTACGCTACCAAAGGCAAGATCTTCCGCAGAATTATCAAAACCATCTCCTCCGAGGCATATCTTGGTGTAAAGACAATTACACTACACTGCAAGTGTCCCGGCTGCACCACCGCGATCATCATCGAAACCGATCTCAAGAACGGGGACTACCGTATCGTGAAGGAGGCGAGATCAGAGCAGCGAATGCAAAAAGAGAAAAAGTGAATGCGAAACATAGAATGGCCACTCGTGTACCATCAGGGGACGCTGAGAATGCAGAAGTTGCGCGGGCTGTGTTCAAGGGTGGAAAGAGGAGTTCATGGTTCGGAGCCACAAGAGGAATCGTTGGGCGTGGAGGTTTCGGCATCTAGGTCCGCGAAGAAGATTAAGAAGGATCTTGCAAAGGCGCTTGGCATTAAGAGAAAGAACAGTCTCTAGTAGCCAACTGATAGGCGCACATTTTGATACACAGAAGATCGATCAGAGAACTATTAAATAGAGACACATCAGTCCGTAATACTCGAAGAATCCACGTCCGATGCTGCAAACAAGCTGTTATTAGTACAGGATCCAGCCTGTTCGTCTCTTTATTTATTTGAAGCACATCCATCCAAGTCTGCGTAATCGCTGATGCTTCAACTTTAGATCGAATCCTCCTCCCATCGAGTACCACATACGATACTCGAGTAGGCAAACTTTTCCTACTCTGCAGCCAAATTTAGGTGGATCTTGGGATAGAAGGGCATTGAGCAGATGATGGCGAACTGCTTTTCGATTAATCTTGTCTGGGTCCTTTCCGAGTATATATTGCCAATACCGTGCCGCTTGCATGCATCTTACCTGATGCTGACGATCCAGACCCTTGGATCCAAGCGGATCGTACTGACAGAGTCCATTTGTAGCACATATGCTCTCGACTATCTTCGGAAGAAGCATGAGTAATACATCATGCGGTCGCATTGAATAATCAGGAAGTATTCGAAGTGACGGGTGAAGCATACCCATCGTTCCGAACACTTTATCCCGCAAATCTGAGCATTCTAACTTTTCAACTAGAGACCAGCTGTCCACCCAGTCTTCGCACCCGAACCTCCGACGATGGTAGATCCACAGTATTTGGGGTGCTGCGGAAGTATCAGCGAAGCAACTCTTCGGTATATAATCCAGACGTGAACACGCATCATCCACTCTAGAATAACCCGAGAAGAATGTGTTCCATGGTAAGGCCTTCGAGCCGACGCGTATATTGACAACCTTACCGAGTACGATCTCTTGAATAACCCACAGTCTTGACCAATATGGATTGCACAGAAGGCGACGTAAAGATGGTATATGTGTACTGAGCCCCTGCTTATCCACACTTAGCTGTGGGCAGGGTTCCTGAGTCAAGAGATGACTCTCGCGGACAAACAAATCTATAAGCTCATTGCTGCCTTCGAATTCCGAACCAAGCCAAACTTCGACAGCAGCTGCGCTATATATTTCTGCCATTTGGTTGACCTGGTGGGTCTTTTCATCGTCCTTTCCTTGATTGATGCAGATTTGATCAATCCAGAACCACGCCGGTTCACAGGCCCGTCTTGTCTTCAGAAAGTCGTATAGGTTTTGCCGAACTGAAAGCCAGCCTCGGCATTCGGGGCTTGTGACAAGTATGTCTTGCGCAGGAATTTCAGGGCCCCAAGTATACGATAATGCGATGAAACGCAACGTTTCTCTAAAGATCTCGTTGTAGAGAGCATCACTCCCCAAGTCGATATTCCAAAGATTTTGGGCTATAAGCCTAGCTTTCTCCTCTTGATAACGAGTAAGAGCGTGAATGTGATCACTGAAGTCGATGTGCTTTATGGTGATCTGAATTGGGCTCTCTGAGTCGGAACTCGGTTCGATTGTCAAAATGCGTATCTCTTTGTGCTTGAAGTTCAGGGGAGTGTGCGTGAATCGCACATGCTTAAGTGGCAGCTCCATCGTTACGACGATGAGGCTAGGTGTGGATGTTCGTCGAGTGAGCCGTCTACACGCGCAGCTATTTGGAGTGAACTCTGGACTTCAGAGTAGGTGTTGATGACTTGCTCTCTCGCTAGACTGATCGTATAGTGGGCAGAATCTGTGGTGCAAATGGATTTGCGATATCCGCATCGTGAAGGCCGTTGTCATGTATGATAGACCAAGGTAGCGGTGGGTTCGGGCAGCATCGAGGCGGAGTAAACTCATGAGGCTGAAGCCCACACGCGGCTGCCTTGGCCAGACCCTTGGCCCCACATTCCGTCTCTCAATATTAACTGGCTGCACGCCATCAGCAGCGCATGGAACATCAAAAGACGACCTAGAATTCAGGAAATCAGTGCTTTTACACTTAGTAGCCACGAATTGGGATGGAAAACAGCCTCTAATATTCTTTCGTCACACCAAGGACGTGGTTTCTTCAGACTCCCGAGGCCCCTTCCACCCATATGGACCCTGTGCAGCTGGCTAGCCCGTCGGGATGCCCGCGCTCTAACCAAATCAGACTGACGTCTGGAAAAGTGTGTACTTGACATCCTATTTAGGTCGACTTGACTACAAGCTAAAGCGAATATTGTCCCCTTAAGCAATACCGAAAGATGAATGCCGAAGTTTCAATTATGTGGCGTGCTGAAGAGCTCGCCTACCCTTCATCTGTCAGGGATAACAACGACTCGAGGACACAATCTCCCATATCTACCCAGTATTTTTTGCAAGCTCAACACGGCATGTCCGTGTGTGGACAAACTGCATCGCTCTATAAGTAAGCCAGTATGAGGACGCCCGCAAAGGCATCTTTCACTTTGTGTTTCCTTGACGACACCTCCTGTTCATCTTTAGAGTACCTCCCTCTTGTATCTAGTTTCTCGTCATGGGCTTTTGGAGCGGCATCGCAGATGCCTTCTCACGCGATGGAAGCGCAACACGCTTCTGTGAGAAATTGCCAGTCATTGGACATGTCACCGCAGGTGTTCAACTGTTAGCAGGTAATCCTGAGCATGCGAAACGCGCTGCTGCTACTGCTACAAACTCCACACTCACGACTGGAGGTGCTGTCCTTGGATTCATAGCTGCCGGACCTCCAGGTGCTGTGGCTGGTGCTATGCTGGGATCGACAGCTGGCATTGGGTGCGAGTACGGAATCAGCACTGCCATTAACGACGAGGGTGTGAAAGGAAATGTGGGTGAAGTGAGCATCAAGAGGATCGTTGTTGATGGCGTGCTGTCTGGAGGCTCCGCATTCATACCTGGAGGATCCGCAGCGATTGGCACCGCGGGAAAAGAAGCTGCGAAGCAAGTGGCTAGCTCGGCTTTCAAGACAGGTCTCGTCACAGGTGTTTTCACGTACGTCATCTCTCAAAGTGGTTTGATAATTTCCGCTAATCGAACTCAGTGGCATGCAGGGCATGTCCAAAGACCAACCCAGACCTACGACAGGTGATGACGAACCAGCAAACCCCGACGAGGAGGACCCAGTCCGTGTGATAACACTTGGTCAAGAAAAGGCTGCCAAAGAACTACTTAAGCTCGTGACTTACTTCAAGGACAAGCTCGCAATCGCACCTTTCAATAAATGGACTTATCTCATCGACAATGACACAAGAGATCTGAAGGGCATGTGCCAAAATCTTCAGGGGCCGTTGGCTTCTGTCAGAGTCAACTGCGAATGGGATATTGTAAACGGATTTTATGAGGGGGGAAAGAAAGTGTGGACAGATAACGAAAAATGTTTCGAACGTCTGGAGGAAAAGCTACTAGAAACGGTGGCTCAATATGGGGAGGAATATGAATTGTGCAGAGACGGACGGTTGGCTATCAGGAGCGCAATGGCAGAACTAGATCACTCAATGGCTACTCAGGACGTCAGGGTGCCACGCTCTATGGTGGTAGACTGGATGACATTTGCTAGCAAGGCCTAAGTCGTCACTCATACTCCATCAGTCAATAACTTTCGATACTTGTTGCAGCAACAGAATACGCATCCCGCCATCTTTTTTCGTATAATTGCATGAAGCTGCATTGCCATTATGTACAATAGTGCTCAACACTGGTGTGCCTGTAATTTATCACCAGCACGTTCATCATAGCGATCTTTAAATATCACCTCAAAGTATTTATCGTGACACTGCATAGCAGATATAATATACAGAAGATCTTACGCAATGTGCCAGCTAAGAATATCATCTATGCTTTATTACGATACTATAATAGAAAAGGAGACTCTAAAACTGGAGCACATATATCAGCAGTCTACGAATGTGCGGAGTCGACAGCACTTGCTCGAATGCTTGTGAAGTATGTCTCAAGATGCTAGGCTGTGGGCGGCGTACATCGGTGAATTTGCTGTATCTAGGAAGGAACGGTACGTGTTGCTCCTGTGCTACATTTCCGACATCTCACTCGCTCGCTCAGCTGAGTTGAGGAGGCATGACGAATTCCAGATGATGGACTTTCAGTGCATGCGAGGCTGCCACCGTGGACAAGGTATCAGTTTGCCTTGTGGACGCGTGACCGTTCACATCATCGGGCGTTTGATACTCAAAGTTGGTGTTGTATTTTCGTCGATGTGATCAGAACCTACAGTATGCATATGGCAGCGGCAACGGTAAAAAGCCTCGCGATAGATACGCGTCTGCCACGAGCGTTTGCGGATGTTGCTCCGATCTTGATTATCACTCCCACAAGGGTTGAGTGAATCCACAGTCAACCATGACCACCGTCTCAGAACCATTAAAGATAGTGGTTGCTTAAACTGGTCGCCTGGGGCCTCGCCCCATCGACGCATTTGCCACAGCGCCTACTTACAGACCACCTACCTGGACCAGCTCTTCCCGCATCCGCAAGGCAGCCACGAACTACTTACCAATCCATACACGCGCGCTCTATTCATGGCGTTGAGGAATCGAGTGGATATGAAGCTGCAGGAGCCAGTCACGCAACCGCCCGTCCCCTAAACAACGAGGGACCTTTTCTTAGGCCCACCCCCGCAGCGCCGCACAACCGCATCGATGACCTGCAGTAGTTTGTTACCCGTGCCGCTCCCTGGATCTCCAGAAAAAAAAGAAGCCAGAGCCAGACAATATGTAAACATGATCTTAGTGTTGATGACCCAAGGACCTAGACGGCCTCAGGGCGTAACGCGCACGCGTTGTTGGCGGCGCAATCCTCTTCGTCAGCTGTGCTGCATCATGGACCTCTCCGCGATATGACCGGTAAGGCAGTCAATCAGCCATCGCCATCCACCATCCCGACTTCATGTCGTCAGCTGATAGGATGCGGGATGTATACGGTAAAGAATGGGTGGGGCGAGGTATTGCTGCACTGCTAAAATATTTTTTGTAATGGTGAGGCTGTTTCATGTTATGTTTTGTGCTGATGGGAAATGGGTGGAGCAGCGAAATGGGAAGCGAATGGTGAGGCGGAGACGGCCACCGCCGCATTGCCGACTTGAGCGAGGCGGTTGACGAGGATCCCGTGGCTATGTATACAACACGCAGTCGCCCAGTTAAGCGCGAGGGTTGACCTTGTGTGAGAGCCAGGTATGAGACTGCTCGCCATTGCTGATGCATGGCGCGCGCTGTAGGAGTGCGAAACATGTGGGTAACGTCAGGCTGGCGCGGGTATTGGGCTTGCATGCGACGGGAGTTGGTGCTGGTGAAAGAAGTGGATAGGTAGAGATGTATTGGGATGGTCAGGTGACAGTTAGTTATGCGGTGGGCGAAACATTTGATGTAGAGAGATGTGCTGGCTGTATTGGTGAGGCTGTAGTTGCTTCGTGGTGAAGTTTACAGTAAGACTGTGTAAGCAGCTCACGTGCCGACTATCGGATTTGGACGACGTCTTGCGCTTCCCACAAGAGACTGCATTGTACCTATGCCACCGGGAGACGCATGCCACATTCATAGCGATGTTGAGATGTATGTCACGATGTTCTTCCCGAGTCACCCACCGAGCATCCTACGACAGCTCAACGGAAAGCATGCAAAGACCGAGTGCGAAGCCCGAATGCGCAAGAATTTTCAATCATTGCACCGAACTTGCTCAGGGCACTTGACCACTTCACCATGCATTCCGGTGATCCTGCGTCTCGCTGCCGGAGTTCTGCCTTCTAGTCGGACCTAACTGTGGAAAGAGACGGGAGGTTACTCGTGGCCGCTGTGATCTGCAGACCCTCAGCGAGGCTCAGATCGAAAAACCCATCATAATCACGACTAAGCTCAACGCAAGCGGCTGTACTCATCCAGAAAAGCCATGGAACAACACAAGGGAACCGCAAAAGGTCCGAAGTCCCTGCCGATCCAATCTCCTCACGGGCTGCTCGTCTGTAGAGTTTGGTTCGGTGGTTAGTTGCCGCTGACTAAAGGCTGCTAGGGATGAGTGTTTCGTCCATCTCGATTACAACCGACGAGTTCAACCAAGATAGGGTCTCACAAGTGACGCGTTAAATTTCACGCAGCGCCAATGAGCCGGGCCCCAGACGGACTCTCCAGATTCCGCTCCAGTGAACTATGGTGGAGAACACGGGCGGCTTTAGTTCAACGCGTTTCGTGAGACCGCTTGACGAAGGTTCCATTCTGTCGTTATTGCTAGTCGGCCGCGCAGCACATGTTGTTGGGACTGACATATTGGCGAAGTGTATTGACGAGTAATTTAAAGACACAGGAGTTCTGGCATGGACTCTGGTTGCTGAGGTATCAATTCAAGAGCAATGTATTGGATGATTTGATGATAATGGTTGAGATGAAGAACGTTTCTAGAACGGCTGATCAGACCCGGAATTCTCACTGGTGCTGGGTGGATAGCTACGTCTCTGCTACAGAGCCCACAAAACCTGCGTAGGCATGTGGATGCTGATCGGACCCTTGAGATGCGGTCTCTTCGGAAGTGCGAGTTGTGTAAAGATCTGACCTCAGCATGCTGTATCAGAATAAAGTGATGTACAGGGTCTTGCATCACAGGCTGCCCAGCGTGATGACGTCCTGGGCGGGCATCAGCACTGAAGACGCGCAAGCTAACCCAAGCGATCATCAGCTAGTAAACGGCCTGCGTAAACCTTACAAGAAATCGTAAGATGGAATCCACCTGGGGGGCAAACTTGGTGTGTCGGAACGGAACGCCCCAGATGTGTAGTTATTGTAATGCATGATGATACGGCCATATGACCCTTGGAAAGCTTCCGGAGTTGACTCCATCCATAGCGACAGCGAAACGTTGATGCCTGCATGCCTGGAGATCGACCAAGGGACCTTCGAGAGTTCGGACCGACTGGGAGCGGTGTATACTATATTTTGCTAGACGGCACGCTCGACCAATGGTCATGCAAATCGCCATAAGGCATGAGGTGGCGAATGGCGGTTTGCCGGCACTTGTTAATCGCCAGAGACTGCCATTCTAGTGGAGCCAAACAGAGGCTGAATAACACGAGGAAAACGAGGCTGTCATGCTGTCATTTGTTGACGACGAAAATCTTTGAGTGACCATAGGATCTGGAATTGACTGGACCTCCGAGTGGGTGAATGATCTTCTACTACTGTCACTGGCGCCGTCTGTTGTTGACTCCAGCCGCAGACGCCACGTCGCAGGATCTGTTAGCCATGTTGACTTCCTCGATGGGCACGACAGATCGATTGGATATTTCCTTGATCACACAGCTGCCGTTAGAGTTTGAGGGCGCAGGAGGTCGAGATGGCGGGGCAGTTTTAGTTTTGGTGGGTGTCAGAGGTTTAGTTATCGATAAGGCTTATCCTGCAAAGTCCTTACCTGGCATTTGGCGGTGAAAGTGCGACTCTCGACCACCTCCACTGAAACGCTCGAGCTTTGTGGAGAACGCCCGTCCGGCAAGGAAAGCATGCACGATTCTGAATCAGCAGGATCGAGAGCGCGCATTGTGCAGCCTATGGCGGATCGAACGGATCAAAGCAGACAGCACACGATACCTGGTAGCCACAGATGGGCACTATTGCAAATTGCATGTTGTTGTGCAGCGCGCTCACAACTTTCCAAGACACAAGATATGCGCTCTATGAAGAGATTGCTAGCGGCTTGACAAATTACCGCACACGTCGAGCGGCTGAGCTATCACCCGTGGCCACGTTCGTGGGAACGGTTCCTTCATCTCGAATACCAACAAAGTTTCTGGCCGTGATATTGACCCGCAACCAGCGCAAAGGAACAATTTCGCTCAGGACATGATCTTCGGTCCCTTTCACTCACAGACTCCCGCTCGTAGGTTTAGCCTACGGGAGGCGGACTTGGCTGGTATCTGTGCTTGTGCACGGATGACGCTGGAGAGCAGAAAAAGGATTGAAAGCTGCAGGTGCTTCGCACGGCTATCTCGCTTGTGCTGGGGTCAGCATCGTAATCTGGCACCCATCCCAGCGCCTGCGACTCATATGTGTACAAGATGAGTCGGCTATTCTTCCAACGGGCATGGATACGGGATGAGATACGAGCCGGTAGAACGCTCAGCCTCTCGATCTGGAAGTCTTGGAACATGTTCTATTCGATGGCAGCTGTACGATCGATGACTGGTAAACGACAGATGAACAAAAGTTCGCCCCAAGGTATTGCGCAATAAGCCACGACATCAACAGCTGAGCGAATAGCCGGTGTGGGTGGAACAGCAAGACAATCATAGGCGGTGACTGCCAGGTCACAAGGCCATGACTGGATCTAAGCAACACGTAGGTCTAAGGGATGACTCGAATGATGATTGGCACAAAAGTACAAAATAATCTCCGTATTAATTGGCTAGGCGGAGCAGTCTCGAAAATTCTGGTGGATGCTGGTGCGCCACTGGCGGGCCCAAATCGTCCAGACAAGATTGCCCACGGAGCCGAGCGACAGGGTGTGCTCATGGCGAACGGTTCGGTTAGTCATCGAGAAGAAGCAATATATTGGGCAAGCCAATGAAAAGCAGCTACACAAACAGGGCGAAGGCCGGCGCAACAAGGTTGGAGGACGTAGGGATAGACTGGGCCCGATCGGGCATCAAGTGCCATGTGTCATCGCCAACGCTCTTTTGGCGGTCCCAATACTGGAAGCAGCTCGCCCTGGCACGCTGCAACAGTGCAGCAACGGCAATAGAAGAAAATTGAAGGACAAAGAACGATGATCAGAAGCGCCGGAAAACGAAAGACAGGCCCACCAACTCGAAACCCGAAACGTGACCGCGGGTTGGTGACAGGCACTGTGCCGTCCTCTAGACACAACACCGGGTTCAGGCAGACGGGACGAAAGGTCGTCTGGCGGCATGACAGTCAGAGATGCAGAGCAGTGCCGCAGCGTTGCGAGATCGTCGTTTGGACGGGCTGCATTCGTCATGGGCGCTCGGAGCCAGCGAAGACTATCGAACGCCGCCCGTGCGCTCGCGGCTTTTCGAGACGTCGTAAGCCTGGGCAGGCTTTGCAGCGTGTTTAGGGAGGCTAAGCAGCGCTAGGCAAGGAACTGCATAGCTGCGTCTGCTTGGGGCGAGGCGCGGTCGTTTGGGAGGCTTGGTGGGCCCGTCTAATCGGCCGGTGACTTTGTGGTGAGATCAGGGGGCCGCGCTCTGGCAGAGGCTGGGGAGGCAACGAATGAGAGGGTCGAGCTGGGCCAGAATTGCCTTTGACATGTGTCCTCTCACTGCGGGCTGACGAGCGCGTGTGGAGCGAGCAGTGAATGGCCACGGTGGAGCGACAATCGAGGCGCCACACACACAGCGCGCGGGTCCGCTTGCACCGTCTTGCACGTAGCTCTCTGCACTTGTCGCTCTGGTGCCTCGAGGCTGCTGCACTTGTCGCGTCGAGAGCAGGCCTGTGTGTCACTCTCTCGGTGCTGACAGGCGTCTGATTCGCCCCAAGTCACAGCCGCCCGGTGAGCAGCGGAGTCGCAGGCGGCATGATTCAGGTGAATCAAGGACAGGCCCCGGCCGCTCGGTAGCTGCATGACTGTCTTTGTTGGACACGGCCTAGCGTCCAACTGGGTAAAGACGGCTCACACCACTGCACACCCCGGCTGCTTTCACGCTCGCCTCCCTGCGCGCGTTGAGACGAGCTTGCGAGCCAGGGTGGGTTGCGCGAGTGGAACCACACGTTAGCGTCTGAATGTGCGTGCCGGAGGCCATGGCACACATCGCTGATGGCCTGCACTCGCTCTGTAGCCCCATCCTTCTTCGTCATAGCGCCGCTCCTTCCCTATATTTACGAAAAACCGGGGCCTCCAGTCGAGCCAATAGCCACCTGGGCCCTCCTGCGAAGCCTCTCTTTATCACTGCTGCCCAGCCGTCCGTCCTCATACACATACATCATATCCCGCCTCATCCTCTACCACCACCACAACAACCACCACTACCTTCCTCCTACTACTACTCTACCTCCTTCCAACACATTCCTTCTTCAACCACAACCCAACAACTTCTTCGCTCTCTGTCAAGCACTCTTCACACGACAGCCTCTCAAACTCACTCAACCGTCTCCACCTCCAAGTCACCTGACTTGCCGGATCCGGTTACTGCTCTATAATACGTTCTTCTCTTTTCTGACTCTTCCATCCGGGACTGTTTGCTGTTTCCACACGGACCAAGCCAACCTCCATTTTCCGGATCACTCTAACATCGTCCTTGAGGCCTTCATTGGACCTGCGAGGACTTCTTCCACTTCCCTCTTACAATATGTACCCAACTCCCCCAGCATCCCCAACCCAAAATGGATTCTGCGCACCCGAAGACCGCCTAGGTCAAGTTCTAGCTGGCCGACTCCAGTTGACTGGCATTCTCGGTGTAGGAGCTTACGGCGTCGTGTACACAGCCGTGGACATCCAGACCAACATCCCATATGCCGTAAAGGCACTCAACAAGGTCGGTCTTGAGCCTCGCCAGAGGAAGTTCCAGCAACGGGAGATCCAGCTCCACCACCAGGCCAGCGCTCACCCCAACGTTGTCTCTCTAGTCAAGATTATGGACGCTCCTGACTGCACATACGTTGTCATTGAATACTGCCCAGAAGGTGACTTGTTCTCCAACATCACCGAGCAGGGCAAGTACGTGGGTAACGATGCCATGGCCAAGCGCGCTTTCCTCCAGGTTTTGGATGCCGTGGAATACTGCCACTCTATTGGAATTTACCACCGGGACCTCAAGCCAGAGAACGTACTAGTCACTGACCAAGGAATGACTTGCAAACTTGCCGACTTTGGACTTGCCACTACCGACCACGTCACCTCTGACTTTGGATGCGGCTCGACTTTCTACATGTCTCCAGGTACGTTGATTTAACCTGACTCATCAAGTCACGTGCTAACTTTGGGCAGAATGCCAGACATCGGCACCTAAGGCCTACTCATGCTACGCCTCAGCGCCCAACGATGTTTGGAGTTTGGGAGTCATGCTTGTCAACCTCACATGCGGACGCAACCCATGGAAGCGAGCTTCTTTCGAGGACAGCACCTTCCGCGCCTTCATGAAGGACCCCAAGTTTTTGAGGACCATCCTTCCTGTTTCCACCGAGCTCGACGCCATTCTCAGGCGCATGTTCGAGTTCAACCCTGCCAACAGGGCAACCATTCCCGAGATTCGTGAGATGATTCTCCGATGCTCATCTTTCACTGCCACAAAGTCAGCTGTCGCAACGCCTCTGTCTTCTCCTCCCTTCAGCCCAGTGGACTACAGCCGGGATGCCGCATACAACGCCTACTACCAGGCTCCTGCGGTGCCCCAGTTCACTCCTCTCCCCGGCTCAGCCTACGCCCCATCACCCTTCCAGCACTCTACCTCATCTGGAAGCTCTAACTCGGACAACGACTCTGTCTTCTCCGCGTGTTCATCTGCTTCATCCGCATCCTCGACATCTTCGTACCAACACGTTTCCTCTTCTCAGGTTCCCAAATTTTCTTCCCGAGTACCACAGCCTCAACAACAATACGTTTCTCAGCCCCCTGCCAATACGTGGTTCCAGCCATTCATCCAGGCGGCTAACCTGGTCAAGCATGTGTCCTTCCAGCCTTCTATGATGGCCCCGGTCCACGTCTACTAGGCCGTTCTTCTCTTCGGCCCTTTGGATCCTTTTTATTACGATTTGCTTCTTCACGATGTGTTTATACAATTTTCGAAAAAGTCACGATGACACGAACAGCGATTGATTTCTCGTTCGGTGTTGGTGCGGTTTGTTTTCTTTTGGCGTTACAAAACTAGACCAGTCCGGACGATACTCCGGCTCTGGACTTTTAGAACTATCTGGCTACTACGTTTAACTTGGGCAATCGCCTTGATGGCACGGAGTTTGAAATTGGGCTGGCAATCAACAATGTCTGCCACGTATATTAGGAGTGGGGTCAATGGGCATTTCCCGGAGTTGTTCTTGTTGGGCTTTGAACCAATAGAGGTTCATTACCATCACGTTCGTTCGAATTTCACATCAAGAGATACCAGAGCACTAGCTCAACACTGTACGGTAGTAGGTCCCACAAAGAGGACAGCAACATTTGCACTGCGCAAACTCAAACAAATGCAAAAACATACAAGCGGTCGCCGCGACTGTCGTCGCGAGCAGACTAAGAAAGCCACATCTCCAAATCCCATCACTTGACCTGCCTTCGCTTTGTTGACAGTGCCTTAGCCCATGTTTCTCTCCATGATGTTCACACCGAATCAGCGCTTCGACCACACCCAACGTTGTCGACCCACTCACACAACGCATCAATCTGCAGCCACCCTGCCGCAGTTCTGCACCCAACCCAAATCGTGCATACACTTGCGCAAGAGATCAATCTCGTACCCAACCACTTGTCTTGTCACCCCACCCAGGCTCCACAGCCTGGGCATCATCCATATACATCCGTAAAGTCTCCATCGCGATGAACGCTGTAAGCCTAGAAGCATCAGCGAATCACAGGTTTCACCAAGGCCGATATGTGCATAGCCATCTGCGTGCTGAGCATGCAAGTGTGCAGTAGCTTGCTTGACTCGACGGGGACTATCACGCCGGGATTGCGCCCTGCCTTATCGATCTAACTGCTAGAGGTTTAAACAGATGTGTAAGATTACTAGGCGCACATCCAAGGGGAATTATGGATGGAAGGCTGCGGATACCGGATGCAGGTCGTGGCCGATTGATGACCTGAATGAAGGATCGAGACTCATCTCTGCGCTTTCTGTCATGCCCTTAGCGCATGTCTTTGTTGGGAGAATGGAGGCGGCCGCCTAAACGGATTCCTCAGGCCACGCGATGTACAACTAAATCGAGGTTGGCGAGGCTATGCTAAGCTACTTGTGGCTGAGATGGTGTACTGTTGTTATTGACATGCTGTTGGACCTGCGCGGCAGTCGTCTCAGGACCTGATCCTTCTGCTGTTAGAGGCATACCACGAAATGACACGCAGGCAGTCGTAAACATGTCTCGGCCATACGAACGCCATCACCATGGTCCTTGTCTCGCTTGTTGGCCGGTCAGCTGGTCATCGAGGAGGGCTGAATCTTCAGTCAACCATCAAACGTCCTTCAGCTTCCGTCGCCCTTGTGTCGTGTCGGCTACCGATGCTTCCAAGACACTTTAGCATGTCGCGTAAAATGTACATCCGCGTACAGTTGCAGTGAGGCGTCACCGGAAAACTTGGTCGACACCAATCGGCACACGCATTCAAGCAAGGAAGGGCACCGTTACAAAGAATTTGTTTTTGCGGCCGCCAATCCTTCGTCATATGACAAGCATGGTGGATATCCGAAGAGGGAAAAGCAACGGCCATCGCTACCAAAAAATCTCTCAGCAATCAGCAAATACGTGCTCATTTCGTGTGGTGCTGCGCGCGGTTAATGGCGTCGAGTGACGTGCAGAAGGCTGACGGAGCAAACTGGTGTAAGGATGACATTGTGCCAAGGACCGCGGCTGGTATGTGTGGCAATCATCATCACCAGCCCACACCAGCCCGCGCCGTTCCTTCTGCCGCTAGCCACTTTCCAGGAAGAAATCCCTCAACTCCATCCTTTTGCATCATATGCATCCCACCCCGCGGTCCCTTCGTCAGACAATGTGCATACCTACAACAAGCTTATTGTTCGTTATTGATCCAGCTGCGCAAGTGTGGCGATGGCCGCTCAACGTCTCACCGAAACCAGGTCCAGACTTATTGATGCGATTCAAGTGCCTTTGCCCATTCGCTGGGTGAATTACATGCATGTATAGGTATGCTAATCTAGTTCCCACTTAGGCCATATCCAGCAGGAAAATGGTCTTGCAAATTTTAGCATACGATAGGAACAAGTGCCCCGGTCTATCAACGGCGTCAGAGATCTGCTATCAGCTCATATTGAACTTTATCGACAAAACCGACCCTAGAGGACGTTGAAATCTCGCTTCGTCCGAAATGACATCGTCCTTCGGCTCTGCAAAAAAAGGTGGCTGTTCGTCAATCACATGGACGTTGCATGTCACCCGTATACCGTACTTGCATCAATTTCCTTCTTCCGACTTCCGTACGCACCCCAGAAGTATGCTTTTTTCACGCCACGAACGCGCCTCGAATAGTCCTTTTCCTTAGGCGAAGCTCGCAGAACTTTGTTCGCTTAACCTATGCGAGTGCGAGAATGCGATGGGCACTTTTCGGCGTCACAGATAGACGAATGAGAACGGCAAGCCGCATATTGGCTACTGACATCTGGTCGGGGATTGCTATCCTAGCTGATGTCAAGGCTTGAAAGTAAGGAGCGAACCTTGCGCAGCAAGCTTCGTGGCTTACTTGCCTTGTGTCACTGTGTCACAGTAAGTTGGGCCAACCCATCGGGTCTGCCGAGCGACATCCAGCTTTGCGGGTAGCTGTGCTTTTGGGACCTGATGCTCGGAATTCTGCTCTTTCTTCTAGCTGAGGCACGTCCTTTGCGCTGTGATCTTCCCTTTTCCAGGATTGGTACTATCAAAAGCATACATGCGTCGTCATGCGGCTATTCTACGCTACATGCCGATGGTACTTCGATCAGTCATCGTGTCAGACTACGAACAGCGTTGCTTCACGCTATAGATTCGAAACGTACGATCATGAGCTCACTTTTTCCTCGGCCACTGGAGATGCATAGCCAAGGTCACTAAATCTCCAGATATTCAACTTCTCCGCACGGTTGCTTCTCTTAGAGCGACCTCGAACTTAGTCGGTCATACAAACAACATGCAATGGCGCTACATGGTAACACGGTAGCCATCCATGTCTGCCTCATCAGCCACTCGCGAGAAACCTTCCACAACACGACCAGATAGTTGCTCAATGCTAGCACGATATCCCCACACATGGTACAGCATAACGCCGCCTCTCGACATGTGCTGGTTCATCCCCCGTAACGGGACGCTCCTTGCTGCAATGAGTACCCTTGGAGCCCCAGGTAACACAACGATAGTCCCTATCTAGCCTGCTGCAGACGACCGCTGTCCACGAGCGTATCACCATGTTTGAGTTTGCTACACTCGCCACACGAATAATTGGACATACCCTCTTATCGCAGTCCCGCCCTAGAGACACAAGCGGCTTCCCGTACACATCTGATCGGACCGAGAGAAGTGGTCAGAGTCCAGTAACACAACCCCCACAGCAAGGGGCCTTTGCATCTGGTTCTGTACGTATGAAGGACAGGTGTGAGACTGACAGCGGGGAGGTGTTCCGATGGGTGTATATGCAACTATGCGGTCTCCGAAAGGTACTCAAGGTCTTTCGCTGCTCAGCCCCTTCGCGCGCTGTACCATCTGCAACGGTTTGACAGCTCATACCGTTTCTATGCTTTTTCAAGATTGGAGAGGCCGCGAAGAAACCAACGTCGAAAGTCGTCTATATGTTTATTTTTGCTTCTCCAATTAGTAAGGTTTGGCTTTAGGGCACCACCTTGCTGGTTACCCACGCGAAGCTGCACGGCCGTACGATCAACCTATGAGCACAGGGCGTTGGGCATACGAGAACATCGTACGAGCGCCCTCGTGGCAGGTGCCTAGCGCTTCAAAAGACGACTTGTCTTCTTTTCTTTCCAAGGTTCTCTTCACGTCATTCTAGATTTGATTCTACACGCCCAAACCTTACGCGAAGGTGCATGAACCGGGTAGCGCGAACCAAAGATCGGAACACTATTATCGTCAACATCGCCTCCTAACCAATACCCTCATAGGTGCTGCCTGTCGCCGGGATGACCGCATGGGTAAGGAAGCAGCTACCGGGCCCGTAAACGATCTGACAACGTAAAACGAGGATGCAGCGAGCCCGGCCAGGATCTACTGCACGCCAGCTAGGCATTCTTCCAGCTCTGGGCCTCGCATATATCCGCCCGAAAATATTCTAAGGATAGGCTTCTTGCGTCTGTAGCGGACAAGGCAACAGAAGAAAAGTTTGGGCGGAAGCATATGCAGCAATCGTCTGAACGCTGGTCGGCAAACCGTGACTCACCTCTCAACCACCATACTGACCAAATAGTGCTCATCACAGTGTAGCTCTGTTACCGCAGGGCGAGTGTACACCTTGCGCAGTGTATATACGCTGAAACAACCCATCTCTCCAGTCTGTCATTCACAGCCAAACACCCAACCCCCACCCACAACTTCACGTTCGCGCATCCCAGCATCCCATCTACTCTAAAAGCAAACAATAGGCTCGAATTCCAAGCCGCTTGCCCAAAGTCTGGATCCGCTTCCTGCACAAGGCACCTTGCATGCGCTATCTTCGCCCTACAAGCACCAGTCGTTCAGCGGCCATGCAGCGAGCGCTGTGCCTAGCCGCCTAGGAACCGTGCTTTGCGCTCGAGTCTGTCACACGACACGATGCGGCGCGACAGCATGCCAGAAGGCTGATTGCATCGGGGAATTATGGTGCGCTAGGAGCGTTGGGCTGAGATTGTCAGTGCGGAAGGGGGAAGGGTCGGTGTTGTGCGACGGTGGTGTTCTAGGTAGTGCGGACGGTTGTCTGGTGTGCTTGGTCAGGTGCCAAGCTAGAACAGGTATGCTAGTCATCGCATGGTGTTGTGAGCATGGTCGGTACGGAGGGGGAGATGAGGCATGTGTACAGTATTTGGGTCTTTGTGGTGGTGGTAACCTGACACTTCATCAAAGAGAGAAACTCAACATATACCTGTTTGGCTCTTCCCTTATATACTGTGCTGGTGAGAAAACGGTATCATGAGATTGAGCGAAGTGTAGAGTTACCATCAATAACAAATGCAGTCGCTAAATATCTACACGATTGTCTGAATGGTCTACTGAATGGTCTATACGGACAACACTCCGGTGTACTGAAGCCCGGCAAAAGTTGGTCATTATTCAGCCCAAAATTCATGTCTTCCATCAAGTCCTAATCCTGATCCTCGTTTGTATCTTGAGGTGCTAGCTCCTCGCCCTCAGACCCTCCATCTACAACCGTGCTTCTATCACTGTCAACGCCCTCCTCAATTTTTCCATCCTCGCCCCCAGCATTACTCGACGCTTGCTCTAAATAGTCAAATTCATCCCCACTGGTACTTCCATTCGATCCTTCCAGTCTGAGTGTGAGCCTGGGGCGTCGCGTCGCCGGCTCCATCTCAAGCTCTTCATCTGTCTCGACCTCTTCCACCTTGATCTTGATCTTATCAACAGCCTCCTTTCTGACTACAGCACCCCCACTACTCGCACCTCCCGGCCCACCAGCGAATTGTATACCGACCGGGTTAAGATAAGTATTAATGTTCTTGAGCAAAGATGTCCTCCACCAATGCTGCACATCAGAAGTCCTGGTGATATGGAAGTGAAAGTCCGGGTACATGTCACATACTTGTCGCCATGTGGTGCTATCGCCAGGAACATCGTTCTTGTTGCTGCCACCGCCGCGTGGTGAGTCTTGCGCGCCGATGTAAATCACATCACTACGTGTCCAGTGTGAAGCTAGGGCGTCAAAGAAGAGTGTGCGGAGTCCTTTCATGGCGCCGACATCGTGACTGTGGTAGCCTCTCTTAGGAGGTACAGGAAGAGCGCCGGAGAAACCATCATCGGTCGTGAGCTTGATCTGCGGGTTCAAGGGAGTGTCACTTGTAAGAGGTTCCGAGTTGATGGTTACCACACGTCGTAGGTTCTCTTCTGTGGTATTGGCACATATGTATGCAACATCACCGGCTCGAATGAGAGATTGTTTGGCGTCGGATCTTCTAGATTTCGCGAGCGGTAGGAATAGATCGTATAGCTTTCGCATTGCTGCTTCCCAGTACTCATCTGCTTCTAGCTTGGCGGCAAGGAGACAAGAATCCGCGTGTGCTCGTATACCACGGTACCCGGCGACCTGTGTGTTGGTACTGTAAATGTTTGAGTGCATGAAAGAGACGAACTCGGCAAAGGAGTTGGGACTGATAGTTGGCAGTTCAACTTCTGATACTGTGTCGTCTGTGGCGATGATAGATTTGAAGATGTCAGAGTACCGTGACAACTTTGCTTTAGGCAGATACCAGGTTCGTTGGTTATTTGGCTCTGGCTCTGGCCCGACGACGATCTTCATAGTGCCTGGGATCGACGAAACACTTTCTTTGGGTGCGTCGGCGGAACGGTAGACACGTGGACCTTGAGACACTGTCTCAGACCTTGCATCGAACACTGGTACCATCAATGTGTTTCGAGGGTCTCTGTTCCTTTGCATTTTAGCGAGGGGTGAGGATGGAAGCATTGAATCGGCTTGTGCGAGTCTTTGCTGGCCGGTTGATGGTGATACAGGGCGCGGGATACGAGAGTTCATGCAATATCTGTAAGATTGCAAGGGAGGGGATATATCATGGGATATACTGCTGAAAAAGTACGAATGACAGGTACAAACGGGCAGGTCGTCGCGTGTGTGCCCTTGGTGACTAGCGATAGTGAAAGAGACGTTGAAGAAGCTTTGTGCAGCTCAAGGCAAGTGAGGGCGTACGTATGCGTTCTGGAAAAAGTATATAATGATGGTTGTTTATGAAAGCATGAAGCTGCAGAGTAAGACGAAAATGCGTGGATGAGCCTTCGAGAGAAGAGCTTGGAAGGTGTATGTTGGGTCAGGCAGCTACCCAAGGTAGATGGGATAGGCAGCGACGATTTGAGTCGATGTGATAGTAGTAAATATTGACTATGTCACGAAATCAAGACATTGCGATGGGGTTCAAGCTCAAGCATTGTTTTGGGATAACCACGACTCAGTCACTTATACGCCCAGCCTCGTCGAAGCACCGTCTTTCTACCCAAGTCTAGACAGAGCCCAACTACGACTGCTGAGAAGGTAGTCTGCTATCTATCGCTGTTTAATCCCGTAGTTTCCTTGAATACCGTCGTACTAAGCATGCCGTTATCCAGAGATATCACGCATGCGCCCTACCCTCTGCTTCTAACGCCACATCCAGCGTACTGCTCTGCTCTGTACTCAATCCATCAACCTCAGCCCGCCCACCATAACGCTCTCTAGCACGCCACTTTCCCCCAAAAGTATAGAATACCCATGGTACATCTTATGCGAAAAAAGAGGCGCAAGACCACCGACAAGCGAACGCATGACAGAGCAAGCAGCTATGCCAGATGCAGAATGCAGCGGGTAGGCGTCGAGAATGTATGTACCTGTCAAGAACTAGACTGCAGATCAGCGACCGTGAACTCAGATTTAAGACTGGACTCAGAATGAAGCACTTCGGGGCGACATGAGACTTACGATAGCGCTCATAGCCCCCGCACCAAATATCACTGTTCCAATTAACGGCGCGATCCAGTGCACCCCATGTTGCGCAGCCCAAGCATATATGAACAAACCGATGCTCACAAGCGGCCACCAAAATATCATAGGTAGCAATCGGTTCTCCGGTCGTGTGTCGCCTTTCAGTGCTCTTTGCATGATAAGGTTATCGCTGATCGCAGCGCCCCCAAGCATACCAATGAGGTTGCCGAATGCAGTGCCCATATAGGCGAGGCCCAGGCTTTTCGGCGCCCACTTGTACGTTTCGACAAACGTGGTTGGGAGGGTCGTGTACAGGACATAGATGTAGCCGTAACCGATAGCAGTAAGGAGTGAGGTAAAGAAGATCGGACGTGACAAGAATCGCATTCGAAGCGGCATAAACATCGCAGTGCTAAAAGCTTCCAGCTTACCTGCTGCCGTACCCACATCAAGTCTTGCTCGTAAGTTCTCATTCCCAGTCTCATTCCGCAGTCGCACTGTTTTCCACCGAAGTAGAACCGGCTCGTAGGTTTCCGACAAACAAAGCATACTAAGGACTGCACCTATCCCACCAAGGATAGCAGTGAGATAGAAGATCCGTCGCCATCCTTTCGCAGCATTGAGGTAGCTGCCTGCTGGGGGACTAATTGCTGGACCAAGGTTATATGCCAGACCTATCAATGCCATGACGCCTCCGCGCTTCTCTTTCACCATGAGGTCTCCGAGGCTTGATGGTGCAAGACCGAATACACTACTTCCGCCCACACCAGCAAAAGACCGGAAAACAGCCAAGACACCGAGTGAGTTTGCGCGCCCGCAGGCCAAAGTGCATATGGTGAAGAGCACGTTGCACAGGTGGTACAAAGGCAGTCGGCCGTACTGCTCGGAGAGGGGGCTAATGAGGAGTGGTCGAAAAGCGTAGTCTAGGACGTAGATACTCAGGACGAAGGCGGATGAGTAAGTTTCGGTGGATCTGAAGTCTTTCATGATCTCTGGAATCGCTGGGGCGACCACAGAAGACGTGAATGGCCTCCTACATGTCAGCGATTCATAGCTGCGATGCATCTAGGGTGTGGTACTCACGAGACAAAAGACATGACGAATATACAGGCGATGTTGATAGTCTTCTTCCATGAGGCGAAGTTTCTGGGGTTTGCCGCATCGTCATTGCCATGCCAGTCGACTACATTTACCTGCCTCTCTTTCTCAGACGCGAGTGAGGTGGATGGGCTCTCCATGGTACTGCAACGTAACACGTAGATTCTCGGTAGGACTTCGCTCTGATATAGGTTCAAAGCTAGCAATAGTGGTAAGGGGCGAGTAACAAAGAGTTTCGGATGCAGATGGTATGAGCGTTGGGAAGCAATGAGTCTCAGAATGTAGCCTCAGTCTTTGTGTGTCCAATATTCTGATGCCGCCTCCCATAAACATCTTTATCACAGGGTTGCCATGTAATTACGTCGCTCGAGGTAAACACGGCTTGACGAATCGAGTGCCGGAATGTGTCGGGCTGGCATCGGAAGATAGAAAGAAAGCGAACGGCTGCAACTCCGGTGCCATGAACATGTCAAATTTAGGGCAATACCGGCTCTCGTTCTTACCCACCTGCCCTTGCGGGCTTCCAGTTCCACGCATTTAGCAACAGATGTGCCGCAATGCACTGCTTAGGTGAGCATAGGATTCGACGATTGTGAACCAAGTAAGCATGAGCAATCCTGAAGTCTATCTGGTACTGTCAACTGCCACAGGGTACTTCTCCAGGCTCTCGTACCATTGAAGCGTGCTCCCTACCATGAAAGCCCAACTACCCCAAAAGGTGCTAAGAGAAGCCTGATATTGCGCCCAACTCCTACTATCGTACCCAAAAGCCGGACACAAAGTGAAGCCTACACCTCCTACGAGATTCCAGGCGCCGACCCACCAACCGAGTGTCCGAGGTGCCGGCTTCCACCACTTGGACTGTGTCTCGATCATGAAGAGGGCGCCGGAAATGACGAAACCTAGACCGCCAAGAACTTGAGGAGTCCAGTAAAAGACGATGGTGAGCGTCTGCGACATGCGATTGTAAATGCCCGGTAGCGCTGTCAGACCCGCGACCCAGAAGATTGTTGCACCGAGCAGCTGGGAGAAGGAAGCTATGAATCCGAGATTGTGGATGTAGTGGGTCCGTAGTTCTTCATTTGACGGCCACCATACCCACAAACGCTCTTGGGAGGCCAAATCGGACTTTGATTGTGTAAATTGCCGGGTATCGACGGACATCTGTTTGTTGTGGTGGTGTGTGCAATGCGACTTTGACGGGCGCAGTGCTACGCGTTCTCCACCCTCCTCTTCATGCGATAGAACCTGCTCTACTGCCCATCCGAAGCATCCCGATCTACCCTCATTCACAGCTTCTGCCACGAGCAGGAACGACCCCACTTCGAAAACAGTCACTCCGACAAACGCGGTTATGCCCCCACCATACAATTCCTCATTCGCGAATTCAGAACCCGGTCGCACCAAGGGCAGATATACGAAGAAGGCGTTGAATATCCATATCACACTGCCTATCGTGAAGACAAAGGCAACGTCGAACGACACGTCCCATATCGGAAAGTACGTGAACATGCGCCAGATGTTGCGTGCAACACTACGAGGGGAGGTAGTTGGGCGTGGGGTATCGTGCTTTGTCGAAGCGGTGACCTGTTTGGGTTCAATGTCTACTGCATGTCGTCCTTTGCGGTCATTCCGAGAAGTCCATTTGTACCGCACATCAGGACGCTGGTCGTGGCGGTAATGCGCTCGCGTAGGGTTGAGGAACGTTATCGGACCAGTGACGCGATCATGTTCGAGACGCAGGCCATCCCCGTGTCTCACGGGCTCACGAGCTGGGTGGAAGGTGTTGTTGCGTCGCGTTTTGCGCGTGTCTGGGCCATCGCGACTTGTCATATCAGCCTAGTCGTCTTCACTTCGCATGAGCGTTGCTGTGTCGTTAGCATTGATCAAAGCTTTCTGTATCTCACGAGAAAACCGGCAGAAAACGACTTTGAACCCATGTTCAGACGCGTAGATGATGCCAGCCTGCGTCATAGTCTCGGATAGATGTAGCGTTGCAGTTAGTCTGTTGATAGCCGACGCCGGCTGTGCTGAGTCAACCAGTCCACTGCCTAACAAACACCTCGGGAACTAGGTATCCTCAAGTTGAATGTTTGCTTAGGCATGACGCGCTACATGCGAATCATCCGCATAGCTGCAGTAGCTGTATCACCTGCTTTCGGTATCAATTTTTGGATTTTTTCTGTTCTGGCAAACATTTGCTGGATTCTTCATAGCCTATACGTGGCTCGCACAAGTGCTTTGATTATTGCGCCAATGGAGCAGCACCAAGACAGCACATCTGGAGGTCAGTAGTACAAGCTAACCGAGTCCCTTCAGTTAGCTGATACCACATCAGAGCGATGCAAACTCATCAGGCTGGATTCACACATCCCATCCAAGGCAGCTTCACCTGAGTACACTTTTGCTTTCGCCTACAAAAAGCCCGTGAGTAGATAGCATCCTATATCGCTCACACCTAATGGCATGCAGCAAACTATACCTAAGACTTGGGAATGTATGGGAACTCAAAATCGTGTTGGTCTTCTCGATCTACCACGTGAGTTGAGGGACATGATTTATGCCCACGTCTGCGATGGCATGAGGCGCAACGGAAACGGATGGCGCAAAGAAGGCGAATGGGCCCAAGACCGCTATGTATTCGGGCAGGGGCCCTGGGAAGTTCAAAACTGCAACATCATGAGGACATGCCGGCAAGTGCATTGGGAATTTGCAGAAGTTCTCTATACGCGACCGCTACAACTTACTGGTCCATCGATCACCAAGTTCCATATCGTTGTGACAGGATCGCATATTCTTCCGTTGTCAAAAACATATGCACCTCTCGTCAAGAAGCTGGCATTCATCCATAGCACAGGCCTTCGAGACTACTTTGACAGAGATGAGTTAGGACACAGGCAGCGTCCTAATGCTGAAGTTCTTTGGCTCGATATTGTTACAGCGACGATGAAACTGCTGAAACTTTTCCCTGCTGTACAGGTCTTACGTATTATTATCGACTACGAGCCAATCGCGCCTCCAGATTCAGTATTGATGTCCTTACTCGGGAAGTGCAAGGGCAGAAGAGAAGAGCTGATCGAGAGGGCAGAGGAATTTATCAAGGCGGTACGCCGGAGCGACACGAGGCCGATCAAAGTTCCGCAGCAACTAGAATTGTTCCATTTAGAAGACAACGGTATTCTGAGGGAGATGCCTTGGAGCGAGGCTTTGAGGAACATACAAGCAGCAGAGCTCCACAAGAAAGAGCTTAGAGAAAAACCCTGAGACTGGACTAAGATCAAGCTGAAGACTGCGAAAAATGGTGCGATCGCACCTAAAGAACTGAGGATACAGGTGTTGAAGATGGCTTTGATGTAAACTGCTAGTATCAAAACCGAAGACCATATGCATACTCCAAGGCGCCGAAAGATCGTCGCTGAACACCATCGCTGTGCTAATCATACAAGTACAAACAACAACAGGACCAGCCTGGTCGTTATGCCGCAAGTGACATCAGTTCACCTTTCCCTCTTTCTTCTCTTTCCTGCCCTTCTGCCTCTCATCAATCTTCAGCCCCCTAACCAGCTGCCTTCCCATCATCCTCGAGATCTCCTTGGCATAGTCCTTCATCCTCATGTTATTTTGCTCATCTGCGCTCTTCCCTTCATACTGCTTCTCACTGTATGGCGGTGGCGCATCCGTATACCGCGCGTACTCTGCTTCGATGCGCTGAGCACTCGAACTGGTTGAGAAGTTGGAATCAGAGCTTTGCGCCGAATGGTCTGACGAGTGCGTTGAAGGCGATGGGAACGAATGGTAGGATGATGCTCGCGCTGCTGTGTTATCTTCAGTGTCGATTGTAGCGGGTTTTTGGTGAGCAGCAGCGGCAGCGGCTTTGGCAACAGATGATGCTGAGTCGTGGCGAGAGGACATTCTAGAGGAAGGGGTTTCGCGTTCGTTGACGCTGATTTCTGGGTAGTGATCCATGATTCGTGTTTCGGTGGTGACTCAATGCCGACTCGTAATGGTAGTGTAGGATCTAGAAACCAGAATATAGGATGTTTTGAGCAATGTAAACGTGTATAGTATGGAGTATGATTGTTAGCGTCCTCAATGATGAGTGTGCTTATTGGTGCGGCCGAATGATGCCATCAGGTCGATGATGCAGGTCAGGACCTTTAAACGGTTGCCTACTCACACAACGCACATGATGTACCTGACACAGACCCATAGCGATCCTGTAAGACATACTAAAGACGTCATTGCAGCGCCATCGCGCAGCCCAGCCACGCTTTGCCTGTCGCAGTCCAGGATAGGAAATGATGTGTGGCTCATCAGAAGATCAAGCCTTCCAGGCAGAATGCGGATACAACTCTGCTGACCTGACGGGCTGGTCGATATGCTCCGCGGATGCAGAAAGCCTTCATGAGCCATTCCATGACACGTGGAGTGATGTTGGAGATGAACGTTGTCGGGGAGACGGCGAGGGAGCGAAAAGCGAGGCGCAAGCGAAGCGAAGGATGTGTGGCGTTCAGCATGGATGGGGCCAATGATGTCATTCATCACGATCGGCCGTGCCGTGTCGCACAAGAGGACCTGAAAGCTGATGTAGATCACAAGAGGAGACAAATAATTGGCATACGAACGATTGGGTATCTTAGTCCTCAAAACGGACAGTGCGTGCAACGTGACAGAGCGTGAAATGGGTGAACAGGACAAGAAACAGGTGCTGAGCGCCCAACAAACCTCTCACACCCTTACCAGACCCCTGACAGCGTTCTTGAGCTTCCCCAAACCACGTGAACTCTTCTTGAAGTCTTTCTGTCGCTCCAACTCCATGTCCGTCGGCGCGTTGAAGTTACCGCTTATCCTTCGAATCTGTCCCTGCGAGTTGTGGTGTGCTGGCGACGGCGAATAGTAATGCTCAGCTGATGAGAATCTCCTTGGACGTCCCGTGTCATCATCAGAGTATGACGATCTCAGATATGCAGAAATGACAGCTTGTTGGGACAGTTGCCCCTCGTCGGATGATCGTTGCGCATATGGTGGAGTCAATGTCTGAGGTTGATGCGAATCTGCGCGCTTGCGGGATGATGACATGGCTGCAGTACGTTGATTTGGGTCCTCGGGTATATCGCTCATGGAGTATCGTGCTGATCTGGAGTCAAAGAAGGGATCTGTGGAGAGTGTAGAAATTGCTTACGACTATGTTGGGATCGCTCTTGCTGCTGTTGTCTTGTATGTTTTTCCATGGTTGCACTTCTTTTCGCAAATCGATCCGTGTCGTATAAGAATGCGTTACTCTTCAATTTGGCACGAGAAGCTTGAGTACGTATCAAAGACGCAAAGCGCAACGCTTGAACGTGATGAATCAAAGGAACCCCGAATTCTCGCAAAGGCCCTACCTGTTCATACTTATCAACATAGCCTTTAGGTACCTATGCCAATGCACGTGGTACCATGGTAATACCAAAATCTAACGTCATTGACCGTGTCTCCCAATCAACTCTTCCATGCAGGAAACTACGAGACTCAAAATGCGGATCGGGTACAAGACGGGTAGCCGGGCATTCTAAGCCTCGGGCGTCCCGCATGTTGCCAACTTGGCGGAGGTTGATGTCCACTTAAGGTTGCCTTGCATGGCATAGTACTTTGTAGTGTTGGTGTCATCCGGAAAGTCGTATCCGCGGATGAAACGGGCGCAGGGCGATATGAGTGGTGGATTTGGATGCAGGGCAGCCTTAGCGATGCAAGCTCTAGATACGAGTAGATCAGCGCAAGGCTGTGATGGACATGCGAGATGGAGGGTTGAACGACTGAAGTGTTGGACACATGTATTCATGGGCTATCTTTGCGATATCTGCACGAAGGGCTGGTTGCGACTGGTCAAGCGACCTTCTTCGAAGAAGTAGCTATTGCAGCAGCCAATGAGCGATCCGGCGCCCATCAGGATGCATCTGTAGAAGACCAAACGAATCGCATAGCAGGATGTAGAGAGGTGCAAAAATCTCCAATGCGACCAGTATGTGGAAGGAGAAGAGACGGACTTCCGGGCACTTCGCTATAGAAGTGATATCCATATAGGTCCGATTCGTCCGAATAACACCTCAAGATCTCCATCACCTGATTTACAGTATTTCTTGCGAAGGTGCGATCTTCGAGATCAAGATCTTTCATTTCGACAAAGAAACATCTCAAACATTGGTTCCGTCCTGATTTGCAGGGGCTCATCTCCTCTTCCTCGCTTCGCACCCTCGTCACTCAGCCCAAAGTGGCAAAAAATCCTGCCAAACGGTCCAAACCCCCTCGTCTCCCCTAACCCAACCTGCACAGCCAACGTTTCCCCGCGCTCTGCCCAGCACTGCTTTTCTGCGCAGCAAAAGATAATCCGCCCAACTGACCTTTCTTCTCGAACGAACAACTAGTATCCTAAACATAGTAACACACGTGCAGCCACCTCACGATTTGCGAGGCTACGTTGGCGATTTGCTTAAGGCCGGCCGAGGCGCAGCAAGCCGTGCGGACGGTCTCGGATGCCTGACCGCAACGCGTCCCACAGTGGGCCTCCGAGAGATGATGATGAATGTGCGCTGACGCGGTGTTGCTCGACGGCTCAACTGCGACTCAGCCCATGTGGATATTTCAATAAATAGGAGAAGGATGGTACCACCTGGTGGTGGTTTCGACGGATTTTGTTATTACCGGCATTTCAAACATATATCGCATTGAGACTATTGGAAATCTTCAGCATAACATATAATCGCGCTACATCAAACGGTGTATTGCTTCTTCTCGCGTTCACAAACCAAGAAGGAAAGAGACAGTTACTTGAAGTAGCAACTTTCAGGTTTTCCGTACGTAGCAGTAGCACCTCCACATTCCAGATCCTGCCATCCCGCACCCGGGTTTCCGGCTGAGCAACGAAAAAGCCCTCAACAAGCATCATCCCTAACCCATTCCAGGGGTCCACGCAACTCTTCCAAGGCATTCATAAGCCTCTGGAACCACGTCGACTATCCGCAAACCAGTATCGGCGAACCCACTGGGACCCTGACAACCAGAAGCCCACTTCGTTCCTTACGGCTGTAAACAAAGGCAAAGCGAGGCTTCCGATCCCGAGCACGTATAGTACATTAGCATACCCGCAGATCGTTTTTACAAAGATCTCGTATTCAGAGCGGTACACTACTACTACAAACTTTCGGCTCTACCTACGCTACCCTACTGTACAACCAAAGGACGACGATCGACATACAACGGACCTGAAAATGGACGTCACTACTACTATCAACACACAATCTTCATCAGCGTCATCGTTACGAAGCTCATCGCCTACTACACCCATAACACCTTCCTCGCCTGCATCATCGGCAGGAGCATCATACTTCAACACACCAAACTCGCCGCAGATCCCTTACCACATCATCGTCACGTTCGACGGTAAAGTGCGCGAGATGATGAGGATAGAAAGGCAGGTCGAATACCCAGTCCAGGAACGCCGATCGCGGAGGCCGGCACCTAGGCCGAGGTACTATGCGAAGAATGCGGAGGAGCAAAGACCAGAGGCTAAGAGGGTTGACAGCGGGTTCGGCGGGATGTAAAAGGTCAAGGCTTGGTTTGGGAGGTTGGCGAAAATGGCGTTTACGATTTTGATGACTTTCTTCATGGGTACAACGGAAAAGGATCATACCTCGGCTGTCGTCGTTGGCAGTCGGCGGGAATGCAAAAAGCTGGAGGCTACCTAGCTGGAACACTGTCAGTAATTGTAAACGTAATCAAGAACAATGGAGGTCTTGCTGTGCCATCCAATGGATTCAATTCGAGAAGAATCCTCTTCACTCGCCAGCCTATTCTGCGATCATTCCGATTTCGGCTTCTTGGGCGCAACTAAGACATCTCGATGCCAATGGTGCGCATCTCTTGCGCTAAATGTGAAGAGGTGGCCGAAGTCAGAACCGTTGGCGCCGTTGCGCGAGCTCTTGAGTCAGTGTGCCGCCAGCCAGGAACATGTCGTGCAACCGCTGGACTCGTGTATTCTGGGTGAAAGCGAAGGATCTGTCTGCTTCACTCATATCTTTGTGGGCTAGCACGATGATAATGCTGACAAGGAGAGTTTGTAACGGGGTGAGACGAAGCGACTGAAGTTTCCGAAAGTAGGAGTGCCGTCCTGAGCTGCTTATCTTGCCGAGTAGTCTTATGTGTATCAGCTCTTGTAGCAAACCACGTAGCGAAGGCGGTAAAAATTGCCGGCGCAGCGTGCTGGTGCACTGAGTGGAAGAAGAATGCACAGGTGTTGTACAGTTGTATTTAAGAAGCTAAAGGAGTGTAGTTATACCTCTGTCGGCTGCTAATATACAAGATAAAGTTTAAAAACTAATAATTGCATGTTGTGTCTAGTTCTCTCCTCAGGTGTACAAGGAGCACTGAGGTTATGTTCCTCCGTACTGACTTTGCCTTAGTCGTGCTGAGGTGATGCTTTGACATCCTCGTGATAGTGTCTTCATACACTCCAACACCCGTACAGTAGTTCGGACGGACATGAGAATCCGGCCAACGTTGACACGAGTGAGGCATCTCGTGGCGAATTAGTGTCGACGACAAAGTATAGATTCTTGGTGTCGACGACAAAGTAGAGATTTTTGGTGTCGTCGACAAAGTAGAGATTCTTGGTGTCGACGACAAAGTAGAGATTCTTGGTGTCGACGACAAAGTAGAGATTCTTGGTGTCGACGACAAAGTAGAGATTTTTGGTGTCGACGACAAAGTAGAGATTTTTGGTGTCGTCGACAAAGTAGAGGTTCACCCTTCATGTTGTCTTTTGTTACTGTTCGGGTTACCAGTCTGGCCGAGTACTCTATGTACGCTTTTCGATTCGAACAACCCATCTCCTCCGACCTTGGCCTGCATCTATCATCCAGATCCTGATCTTGTCCGAGACACAGTTACAACAGATGATGTGTATCCTGTCATCTCGACCGACAACCTCGTTCGTCAGCTGTCTCGATGTAGGACCAAAGGGGGGATCCGCTCCGCTCCGACTGCGCGATAGAAGGACTCGAAGTCTCTTCAGCTCCTTAGCCAAGGGTGTCATGCCCTCGTCTCTGAGGCGGAGAGCCGCCCAGTTCATCGAAACGAACAAAAGCAACTCATCATAATCGGAGCGTGGTTCGCCGTCGACGGTGATGAAGTCTTGAAGGGCAAGGCTTTCTGCGAGATCATTCGGCGATGCGACGGAGCCGATCTTTGGCCATGTGATGAAGTGGAAGGGAAGCTCTTCCCGCTGAAGAAGTTCATAACGAAGTTTACTTAGATCCCGTGGCTGGCAGTGTCTCTTGGTAAGCGCATCTCTCCCAAGCTGCTTCTCTAGGCGCTTGTGAGAGGCCTCCTTCGCGTCCTTGTCGTCGAACGTCCGGTCCCTGATGGTGTGCACGAGAGTGGGAAGTTGGACGTGGCAGTTTTGATCAAAGAGCCATCTCTGCTCCGCCATAGGAAGATCAGCGTAGAGATAATACCACATCCATCTTGTAATAAAGTTTGGCGACAGCTCGTCTTGACGGCATACGCTGGGCATGTTCATCAAGAGAGGAGAAGCCAAAAGACACTGCATACTCTCTTGCATCCAGGCAAACTCGCTGTCTACCACCGCTTCGAAAAGCTTGTACAACTGTGACAAATCGCGAAGGTCAAAGTCTTGTCGGCTATGTTGCCCAAACAGTGTTACCGTTGAATTTGGGCTCTTTGCTGGGCGATTTACCCTAATGAGTGCACGCTGGCTGATATTGCTTATATCTGGCATCTAAAACGATGGTCAGATTCTTATCTAGGAAGTATCATCGGCTTGGTTGCGTAAACTTACACCCAAATACATGAACAACTGGTCCTGAGTTAGAGACCACGATGCTCCAGGCCAGAGGACACATGCAATGAGCCTTGTAGCATGATCACGTTTGGTGGCGGAGAAGGCGTCTTGCACCAGCCACGCACACGCTACCTGTAGGTATGGAGTAACGATCTCCTGTTTCCGGATTTCTTCAAAGTAGCTCAAGTATTGGGCTCGACCGAGCGCGAAAAGCTTGTCCCCAAGGGTCATGGCATACACCGGGTCACTGCTAGATATGCTTGACGTACTTTGGTCTCCAGGAAGAGGAAGCGAGTAACTTATTCCGTCCGAAGTTGCCATGAGTACGTCGAGCGAAGCCGTCCAGGGTGTGCAGAGTTTCCTAATGACCCGGGGGTTAACAGTTGAGAGTTGTGAGAGAGGAGAGGCCAACGGGAAGAGCGATCAGTCGATAGTTGGGAGTAAATGCTGTCAAGTCTGCTATGAGCGAGCGGTGGAGTGTAGGAACCTGAAAGGCGCTGTGAACGAGATAGTTCTTTGCCGGATGATGAGGTTGAGTGGAGATGGCTTGGTAGTCGAGAAGGTTAAGATGACTTGGTAGTCGAGGAGGTTGATTAGAGATAGCTTAGCAGTCGTGTTGGTCTGCGAGCGCGGAGGATACTGCTGTGGACTTTTGACCGCTGCTCACTCGTATCGAGTAGCAGAGACACGTACGATGTCAGTGACTGTCAACGTTCGTGTAGTCGTGGTCGATGTTATCAAACAACCTCAGTTCTGTGCATAGAATTGAGTCGATTGAAGAACATTAGTAACATAAGCCAGTAGACAGGTTGGTTTGTGAGTAGTAAGAGGTAAGAAGGTTGACTGGAGAGGAAAGAAGAAGTAGTTGCTGGGGGTAAGGGCTTCCGTCGAAGCGCATGAACCACCCGGGCGCCGTTATGTCAGCAGCAGCGAGGGAAGCTATGAACAGTGAGTTGGACACAAATAGTGATGCAATTGAGGGGCTCTAAAGTTTCTGGTACATGCAGGATGAGTATCCAAAGTGACCCATATCGGTCCACATAGATATGAAAGTTTGGCCAGGCCAACGACTTGACCCAACATAGCGATCAACCTTGCAGTCTCAGTGGTATACCACTCAAAAAAAAAAAACTCATAAATACTCGGGAAGGTTTGTAGGGTCTTTCAAGAATGTGGGGTTTCAAGGCTCCCTTGGTGGTTTTCATAACCTCAGAAATGTCTCACGGATCCCAGCATTTTCACCATACCATCATCATTTAAGATGGCACGGTTTTCTTTTCATGCCATAATCACCATGGCATTGCTCTTGATATCTTGGGAGCGGCCGTTTCCCAGAATCATACCTAGGTATGTTCATTGCGACTGGTCTGTTACTCGAAACGATACAATACCAGCCAGGGACAACCACGCAGCAGCAGCAGCCCTGAACACATATCCAGACATATGACTAGCTTGTCCAGAAAACGTCCCGTTGACGAAATGAAACAAGGACGCAAGTCTTGGAGTTACGCACATATAACCAAGCGCCAGCTTTTCACCTAAGCTGAAGTCAAAGCAGCTTACCTAAATCTATGTACATCCCTCGTTTCTGACAGCGTCCAGTAGTTGTCAACTTAAAAATCATTACTACGAACGTCAGAGCCTTCAGAGTACGGAGAGCGCTAATCAAGCATCGTGCCGAGTAGATACATTCGTCACTATCATTTCAGCATCGGACTTTGGTGATCTGGACGTGTTCCGTGCTTGCTCTGTGGTCAAGTGTACTTGGGTCGCGGATCCTAACCGTCCCAAACAAACGAATATCCAATCGTCGATTCGGCATGTGGAGCCACCTGACTACATGGGTTGCCAATCGTAAGTGGGTGCTTACCTCAGTCGGCCGTCATGGAGTTCCAGGGGAAGCGGAGTGGGTATCCAGTCCATCCTGTCGGGCCACTGTACCGAAATTTCCTCCTTAAGATGTGACTCGGGGCCATGGATGCTAGACTAACTTGTATTCATCTGGTAGACACGAGGTTATAACCGGACCCTGCACAGGAGTCTAGAACACGGAAAGCGTCAAGGCAAAAATACTTCTCACTTGTGCTAGTGGTACGATACCTGTCGCTACTGGTAAACGACCATTCCTCAATGCATTCGAAGTATCTCGTTTCCGAAGTCAGTGGCCATGTACAATTTCCCATTCATCGTAGAACGATTTTGAGCTATATACGTTGCTGATTAAGCCTATGTGACACCTCGCCATCCCATCTCACTTTCCAAAAAAAAGTAAACTTACCATCAAACAAGATTTACACCTCCAACGCCCAGCAACAAGAACGAGGGTATGTGCAAACGCATCGCTGAATCGTAAAAAAGCATCGGTCGGAACCGTCAAAAGTTTCCATCCATTCGTCCTTTCCCATCTTTCCGTCATCCCCATCCAGCTCAATCACATAGTCCCATCGTTCAACATGGCTGAAGGTAGTTGGAAGGCACAAGACCAGGTCGACCAGTGTTACCCACAGGTTCAGCCTCCCACCATCCATCATCCTGCAATCTAAGCACAGCAAGAATATCTCCCTTTTGGAAACCTAGTTCTTCTGGGATCTGTGCCGCATAGGAATACATCGCGCGTGCTGTTTTAATATGTCAGTAGAAGCCCCTCCCCTTCCTGTGATGACAAAGTTGGAAATAAAACTTACAGTAATTCAAAATCAACCTTCCCTGACTGTTATAATTCTTCGGCTCAGCCAAACTCTTACTGCGCGCCCTGCTCTCGGCTCTCACACTTCCAATCACACTCCCCGCACTCCCACCACTGGCTCCAAATCCAAACTCACTTCCACCGCCCATGTAGGAAGATTGCGGTCGCGCTGTACTAGCAGTGCCCGGCCTCACTGAAGACCCAGAGGTCGTAGGGCGCGCCGAGGTAGCAGTTCCAGGACGACCACGCACACTGCCTCCGTATTGACTGCCGCCGTAGACACTACCATCGCCGCGCACGCTACCAGCAGTCGACAGAGCGAGGTCCATGCCAGCGCCACTGTGAGAACTGGGTGGACGATCTGAAGCAGCGGAGTTGCGGAAAGCCGGGTTCGGACTTGCGGCCCTGGAAGCTGGACCAGGTGCTGCACGGGACTGGGGTCGGGATTGTGATTGTGCGTAGGCTGGTTGAGGGGGCTGCTGTGGGGGAAGAGGTGATGCAGTTCGCGGTGCTGGGGATGGTGCGCCGCGGGCTGGTTGTTGGAACGAGTTACGTCCTACCGGTGTGCCGTAAGCTTGAGCGGCGGCGGTAGTTGTTTGCGCTCTGGGCCTGCTGCCGGCATTCGATGCGGCATAGGGGTTGGGTGATGCAGTGCGGCTGAATGAAGTTGCGGGAGAGGCTTGCTGTTGTGCCCTTTGCTGTTGCTGTTGCTGTTGCTGCTGGAGCCTCGATGCTGGCCGTGGAACTTGTTGTTGCGGCGGTTGCTGTGGCTGCTGTTGTGCTCGTGGTGCTGGTTGAGCTGCAGGCTGTTGGCGTGGTGCAGGTTGCGTTGCTTGTGGTTGCGCCCTTGGTGCTGGTTGTGCAGCTGGTGGTTGCTGTCGTTGCGCAGGCTGGTATGTAGAAGGCGAATTGGGTTGTGAACGGTATGAGTTTTGGGGCGCCTGTTGCGTGGTATTGATTGTAGGCCGGGGGCTAATAGCACGTGGAGGTTGTGCGGGAGAGGCAGTCCGTGGTGGTTCTTGCTTTGTGGGACTGCGGCTAGAGGATCGAGACGCCTGACCAGTGTTGAACATGTTCACCTTCTGATTGACATACATCTGAGTGGTCTTTTGCATTGCACGCGAAGTATGTGCTGGCTTAGGAGCCCCCAAGCGCGACATAGCTGGCTGCTCTGGTGGTTGCTGTGGTGGTTGCTGCGGTTGCTGCGGTTGCTGTCGCGGTTGCTCCCGTGGCTGCTCTCGTGGTTGCTCTCGTGGTGGCTGGTCGTATTTTGGAGGAGGTGTGCCTCGCTTTGCAGCATTCAGGTCTGCTACGTTAGAAAGGGGAGTTGGCGCACCGCCTGCCAGCCTCGAGCCGATACCAGGGGTGCCCGGAGGAGCAGGCGTTGCAAGACCCATATAACGATCTGCTGTCTGGCGGGAACCGGCCTGTTTGCGATCATCTGTCTGACGAACAGACGTCTGTTTAGTGACACCCCTCAGTTCCTCCAGGGCCTGCGCAATCGGGTCAAGCTCCTCCCCTGGCTCTGGTTCTTGCTCTTGTTGCTTCTTCTTGTCTGGCGTGGCTACGTCGAAAACATTGTTACCGACGTTGAGCTGGAAGGTCGCTCGAGGATCAGCTGGTTCTGGACTGGGCGAGGGCGCACGACTTTCAATAGCCCGAGTAACAGGTGCTCTACTAGCAAAGCTCTTGGTGGGGCTGACATTCTCCTCCGTGTTTTTGCGCGGAGACGGTGCCCATGTGTTGCGATTGCGATTGGCAGGCATAAGAGCTGCCGGAGTCTCGACCTCGTGTTTGCTCTTTCTCCGTGCGAATGGACTGCTGTTGAAAAAGCCTCTCTTCTTTGCAAATGATTGCTCTTCAGGCCCAGGCGGGCTGGTCTCACGGACCGGAGACTGTGCCATTGGCTTACCAGGGGAAGCGGAACCACTTGGTGCCTCAATGCTAGAGAACGACGTAGGGTTTGAATAATCGCTTTGCGAATCCTCCCTGCTGGCAGGTCGAACGGGGCTTGGGATTGAGCTGCGATCAGATGGTGCATCAATACGGCAGAATTGTGTCATCCCATCAGCAGGATAGTCGTTGTGTGGGACCTGGTTTTGTTGATACTGCTGGCGAGCTTGTTGCTGTGCTTGAACCAACCGGGGATCTGGCTGCACCGCGCGTGTGATTTGCGGTGATGGAGGTGCTTGTTGTGGCTCTGGCTGCCTTGGTGGCTCCACGTGCTGTCGCAGAGGTTCGATATGGTGTTGTTGTCTTAGTGGTTCGGTGTGCTGTCTCAGAGGCTCAATGCGCTCTTGCTGTCTTGGGGGATCTGTATGTTGCCTCAACGGCTGCACCTGCTGTCTTGGCTGTTCTGCACGTTGCCTCAGTGGCTCGACTTGCTGGTACCGCGGATCCGCTTGATGTATAGATTCAGCATGTCGGGAATCAGCACGCGGTCGGGACTGAGCACGCTGTCGGGTAGATTCTACAGATTGACGACGAGATTCCATACGCGGTCGAGGAGATTCATGACGCTGCCGGGGAGAATCCATACGCTGTT